TGGAAGCTGGACTGGGGTGAATCTTGCTTATGTCCACAGGCCCAAGTTATGGGGTTTTGTATCAGGCTCAGGGGCATTGTACACTGGTCATAAAAAAAAAAAAAATAAAAAAAAAATAAAAAAAAAAATAAAAAATAAAAAATAAGACTTGGTAAAAGTCAAGCTCATCTTTTCCTCCTGCTGCTCAGATGCCTTGTTTCCCAGCAGCAGTTAACAGGGAGGGATTTCTTTCTTCTGGGAATCCCCTTCTTCTGGGTTTGTTTAACTGGGGGCACAGTTTCAGGGCTGTTCCTGGAGGCTGTCTACGCTGTAGCATTTTTTAAGTTACACATTTGTGTTTATCCCCGTCAGAACAATTTCTAGTGGTGCTTGCTCTGAGCCTAAAGGTATCGGTAATCAACTCTGTGCTATATCTGAGGAGAATGCTGCTTCAAAAGGCCGCCTCTTGGTGTGTGATGTGTGTTTCATATGTGATGGGATACACAAGAAGATCATCTGAGAAAGCCTGGGAACTTTTAATCCTTGAGGCTGAGCCCAGCCATTCACCGACTTCAGTTTGGGATTTGGGGACCTCTGATTCAAACATGCCTTTCTCTTTTGGCATTGAAGCCAAGAGCTGACCATGTTCCCTTTCCAACCCAGAGGAAGCCAGAAGCCTTAAAAATAATAATAAATAAATAAATAACCAGCTTCAAGACATGGATAAAACCTTTCATACCCCCTGCATATTAAGGACATTTAAAAAAAAACACAAAATACCTATAGAGTAGCAGAACTAGCTATGGAAACAAGTATGAGATGAGGAAGAGCATGAATTAATGAAGTTTGGGTCTTCAGCAAGCAGTGGGATAATTATTTAGTGAGATACACCCGTGGACCCAGCTGAGCTGTAGCTGGGTGACGATGCTGGGAGGATGCTGGGGGTTGGGTTTGGTGGAGGCTCCTCAAGTGCCAGCGGTTGTGGCTCAGGTTTGTGTGAGGCACAGAAGAGCTGCAGGGCAATGAGTCCAACACTGGGAGAGCTGCTGGCTCTCTTGCTGCCTATTATGGCCATGCTGTCCTCCTGCTTGTGCTTGCTGTACTTGACTGCAAATCCTGAGAGCTCTCAGTAGGCAGGGGATGCTAATGTCCTTGCTGTTTTTGTTTTGTTTTTTTTTTTCCCTTCGCTTTTGGTATGCATTTGTGCATGGTTGCATGCTTATGATCACAACCAACCCATGTCTGGAGGACTGATCCGTAATAGAAAGGGGAAGAATATAGATCTGTAGGTTTCCCATAGTATTACAACCTCTCCTTGCCTTTTAAGCCCTTCTGAGGAAGGAAAGTGTTAATGCATTCTCCAGCGTTTTTATCGTTCCTGCAGAATAATCACTGTTTTAAAGACGCCTGCCTTGAAATTACAACATAATCCTCTGCCTGACTAAACCCTAAAAATCTGGTGGCTGGTAGATAAAAATCATTGAGAACGATCATTTCATTTGAGGCATCAATAACTTCAGCAGAGCTGCTAGGACAACACTCAGCTGCTCAGAAAATGGCGAAGAAAAATTTCCCGTGTCAAGTAGCTCCCTGCTTGGCCTGCCACCACCAGCCGCGCTGGCTGAGGCTCCTGCGAGTCAGATTGTCTGGAGGTGGAAATCCACTCCTGAAGGAGCTCAAGGTGTGTGTTTTCCTTCAGGGCTTTTCTTTTAGAGGGTGGATGGTTGCGTGTCTTTTCTTCTAGCCTGTTGGGTAAGTCACTCGCCCTCACAGCCCTCAGTCTGGGGGCTGATGCAGGAGGACAGGCTGCAGTGAGCCTCTTTTTGAAGGAGTCTAGGCTGATTAGGGTCAGATGCTATTACCTTAGGGGCAGTTAATTGAAGGGTATCAATAGACAGCAGGCCATTTATCTCTCTAATTTTCCTTTCCCGTCTGTTATTTAATAAAACAACTGAGAGGGAAGCTGTATTAACTTGGCTTTTATCTTTAATTCTGTGATTGTAGTAAAAACTGGTGTTTGAGAAGTCACTGAATACAGGATTGGTCCTGTAATTGGTTCTGTAATAATAATAATAAGTTGTTTTTCCTCTTTGAAAATAACTCTGGTCTTTAGTTGAAAGATTTAACTGTTGCTGGCAGTCAATCAGCCAGCACAATTCGGGCTCTGAGCACTTGATTAGAATAACTTTAAGGAAAATTGCCTTCCTGAATCAAGTAAGGATCCATTAACCTGATGAAACAGAGTTTGCTTATCTGAGAGGTTAAGACTGAAAACACAGCCTGGGCTGCATTAGATGAGACCTCTTTTGGAATGGCATAAAGACAGAAAGTAATAAAAACACCATCTGTCATGTCTAGTCAATCAGATCTAGTATAAAAGAGGAATTATTCCTCTGACTTTACTGTTATTAGATCGTCTGTTTGTTAACAATGGGAAGTGGCAGGAATGCTGAAAACTGGTTCTATTGCCTCAAATTATTTCTAGGTATCTTTATCTTGGGGAGAATGAATATTAATCTGAGTTTATTCAGCAAAGTAATATTTTTAGCTGAATACAATGCTAAGGCGTTCCATGTTGAGTCTATTTGGTGATTGATTGTTAGATGTAAAACTGAACGAGAGACAGGGAAAAAGTGCCGTGTACACTTTGCTTCTGATAGTGAATATTTCTATCAACAAACCTCTTCTTGCAAGTTGCCAAGCATTCAAAGGTTTCTGAAGTCAATTGAATCCATACCCCGTGAGGGGCCCTCTGCATGTCACAGGGCCAGCGGGGCCAGGTCTCATCGTGTAGTCCAGGCATAGCCGAAGGTCACGTAAAGGGTGACTGCTTTTTTCAGCATGGGTTTATTAAAGCTAATAAACGTTGGTACTAATGGATTTCTGTGTCGCTAAGTACCAGTGTGGTCTCCTCTGTTTACCAAGGGCTGTGCAGAAGCACTTGGAGACATCTGAAGCTGAATACTAAGCAGCAAAGGCATCAGCTACAGGCACACAAGGTGTCGGGGAGGCGGACAGCCTGTACCAGCATGTCCCCAGCACCACTGCTGCGGTGGAAACACCACCGTCCCTTGTCAGGCTCCAGGGATGAGACTGCAGTGGGTGCATTGCCTGACCTGAACAGGCACATCTTTCCCATCACCTGGCAGTAGCTGCAGCTGGCTCATGCTGATGCTGCCTGCAGCCCGTATGTACAATTTCCATCTTGCTTTTGCTCCCTGTTTGCAGGCAGCTGCTTTCTCCAGGTACGTAGGTTTAAGGAGAGAGCACGTGTTGGAACTAATGAAACCTCTGCCAGGTGGGTTTTGCTCTGGTCAGATGCAGATGGGGCTACAAATTGGGCTACAAACTGTCAGAATATGTGGAGACTCAACTTTTCTTTTTTTTTTTTTTTTTTTTAAATGGCTCTCTAACTGTCTAGCTTTATGCTTCTCTGTCAGTGACCTGATAGAGGGATAACCCATGGAGCTGCTGAGAGCTGCTAGCACTCCCCAACTGAGCAAACTGGTCCCTGTGGTCACTGCTGGAGGAGGCTGAAAACAAAGGATGGCACTGCCAGCTCATTAGGAGAATGCAGGGAACCAGAGTTAATGAATCTTGGACGAGCCCCTGACCTGCATGGCCCTTGGTGTGGCAACGGAGGGAGCTGGTCCAGCAAGATCTGATTATAATCTCAGTAGAAATGCCAGTCCCTAGAACGCAGAGGGCTGTATCATATCTGTGCTTGCTTCTGGGAGGGGTCACTGCTGTAGAGCTGAGATCTCTCTGGATTAGATCGGCATTTTTTTTTATTAGGACAGAGATATTTTAGGGATTTACATGTGCTCTGGCAGCTTGCCCTAATGAAACACTGGTTACCCAACAACAATCCAACTTAAGCTTTAGTAAAAAAAAAAATCAGCTGTCCTGAGATATATGGTGAGAATACCCTCTGTGTGATGGCAGAGATTTAAAATTGTGCAGTGCGTTACCTCTCCTGACATGGAAAAGCTTGAAAAGAAAAAACAATCAGGCTGTTTATTGTGGATGGAAAAAAAAATAAAAAAGGAAAGGCTGCAATTAATGCTTGCCCTGAGATTCTCCCAGTTCTGTAGCCAGATTAATAAATGAAAACGTTCACCCCAGATGTATGGAAGATTAGTTCTGCTCGTCTCTCATTTTATGGCCAGTGGGGTTGAGGCTAGGAAATCTGCAAGATTTGCTCATGGTGCCTGATGAGTAGCAGAGTCAGAACTGAATCCTGGCATCCTGCTGCCCCATCCAGCAGCCGTGCACCCTCCTCCGCTGCCCAACAGCCCCCCAGTGCTGGGTGTCCCTGCAAGAGGGCTGCGAAGAACTGAGAGCTTGCAGGACTCCAGCATTTCTCATTACCAGCTGCCCCTTGCTAGCGGTGAGTAAAAGCAGCTTTTTACAGCAGAGCTGGATGGGAGTGGGTGTAGGACTTGCCACCAGGAAGGAGCTGCTGGCCAGCTGAGGGGTCAGTGTGAAACGGGAACTGCCCACGGCAGTATCCATCCCAGAGGCTGGAAGCGAGCGCAGAGAGGAGGGCAGTGCACCCCAGAGGTGACTGAGACACTGGATGCGACTGTCCTTTAGCATTCCTCCAGACCTGAAGCTGCTGCAGGCTGCGGTATCTTCCTCAGTAGCCGTTTTCCCTCTCTGAGCCTGTGGCAGAATAAATCAGTATCTGCTTTTTCTTTCCTGTGATAACACTGAAGGCAGGGAGGGCAGCTTGATGGACAGACTGCTGAGCTGGCATGCATGAGGTTTCGGCAGAGACTGCCTTCATCAGGACAATTTTTCTCTCTTTTACTCATCTCTGCAGTGGAGATACTGATACCTGCTCAGTGAAGTGCCCTGACACCTGCTGCTGAATGGCACTGTGTAAGAACCTGCTTATGACACCACCAGGGAGAAAACGTTCACCAAACAGCCCTCAGGTACCTCTCCAAAGTCCTGCCACATCACAGCCATTCTTCTTCCTTCTGTGGTGTAGGGTGTGTGAGAGACTAGCACACCTTCTTTGTTAAGTGCATAGAAAAGACGTTCAGAGTTTGGCACTTACACCCTCAGGAGTCAAACAGCACTGAGTAGGGAGTTAGAAGCTGTGCTCACATTGCCTTTTACATTATTATTATTATTTTTTTTTCCCAGAGGACACTCTCTGTTGCTGACTTTACATACCTGTGTGAACAGTAAAACTAGGTATGTTTTAATCAGGGGCTGTCTCTCAGAAGTGACTTGCATTCTTTAAATCACTGAAGGGGACATGAAGGCCAAGCAGAAAGGACAGAAGATACAAACATCCCAGGGACCAGACGTGCTCCTGGGCCCAGATTGCCTGGGGCACCTCTATGACCATTTTTCTTCATCTTGAATCTGCTGAAACCAGTGCTACCAGTCTGCTCTGAGGCAGGACACTGTACCGTATCGCATGGCATCAAGTACAGCTTGGAACCTCGGGGGCGAAATAGTTGAAAAGGAATACAAGAGGTTGCTTAGCCCCAGCTCTCCTTACTGACAGCCTGAAAAATTAAATTATTGCTGGTTTTCTATGCAATATATATCTTTCCTTACTTTATACTTCCTGTATGCTAAATACTTACGGTATTTACATATTGTTAATCACCGTTTTGTTCCAAAAGACTCCAAGTTTAATTCTGGAGTCTAATTTCTGGAATGATTTTTGTGATGCTCCCATCCCAAGAGCCTAGAATGTAGTTTACATTTGTGGCTGTACTTTGTGCTGGGTTTTCTTCTTCTCTTCTTCTTTTTCTCTTCTTCTGCTCATCTGATCAGCTCTATATTCTGTGTTTTGCTTGAGCATTCCCTCCAAATAAAGAGAAATATCCTATTTTTTTCATGCTATGGCAGTCTTATAAAAAAGTCCTTTGAAAAGCTATTTCCAGATGTTTTCCACCCCCCTAATCTTCTAACAGAAGTCACAAGCATTACCAATAAAACCTTTTTATTCTTCCCAGCAACTATTCTCTTTCCATCTTTTCTTTTCTGTTGCATTGTCTGGCCTACAGTGCTCATTCTTCTTTTCTGCTTGTTTTTCACACTGTTTGCCCAGAGTCTAATACTGCTAGCTGTGCCATCCTCTACTTTGTACTTATCTATGGTGCTCATAATATGACTAATGCTCCCTGGATCCTGGCCACACATCCTACATTCCGGATTTAAATCCTCCTTACCATCTATCTTTAATATATCTGGTATGAATAGTCTGCTCTTTTGTAGCCATAATTAAAGTTTTGCTTCAATCCTTCTTTTGCTCACAATTTACCATCACCTTTTTTTATGAGATGTCTGCGCTGTTCTTCCTTTCACCTCAACCCATGCATCCCTTGTTGCCTTGTCAAATGATTTGTCATCCGTAGAACTTTATTCCTTGTTTCATTTTGGAATTTGATTCGCAGATAGCTTGGGCCACTCACTGTTGCACATGCAAGTAGCTACTGCTGCACGTGTCCTTTCACTGTAAGGTTCGGATGTCTCTCAGTGTTTTCCTAGTGCATCCTTTCAGTCTTCTTCCCCTGTTCCCCTGGGCCAGACTTCGTTCAGCTAATAGCAGAATTCGGTAGCAACTGCCTATATGCTTGCAGCCTTGACTATATTTTGTATTTTGAGGAGATGAGGAGAGATACGGAGCCATGAAGCAGGTGGGACTGGGATTTCAGTGCAGTGAGGAGGGGAAGAAGGATGGGGATGGCTCCAGGGCAATGATGTGTGGTGATGGAGACTCCACGTTACTGCTTAACACAGAGAAATGGCTCACAGTGAAATTCTTTATCTGCATAAAATATCTGGGGCTTTCCCCTGCAAGGGAAATGCCTTAGATCCTTTCTGAAAGGAAGTCACAGCAGTTTAGAGGAGGTTATGGGGAGGAAGCAGAAAGGAATAAACAACAGAAGCAGGCCAGAAAAAAAAATGTTGATCCTCCTTTAGGTGGCTCATAGCTCTACAGTGAAAAGGGGCTGGGAGAACGGCATGTCCATGTTATGTCTGCATTCCTGTGCGACACGTGGAGAACCAGAAATTGAAGCCAGTGTGTCAAAAGGTGATGAAACCTTGGGTCTTCTCAGTCTTAACTGCTAACAGATGTGCGTAGTTAGGGCCAGCTCTGTAGCTGGTGTACAGCCTCACGAGTCTGTCTGGTTTTATTGCCAGCTCTAAGTCCTGCCTAGTCACAGGTCCAGTCCCTGTTCTCATCAGGTAGTCATCACTTTATTGAGAGATGGTGTAATTACAGTGCAAAGCGATTGCCTCTGAACATCCATGAGAGGTGCCATGCAACCTTGGTTATGGGCTGTAATCATGAAGGTGGATTCCCTGGGATATTTTGGAGATGAACAGAGACTTCAAGATCCAGAATAAATGAAAGTTTAACGATTTTATTGGTGACCAAAGGACTGCTGTTGGAAGTGAAACATTAACAGGAAGACAGAGAGCCAAGAGGTTCAACGAGGGTCGCCTTCAGGCACAGCAGAGCTGGGGGCCTCCAGTGTGCCCGGAGCAGCAGGCATGGCAGAGAAGGATGGCGTGCTGCAAGATGCAAAGGAAGCCCAAGCTGGTGAGAGAACCTTTTTTTAGATTTCTTCTTGCTAATGCTAGAAGAAACTGAAGGCAGAAAGGTACTAGCAGGGATGAGAAGTTTCTCTGATTGGTACAAAACAAAAATATGGCAAAGTACTATAAAAGTATGACCAGTGTATGTGAATTCAGAATAAGGCTCATTAGAAAGAGACCAGCGTGGCTGAGCTGAATATCAGGAAGGAATTGTACCACAAGATGAATGCAGATATAAGTGAACGGATCAGCTGAGTATAAACAGGTTAATGTGTACAGCACTGCAGCAGGAAGCAGCGAGAATCTAAGCGTTGTGAATGCAAAGGGAAAATGCAGATTGTCCTCCTGTGGATTTGGGGATCTGAAAAAAAACTTGAATGATGAACTGAAAGTCGTAGAATAATGTATTCATGGGATCTTCTGCCTGTTCAAGGCATCTGGTAGCTGAATATTACATTTAAGCATGAATCATCATGCAGATTGCCCACTTGCATGAAGGACAACTCAGAAAAGAGGAAAGCTCACAGAAAGCAGTCCTTGCTTTCATGTTTACCAGTTGAAGTTGTTTAAAACATGATTTTCACAGAAATTCAGGAGGGACAAACTTCAGAAGGGCACCTCATCCATCTGCCTGTCAGTTACTTTTTTCATCTTACCATTGATGAAAATGGAGAATAGTTCATCTCTGTGCTTTTTTTTCCTGATGACGGTTAGGGGTAGCATTTGGTGGTTTTCTTTCCTGAATTTCATCTTAACTGTTCCAAAGCCACGAGGTGGTTTCTCCCATTTAGCAGCACCATTTTGAATTAATTGCCTGTTTTCCCCAAGGCTCACCCCATCCTGCTTCCAGACACAAAGATGAGCAGCACGCTGGCTGTGCTGATATCCTCTTTGCTCAGGGAGAAGTTGAGGACCTGTGTGTTTCATGACTTTCCAATCTGATGAAAAAGTACTGCTAGCTACCCTGTGAGGGATTTTCCTGTTGCCCACCGTATGGGTATTTCATCTGAACCCTATTTTTCTTGTGAGACATTAGAGACACTGGAGTCAGGATGCATCGCATCCACAGCTGCTGTAGCTGTTACACCACTGATCCTGTCACCAAAGAATAAATCAATCAGATTTGAGAGCACTTTTGCCAATCCAAAATGGCTGTTTTGTCATCCTTACTCTCCTTTTGGTGCTTGTAGAAGGGACTGTCCTATCAGGTGTCTCCCCAGCCATGGAGGAACATGCCCAGGCTGTCCCAACCCGCCTTGTTAAAGACAGGACTGAAGCTTCTCTTACCTTGTGGCTTAAAAACTACATCCAGCACTTGAAGGAGAAATTCATCGGGTTGTAAAAATTTGAGCACATTTTGAATATCCAAATATTCTTTAAGTGGTTTTTGTCTCATTTCACCCATATTTAACTGCTTCGTTTTAATGGTGTTAAGTATCTTGGATATTTTATTTTATTTATTTTCTTTCTTTTTATTTTAAGTGAGGACAGACAAAAAGAGCACAACATTTCTGGCTTCTCTGGATGAGCTTTTGTTTGCTCGTTTTCTAGTTTAAATAAGACTTTCATTTCCCTTCCTCTTTCTCCAATATTGACAGCATTTCTAACACCTTTTCTTATTGCCTTTTGTGTCCCCCGCTAGCTGTAATTCATTTTGTGCCTTAGCTTTTCAGCCTCTATCACTCTATGCTCGGTCTGTTTGTTTATACTCATTTCAGAAATGCCACCTTATTTCCATCTGTGGTACAATTCCTTCCTGATTTTCATCCCAGCCACACGGGTCTCCTTCTATCGAGTTTTATTCTGAAATCACTTGTATCTGAGTTGCTTGCAGATTTATTCTCCCTAACTTCTTCTCGCTGTTTGGTATGAGTTGCCATTTATTTCCAGACGTTTGAATTCCTTTTCTGCCTTTCTGTCTGAGAAAACCTCCTGGCAGCTAATGGCCTAAACATCTCTGCAGTGTATTTGACAAGTAGCATGTTAATCCCACCGACTGATGTGTTTTTTAATGCTAGTATTAAAAAAAGTCTTTTAGCTTATGTAAAGCACAGGGCTGCGTACACACACAGAAAATATAGCTGCAGGATGCTGAAAATATTAAGGCATCGCATTGCATTGGTGTGGGAGCCCTGCAGAAGGGATGAGAAACCTTTTCTGTCTTGCTTTTGTTGTAGTCCTTTAATAACTTGGCTGTGTTTGCCCTGCTCACCTGCGCATGGCAGAATACAGCAGGCTTCTACTGGGGATTGTCTGGAGATACTTTGGCTAAGAAAAACCCCCAGCCAGCTCAAAAATATTCCTGCTGCCTTCTACATGGTGTTAGGCTGCAAGGACTCGAGTACGTGCTGGCCTGGCGGGCAGGAGACAGGACCACAGTCCTCAAGGTCTGTTCCTTGCACTGCCTCCAGCTTTGGCTATGCTTTTGGGTCATTCTTGTGGGTTTAATGAGTCCTAGCTCCCTGGATGCTGTTTGTGGCACCTGAGAAGTGACCCAGGTGAAAAGCAAAGTTGTATGGGAGTAGGAAACGTAGGAAGTGTTTGTCATGTAGGGAGCCCATAGGAAGCAGAGATGAGGTTTGGGGTTGCTCCTGAGTGCTGGCCATGACCTCAGATTAAACTGCCCCCAGGGAAAGGCAAGGTCATTCCGGGGAGCTGGTGTGGAAAGGTACCCCGGGTCAGCAAAGAAATGATTTAACGCGGTGCAGGCATCCGTGACATCCAGCGTCCGAGGGTTTGGCGTGATGAGCATTTCAGTGGCCATGACTCGGGACGGGTGTGTGGCTTTTCAGTGGAACGAGACCCCCGCAGAACAAACCTGCCATTACCATGCTGGGAGGGAGATGCACGCCTCGCTCCTCAAGCTGCAGGCTCCAGAGGTGGCTGGGACTCGGGATTTTTATGCAGCTCACATCTGTTCAGCATACAGTGCCGTGCTGGGCTGATGCACGTAGGATAGCTGGGGGCATGCCAAGCACACAGGAGGTCTGTGCCACGAAGTGCTGACAGCCCCAACCTGTGAACGATTTCGGCTGCGCTCCCTGACTCTTCCTGAACTCTGCAGTTGTCTTTCCTAGCGGCATCTCCCTCCCCTTTCGGCCCTGGCTGCAGAAATGTGCTCAATTAGGGTTAACTCAAACTGAATCAAACTTCATGCCTGAGGTTGGAAATCTTCCCAGTCAACTCACCACAGCCACATAGCATGGTGGGAGACAAGGCGAGAGGGGAGATGAACGCTTTTCAGAGAAACGAATCCAAGGAAACTTTGTTCACTTTTATTTCTGCAGGAGATGATCCCCCCAAAGGAGATTTCCCTGTTCAGAAAAAATCCCCGGTGAGTGTTACAGCTGGTCTCCTTTTCTTTGCTTTCTGCTCAGCTTGCTCTAAACATTGCAAGATCTCTCTGTTCTTTCCTCTTTTGTGCTCTAGCTAGAGACAAACACTCTTTCTTGCAGAGAGTTGAAATAAGCATTAGCAACTCAAGGCAAAAATCCCTCCACTAACCTGATTAAGTTAAGAAAGGACAGCTTAAAGGGGAAAAAATGAACTGTCTGTGTCTTTGGGAAAAAGGGTAAGGGTTTTCACTGCTGCCTTTTTCCTAAATGCTCCTTTCCTTGTGGGAAAAGACTTCCTTCAGTGAAGTGAAGGGGGTGTTGTGAGTGGGAGGGAGGGAACTGGGCTGTGCGTTTGCTTAGTGTGATGAGACACACCAGGAAAGAGTCCCCAGCTTCTGCCCAGCAGAAGGAAGGACAGGGACGGAGGACAGGCCACTGATGCCTGTGCCAGAGCCTCAGGTTTGCAGCTTTGGCTGTGAGCTAGAGCCAGATACAGCTCCTTGTTTTCTTACCTTGTAGCTTTGATGTTTGCTTAGACTCTCAGGCTAATTCTAGTTGGGTGCTTGGCCTTAAAATACTGTACGCTGCATTGGTCTGGGGAAGAAAAGGGCTCATTCTGCACCTGCTTTGATTTGCAGAACTATGTGGTAATACTTGCTGTTGCAGTCAGTCATGTCATTAGCAAGCCAAATCTTGAGCTCACAACGTGAAGTAGTGTGCAGACAGTAACTATCTGCTATCCACAGCTCCTCAGTTCCCTTTTTCAGCGAGCCAGCAGGAGAGAGGGGTGAAAACAAATATCTGCTGGCACTTTAAAGGACCTTTTTTTTTTTTTTTTTTTTTCCCCCCCTCGAAGACACAGACTATCAACTTCCACAGTATCCTTAAGAGCTCCGTAATCCCGCAGATCCCAGGCTTACCGCGGTTAGCTAGGCACAGCACAGTACCTGTGTGCTCCCGAATCCGGGCTTAGCCTCTTTGCTTTTGCTGGGGCTTTCTGCTGAGCAAGGTCCTTCTCTGCAAAAGCCAGCATACCGCGTCCAGCTCTCGTCATGGATGAAGGCCGCCCACTTTTGGATGTCCAGGCAGGCCATAGGCAGGTCAGTGATACAGCAAAGTGATTACCCCAGGGATTCTGCGTGTGCCGATGCTGTCTCATGGCGTACAGGCCAGGTGGAAGTATCCCTGCTTGTCAGCCCCTTGCTCTGTGCTTGTAAGCAATTACTCAAGGTGCTGGCTCAGGCACTTGGGCAGGTTTGGCTGGGAAATCACTGCCTCCTGCTCTCCTTTCCCTGCTTGCCCCTCTCCATCGTTTCGAGGTGCCTGTCCCAGAGCAGGAGTGGCTGGAGTGGTTTTCTGTCGCTGCAGGTCACAGCGAGGCACATGGTGCCTTCTCCTCTTGGAGCTGAATCCAGCAGGGTTTGTGCCTCGGGTGTGGAGCGGTGAGCTCAGGCAGCAGCGACCCCAACACCTGGCTGCCTTGGGTTCGTACAGTCACACTCTGCATCTCCATCAAATGATATTAAATCTCATGAGTACTGAGAGAGAGGACTGTGAAACAGAGGAAGAAAAATATCCCCGGTATATCATTTTACTTCCAAGTTCAAAAAATGCCTCCAAGCACCCACAGGAAATATTTGCCTCTTAGAGCTTTTCCTCTTTATTATGAAGAGCTTGTTGGAGAAAGGCACTCTGTGTGTGTCTGTTTCTGTGTTTGTGCATTTGCAGCTTATATATGCTACCATTTTTAGGCTGGTCTCAAAGCAGGAGGCCCCAGTGCAGTTTCCAAGGGAGCCCACTCTGTCTTACAAGCCATATGTTTAGCACGATGATTTCAGCATAAATAATAAATGAAATGGATAATTACATATTTATTCAAGTAAAGCAAAGAAGCCAAGGATTTCTTTATAAAAAGGCATTCCACAAATAGTGAGAGAAAAATATCTCAAAAAAGGACAAAAATATTTGTCTTTAGAGATGCTGGGTTAAGTAATGGAAAGCGGGTTTTGGTGAAGGGTGTTGGTTTTTCTGCAGGCAGCCAGCCTCTTCTCTTCTGTGGCTCTTCTGTAGTCTCGAGCAAGACAGCATCATTACCTAGAGTCTTGTAACCTCGATGCCATTGCTTGGGAAATCCAAATAAGCTTAGATCTCATGGTGGAATTAACCTGAATAAACATATCTCTTTTCTTATCTCTATTTGCACTTGGGGCTCTGGGAAGTGCTACGGGAATTCATTATTTCTGACACGAGGCACAGAAATGCATATGAAGGGTTCATCTCACTTCACAGGCCCACACCCTGGCTGTTTAAAACCACGGATAAAAACGCAGCTGGTAATCTCACACCCACCTCATCCCGCACCCTGTGCAGGGCCAGCCTGTCTCCCCCCCTGGCTGGCAGGGCCGGGCAGTGCTGTGAAATCCTGCTCTCCCTGCGGCGAGGCAGCAGAGTTAAGCAGCTTCCAGCAGCTCCCAGCTGCTTAGCTGGGACTGCCGGGGGGCAGCAAGAGGGCTGGGGGCCCGCACAAGGTCGTGCTAAGACTCTGCTGTCCAAATGCTGAGTATTTCACTCGGAAAGTTCTGATTTTAGCTGGAGAAAAGTTGGATTCGGTGGGAGAGTGGCCAGGCTCAGACAGGTTTGAGAAGCCTGTAGCTGCTTTGTTTAAATTTTGATTAATAAATTGAATTATCCATAACTACGCCGGCATTCTTAGAATATGCAATAGAGGCTGCAGCTGATGCTCTGCCTCAGGGAACGTGGTGGCACGGTTTGATGTGACTGGGGTGCAGACACTGAGGGCAGCGGTCTCAGGGGAAGGAGCAGCTCCAGGTGGGAGCAGGCAGCAGCTCCCTGGGGGCTGCCAGCTGCTGAGGCAAGGCCTGGTGCGAGGAGGGGCAGCTTTTGGGGCGAGGACAGTAGCTCCGTGTGAAGTGTAGGAAGAAAAGGCATCTGAAGGAGGTGTTGCATCTCAGTGGGGTTTTATATTGCACCAGAGAGGTGGTAGAACCCTTCTGCTGGAACTGCAAGCATGGTGGGCAATAGCTGGTGGTCTGTGAGTCCCCGTGGGCTTCCTTACCGGGCCAACACCAGTCAGGCTGATTCACTGGGGAGCCCTGACCAAAGCAAGACAGCTGTGGGGTCTCCTCACACCTGTGAAGATTGAGGAGACCCATCCCACGGGCCATACAGCAGTGAGCACTTGGGTTTGGGACTGGCCTCCTCTCTGCTGCCCAGGCACTGTGGGTGAACGCTTTCACAAGGCTGATGCTTTCTGGTTTGTTTCCTGCAGAAACTCTGTGGTTCCAACTACCCCCTGAGCATTGCCTTCATCGTGGTGAACGAGTTCTGCGAGCGCTTCTCCTACTATGGCATGAGAGGTATGTGGCCATGTCTAGGAAGAGACTTGTGCATCGCTGGGCTTTTGTACACACCAGCCTGGTGTTCCGGGGTTGTGTTGTATGTGGTCACGGTTGTCTTTCAAAGTAAATTGGTATTTTGGGATGCAGGCATGAACAATGTGCCCTAACATGGAAGCTAGACCTGCTCAAAGCAGCAATAGTGACTGCAGACCCCCAGTGTCACTCCCATTTAATTTTTGACATGATTTTCTGTCTTGAATGTGGTTTTCCGGTGTGTGATGTGTTACAGTTGTGTGCAGTTAGAGTGTTGGAGGACTGAATCATACAGGCACCTAATTTGCAAATAGAAAAAATGCATAAACAGAACTACAGGTTAGGGTAGGATAAGATAGAAAATATAATTTCCAGCTAAACATAAATGTTTATGAGCAAAGAAAGCCTGGTACTGGCATATCTCATTTGAACATTTCTGTGTCAAGGATTATGAGGAACAGGTCTGAAAGCACAGATCTTTCCAGAACAGTGCTCATAGCTGCTACACAAATCAGTGTTTTTCTTGTCACTGTGATGTAGTTTCCTGCTTACCTGCAGAGATGCACATTAATTACCTGATGTGGTCTGTTTGCTTCCTTTTAGCTGTCCTGACGCTGTATTTCATAAGCTTCTTCCACTGGGATGAGAATCTCTCCACTGCTGTGTACCATGCCTTTTCTGCTCTCTGTTATTTCACACCTGTCATTGGAGCCATCATGGCAGACTCGTGGCTGGGGAAATACAAGTAAGGAAACACATCTCTCTAATTCTTACAGGATACAGCTACACCATGCAGCCTGCACGAGGTTCAGTGCTGCATGTGATCCAGGTTTTGAGCTTGCCCAGGGTGCGGCAAAGACGTGCTTGCAAAGGTCAGCTCCTCTCTGTTAAAGGCTGAACAGCTGAGCTGTTTGCTCACACTGTTCTGTGCTCCTCTTTTTCCCAAGGACCAACAGGCAACAAAGTTCAAACAAATTAAATCACCCCAGGTTCCTCCACCCTCCTTCCCCATGCACCTTGAGAAAGCTAAGGTGTAGTGGTTAACCCTCAGCTTTCCAAGATCTGTTGCTGAGCCAGACTCAAGGATGGTGAGGAAGCAGTGTCATCTTCTGGATCTAGTGGTCTCAGATGCAATGGCACTAATTGTACTCAGTTATGCTTTCTCGGCACAGGGGATGTGTAAGCGCACACATTTTTTGTCCCAGAGTAACCCAGGTTCACTCAAATCATCTCCCTTAGCACATAATCAGGTAAACTCTCCCTGAAAAAATCGAGGAGTCCTCCCTTAGGCTGATAAGTTGTGGGGCCATCATCTGCCCAGAGTGGTGGTGAGCAGCTGGATGCAGGACATTCTTTCCTTGGCACTGTCTGTTCGCTGCCTGAGGAGTCTTGCTGTCAGAGTGATGAAGTGCAGCTGAACCTTTCTCTATAGGACTAAGCGCGTCTGGCAGGAGAGCCTCAACATGGAAAAAAACAGCTGCAATCTGCCTTTTCAGCAGAGAGCTTTTAAAGGGACATCAATATTCTTTTTTCTTTGTGCTCGATTTTAGTCATTCTCCTGTCCTTTAGAATGAAAAAACAAACAAAAACAATTGGGAATTTTATTAACTTCATTATTTGAGGTTTCACCTAGCAATGTTCGTTGCTTTTTGAGGGTATTTATCTTGCAGCAGGATGATGTGAGAAGATAAATCATTATGCAGATTTTTGTGCATTAGATAAGAGACTTCTATATGTCTTAATGGGTGGTGGCTTTTACTGTAGTAGCTGGGCCTGGCCAATGCCAAGGACAGGATAACAGATTAGAGGGGCTTTTAGGAATGATCTGCTGTGGCTCTAAGTTAGCTGTTGCAGCCAGGGTCTGGATGTGTCGAGGATCACATCTGTGCCACTAGTTTGGATGTGGCAGTCAGGCGGGTTGAGTGTGGGCAACAGACCCTACAGATGCCTTCCAGTGTAGGGATTCAGTTAAGTGCGTGCTACAAACTGCCAGTTAGTAGTAGTCTGGAAAATGAGTTGGACTTGAACAGTGCTTGCCTATTTGCAATCTATTTGCATGATAAGACTGGAATGTTTTTAGTTTATTATGCCCAGCAACCTCTGCAAAGAAAATAGGGTCTCTCCCTCCTTAATCTCAGCCCATTTGACTATCTCTTTCTTCCAGTGTGCTCAGTGCTGACACAGAAGAGTTATAGGTGTCTGTGATACCAGAGATATGGACAAAGCAGTTCCTTGTGCATCTGCCAAGTAGCCCTTCCATATCAGGAAGCACAGGCACACTCTGTTTTCAGATCATACATCACCCAGCACCTTCAGTCACTGCTGTTTGCTTTGTTCACAGGACAATCATCTACCTCTCCATTGTGTATGTGGTTGGCCATCTGATCAAGTCCGTGGGTGCAATTCCATCCCTGGGCAACCAGGTTGTTCATGTGTAAGTAGCTGTCAAAGCCATAACACTGTAGGAGGTTGCAGTGGTAGGTGGTTGACCCAAGACTGTCATTTGTTTCACCTCCATGAGGACAGCAGTCTGGGTTGCAGACCGTGCATGGCTTGCTCTTATCAGGGCAGGGTTTGGGATGTCTGAATAAGCAGAAGAGGGTGTTCAGAGTGAGAATGCAGCAGGAGGAGTTGGAAAACACCGCTGAGACTGAGTCCTTTGACACAGGGACTTCTGACCATGTCTGTCTGCGACACTGTGCTACTGGAGTTTGGTTTCTTCCATCCAGCTTCCTACACCAGCCTCCTTCCTCCCTCATTTTCTCATCAGCACTGGTGCTCAGCTCAGCAAGGTCCCCTTGTGTGCATGGGAACACAAAGCCCTAAATACACATTTTGTGATGTGTGACAGAGGAAAGGTCTGTCGCCTCCAGGGTACTGCCCTTCTTGCCCTCTAGATTCCAAACCGATAGGAATTTCAGAGTAGTTCTCCAGCTGGTGTCTCTGAAACCACCGTGCTGTTTTTGCCTAGGTACTCGGGGCTCTAAAAATATATGCATGCAAGCAGGAGCTTCTGGTTTACAGAGCAGCTTTTCTTTTTTCTTTTGTCCCAGACCTGACACTTGGTTCCATACAGACATTGCTGTTGGGCCAACAATGGGATTTTGAGGAGCACTGGGAGGTGGAAAGCACCCAACAGTCTAATTCAAACAGTTTTGCTTCAGTTATTCAAACTGGAAATCCTATATGCAAAGGCTTTGTTTTTCTTTCTTTTTTTTTTTTTTTTTTCTTTTCCTCAATTGATCTCTGTAATCTTTTGTTCTCAGATGAGTGAAAAATAATCCCTTGATTCTTCAATGTCTGCTGTGTCCACTGGGCCTTGGAACAGCATGACACTGACAAAAACGTTTTGGTTAATTGACTGATACTGAATACAAAATTGAGGATAACTAATAACTATTTTTTTTTTTATTTTGCTACTTAGCTTGCTTATCATCACTGCTGATGTGCAAAAGACAATGATATCAGAGGCATTGTGGTTGGGTGGCACTAACATGCTCTCCTAAGCACTGGAAAGGTTCTGCAATGGTGTTGTTTTTGTTCTTGCATGAAGGGTCCTGTCTATGGTTGGTCTGTTTTTGATCGCCCTTGGAACGGGAGGTATCAAGCCCTGTGTCTCTGCATTTGGTGGGGACCAGTTTGAAGAGGAACATGTAAGACTTCATTTATTTCCTAAACTCTGCAGTGTCTGGTTACTTTATGAGGATGTTCTTGCGATCAGATTCTTTTGTATTAGAATAAGGTCCCATTTGCTAGGAAAAGATGTAGTAAGATGGTTTGTGTGAGACTTGAAAGAATTGGGATAGTTTAGAAAAGGAAAACACTAACGGAATGGGATTGATATCAGGAATAATAGGTCATAACTGCATCAAATAATCCAAATGTTAATTGGATGTCAGAGTATTTGGAAGATCCTGTATGGCACAGCATGGAAAGGTAGCTATTTCAGAACCAGCTTAACAGGTGTGATTATAACACACTGCAGTGCAACACATCAGATGAAAGAGAAAGTTGTATCACCAGGTTCTGTGCTTTCCTGGGAATTTTCCCTCAAAACAGGCACCAGTCATAGTCTGTCTTAGATGTTTTTCAGAAAGAACTGCAGAAAATTGTAGCCTTTCAAAGAGTTTTAGTACCAAGTGTAGCCAGAATGTTTTCTAATTGTTCCAGAATGGAAAGTTCTGAAGAGCTGGGAAACTGTCTGTACTGGATCCTGTTAATTGTAATCCAGTTGCTTTATATCCTCATTCTCCATTACGAGTGTTTAGCCCCGGCCCTCACGTCCTGTAACCACCAGGGATATCATTGAGCTTGAAGAAGTGAAGTGGGTCAGAAAGTACTACTGCAAGGCAAAAAGCATCATTTTCAGATTGACCTGAAATTAAACACTTAGATTTATGTTGATCTAACACACAAAAAATTTCAGTTTTCTCAAAGACAGTATTCAGATCAGCAGCTTCTGTGAATGGCATGAGTCTCAGAAGGTCTCTGCTACAAGGAAGAAAATAAGTGCTTGAGTCTGACAAACAGACTTTTAAAATCAATAAGGATTATTTAGGATTGACAGTAGGAAAAGAATTCCAGAAATAGGTCAAGAAAAGTACTGAGAAAAACTGGGACCTTTGGAAGATGGAAATCTCTGTCAGTAGAGGCATTGAATAAGGACACTAGAATAATGGTCTGTCAGGAAAGGCACTAGTGGAGCTGGATAAGGGATGGCCCCTTGGCCTTGGACAAGGGATGGGAGCCCTGTAGGGCAGTTTGTTGTTTGTCTATTGCAATGTCCCAGCATGTAGTCAGCATTTAATGAATAAATAAAACAGACCAGAAGGACAGTTTCAAAATGTGGAGAAGCCTTGTTCTTTCTGCACATGAACTCTGTCATACTAAAGTGATGAAGCTTATGATTGAATAATAAGGGGTAACAAAACCCAATATGTTTCATGGTCACTTTTTCAAAGCAGATCCTTCTGCAGGAGGGCCCATCCTGTGCTGTCCGTCAGCCCTGGTGCGTTAAAGGATGCTTTGGGAGAGGGAGCAGCAATCAGCTGGTGGTCACCAGCCTCCTCAGTCTCCAGAAGCAGGCTGGCAGTACAGCACATGTGCTCTGGGAAAATGCTGCGTGCATACCAGCATGTGGGCATCCCAGCTCGCAGCGCTAATAGCTGTCCCAAAAGGATTGTAACAGGTGTTACAGCAGCATCTTCAGAAGTGCTACTTCTATGAATATTAATGATTAATAATGTTTATCCAGCATCTTTCAATTACCACCTAATTACAGTATGATAATATGTACCACTTATCTTCAGAGTGTTTTATAGACTTCAGCTAATGAATCTCAGCACCTCAGTCAGGCACAGGATATTATTATCCTGAACTTACAGTCACAACTGAGTTACAGAGAAAAACCTGAATTGCCTGTGGTTGTGTGGGACTGTGCCCATTCTCCAGCAGTCAGACTACACCTCTCCAACAAATTTATCAAACGCTGAGGCTCAGACATTCCTCTGTGTGTTGCCTTCAAGGGAAACTAATTTAGAAAAAGAAAACTGTAAAAAGCCTTCTGATAAGGACAATATGTTCTGCTCTATTCATTCTTTGCAGAAAAGAAAGTTTGTATTTTACCATTTTGAAATTACTTTACCTTTCAGAAGAAAAAAAGGTTTTATGCTGTGCAATAGGAAATTTAAGTCTTTAAAATAGGAATGAGAAGTTTTGATTTTTTAAGGGATGGAGGGTTTGGGGCCAACCAGAATACTTTTCTCCCCTCCAGAGTGTTGTTCTGGAACACTTCCTATGTCTTTCATCTTCTGCTCCAGGTAGGGTGAAATAATGAAATGAAGAATTTGATTCCCCCTCAGTTTTCAGGACACCAATAAACTTCAGCTGAACCCTTAACTGCACAGGCTTAGTTGCTCAATCTGGAAACTAGGGATGTGGTAGTTCTGTGTATAAAATTAATAAATAAATTGCCCCTGCAGTTCCCACATAGAGACAAATTTAGGTTTTGAGGCAAATGCACACCATTAGTCTGGTTTTCTTTAGAGTACTTTGTAAATTCTTGGATCTGCCAGTTTGAGAATCGTACTACTACAAGCAGTGATGGAGACTGATACAGCAGGAGATCAGATAGGGAAAGCAGATTTATCTGCAGGAGATTTCCAAGCATTCTTGTCTATAGGATTAGCAGTCCAGGCTAAGAATGCTTGAACAAAATTGTATTTATAATATGATATATAAATGCACAGGCTGCTGTGTCTATTAATTAAAGGCCAAAGCTGCTTTCAAACAGTGTGGTATGGTTTTTAAGGTACTAAATAGCTTTCTCTTTGTTTCTTTTTTTTTTTTTTTTTTTTTTTTTTTTTTTTTTTTTCCACTGTTGCCAAGGAGATCAGGATTATCATACACGGTACCTTTTCCTCAAATTAGCTAATCCAAATCATGTTACTAATGTACGTCTGCTCCAAAGATTAAGAAAGTAAGGAAGGAATTTGGTTGTAATTTACAAGCTGCTAGGTCGTTAGTTTTGTACTCACTTCTGCTTCTCTGACCATTTTTTCAAACTCTGGAATTTGTAAATGTGTGAAATAAGATGCCCCAAATCACTGTCCTCTAATCAGCACTCTGGTTTTGGTAATGGTTGCTCTAGACTTTATCACGTCGAGAGCTGTGTGCTTGAGTCTTGCTCAGCTCTCAGAAAACCTGAGTTCTTCAGATATGAGGTGTTATAGATATGTCATAATAATTTGAATAGAAGAGGTCAGGACTGAGGACTCTTCTGCAGTACCCATATCAAGCCACAGCAGGGCTGTTCTGTGACTGGGAGAGTTTGTTGAGGCTACCGATTTTTCTGGATTTCTTTATGGTGACAAATAACTAGTCACAGAGGTAGAATGAAGAAGAAAAATTACTTTTATTAGCTTAGCAGTAGAAAACAGCAGGTAACCAAAAATTTTGTCGAGGACAGAAATGGAATTTAGGAGGCAGTAAGATTCATTGCTGTTTGCTGTTCACCATAGAAACAAGAGATAATGATTGTAAGGCCTACCAGTTCCTTAATCCAGGATAAATCACTTCTGAGTGACGTATGGATCAGATTCTGAGATGTGCTAGGAAATAAAATCTTGCAAGAGCCAAAAACTCATGCTGATGGGATCTTCATAACTGTGCTGGGGCAAGACAAAAAGCCCTTCACCCAAGCCAGAGGACACCCAGCATCCCTGTTGGGTGCTGGTGGGAGGTGATGGGACTCAGCGTCACCTTCCCAGTACCCACTTCACAAGGTGACATAAAGAAAGTCCTCCTGTGCTCTCCTGCCTGCCCACCTTCCCTGCAACGATCTGCTGCAATAAGAAGCTTCTTGCCAAAGTACCCGTTGGCTGCACCATGGTCATTTTGGGATCCCAGGCTTCATTCCTTTTGAGATGTCCTCTTTAGGTGTCTGCAATTCTTCGCATTTGCTTCTGTTTTCCAGACTTGTGACTATTGTTGTCTAAGGGAGCAAGATGTGTTTGAAGGAGAGGAGGCAAAACCAGACCTCTGGGGATCTTCCTCACACTGAGATAAATTAATGTTTCCTGGTCAAAAACATGCTCAGGTCAGAGAGATGTGGCTCCAGGTGCCCCAAGGAGCTCTCTGTCAGGAACCAAGCCATGTCCCAGGCAATTTGCCCACTACCATCACAGGATGTGCTGACAGCTGGGAGTGAAGCCTAAATACACGTAAAACATATCATCTGCCCGGGCGTGGGCTGTCCTTAAATGCTGGTTTCCCCAGCTCAGATGTCCAATAGCTGGTGATACAGAGGAGCGTGGTGTAGGCCAGGTTGCCTTCTCTTCTTTCTCCGCTCTGCTGGCCCACCCAGGCATGGGGAGGAGGTTTAGCACTGTGGGTGCATGTATCTGTGCAGGTGTGTCTCCCCTGCAAGCAAGGAAAGACTGCTTTGGAGTGAATCCCTTCATACATTACTTCTGTGGAAAGCACCAAACTCTGCATCAAGTTTTTGATTGCCTCCAAACTGGGAATTATGTGGGAGGCAAGAAGATCAACAGGAATCCTTTGGCTGTACGGACTGTAACATGTTACAACATCAGCTGAATTTTGAACTCTTCCTCTTGGAGTTCAACCCTCCATCAGGCTCTTGAATTTGCTTCTGTAGATTTAATTTACCCTATTAGTTTGAGGTTGACTGGCCTTAGGTTGGTAATCTCCTGCCTGTTGGCTCCCTCTCATTTGCTGCCACTCTCTCATCTATGCTTTCTTTAACAACCCCTCAGTCTATGCAGGTTTCTTTTTCTGTTTTTACATAGGAAGAGAGGAGGGGAAAAAAAGAGCTCAGACATGGGAACAAATGATGAGCTTGTCAAGCCACGCCAAATTGGATTGAATTAGGTGCCAGAGGATCTGAATCATGCTACTTGCTCTGAATAAGTAAATGCTCTCCCCTTCCAATCCCGCAACACTCTCCAAGCAGTGGCTTTTCTTCCGAAATGCCAAAAAGCCCCAAAGCGCCTCTTAAGTAACGTGAGCTGATTTGTGTGAGCTTTTACCATCACCTGAAGGCAAGCTTGTTTGCTTAACATTTTATGCACTGCGTGTCAATATTTACCCAGCCTTCCTAACAAGAGAATTGATAGCGTTCAATTTGCAAGCCCGATGCTGTGCATTAGCCGTGACATTGATATTGTCTTCTCTTGTTTTAGACCTCGGAGAGAAGCAAGTTTTTTTCTGTCTTCTATTTATCCATTAATGCTGGAAGTTTGATCTCCACGTTTGTAACTCCTGTATTAAGAGGTCAGTGTTGATTTAGAATAAGACAATAAATTAGCTGCCCTCTGACTACTCTGCTGTGCATTGTTAGGCTCTTATGACAACTGAATGGCAGAAATTACATTATCTCTGGATTGGCCACTGTATTGCATTTACGCCTTGTTAATCCTGCCATAGCAGCGTAACAGATTTATGGTACTAGCCGCAGACAAGTCACAAAAACCACGTTCCCAGCTGTATTTCAAAGCCAGCCTGAACTGTAGAATTAAAATATGGGAGGTGGAAAGAACTAAATGGTCAGCTAATCCTCCTTCTGGCCAGTGAAGGATTGTTCCCTGTCTTGCCCATAGGTAACCTGTGGATGGGAATTGATCTTTGGCATCGAGGGCAGGCACCAGGACCAAATGAGTTATTGGGGCTGGTTGTGGAGCCTCACCTTCTCCCCCCCACAGGGCACTGCTGACTGCTGGAGGACTCTGTCCTGGCACCCAGGCATGTCTGCTGGGGTCTGCCTGCAAGATTGCAGCCCTGAGCAATTAGCCCTGAGGACAAAGCACAGGCCTCTGCCCCACTTAAGACCTACTTTACATTCTAGCCTTGCTGCTGTTTCCTTCATTGTATTGTAGCACCCAGAAACCAAGGGATTGGCGTGCTGTAAATACAAACCCAGAGGCAGAGGGAGGGCAGGAGGGTAGCAGGCCATAGGCGAAGGGGATGGGGACAGGGACAAAGTAGCCTTCACACTCACTAGCATTTTTTTTCCTTCCATCCTGTAGCCTCCAGGAAGCTTTCTTTGTTTGGAGCGGCTATTTCATCAGGCCATTCGTTTCACAAGGCTGTGGGCAGTTGTGCTTTGTCTCACGTTTACAGTCCCATGTTCAGGCCAAGGCAAATGTTCCCTCTTCGAAGCCAGCATTACGCTAGGGAGGGACTCTTGCTTGGTGTAGTCAGGGGGCTGATGAAAATCTGGTCCCTTTGGGACATCCAAACTCGCAGTATACCAATAAACTAGTCACAACATGGAAATAAGGTAGAGAGAATAGGGAAAGAGTACGTTTTCTGCTAAGTGTGAAAGCTTTTCCTGGAAAAGCAAGAAATGCTGTTCTTAGACATTTGGCAGAAGTGCAGGATATTTTTAGGAGAAGTCCAACTCATTTTGCATGTCAAAAGTTCAGCGTGTCCATAAGGTCTTGCTGCCAGTTGGACCTCAGCTAATTTACTGAAAATACGCAAATAAGTGTCAGGCACTGCACACAGCTATGCAGCTGACCATGACTGCCCAGGGACAGCAAACAGGAACAACGGAAAGCTTCATGGGTTGTTTTCCAGTTAAATGTGTTGGTTTATTTTGATCATATTTATTTGGTTTTGCTCCACATAAGATGGCAGTAATTTGTAGCCTCTGGCACACTGACCTAGACCACACGGCTGGTCTGCTGTTGGCAGTCGGTCTGCTGAACTCGTGTGGGGTGAGAACTGAGCTAGGCCTAGAGGCCTGGGGTTTCAGAGAACCATACCTCAGATCAGTCGAAGCCATGCTCTGACAAACCTGGCTTCCTGGTGGGCAGGACCTGACACCAGGAGCAGGCAGCCTCTGGTGAGATTGGGAAGGAGGAGAGCAAGGGAACTGGAGATGCAACCAGGACATTAGGTCTAATGGCTCCCACTTATTTAGGAGGAGGGGGTTTTCCTTCTGCCTTGTCCACTGTAGGTTACTAGGAAATCAAATTTGGGTTTTTAGCTTGATAATTCATCAAGCTGGCACAAATAATGTGAAAACACGGTGCTGATTGTTTAGATCTATGCAAATGCATAGCGTTTTGAGGTTATTTTAAATGTTTTTTGTTTTGTTTTGTTTTGTTTTCCAAATTATGGTTCCTACCACTTCTTTCTACCTGTTTGTCTGCCCTTTCCCTTCTACTCTTCTGATCAATATCCCATTATCAGCTGCTGCTGCTGGCAGACACTAACCCTGCTTCCAAATTGTCCTCGTCAGGGGAGGACAACTGTTTCAAGGAGATTCAATTCACAGTGTCAAGCACCAGCAAAGAAGATTTAAAGCTAAGAGAAGTGACTGATTTAAGGGAAGCAAATCAAAGACCAAGGTAACATAAGTCTGACTGTAATGAGATGCTTTTATTTCTGACTTCCTTTTTAGGGGATGTGAAATGTTTTGGAGAGGATTGTTATGCACTGGCTTTTGGTGTCCCAGCAGCACTGATGGTGTTGGCGCTTGGTGAGTGAAAACTCTAATGCTTCTAGTAGTAGTTACCATTTGTGAGTCCACTTATAGATGAGAAAATGCATAAATTTACCAGCTCTGGATGGATACTGTGATGGGAAGCTCAAGGGCACAAGGTCATCCAACAATTCCACAGTTCAGAACAGTAAGAAAAAACACATGATGTTTTTGGTGGTGGACAGACAGTGTTCATCCTGCAATGCTATAGCGTGACACTGTTGAGTGGTCTAGTGGGTGCATCACAATACAGTTACCTTGTTCAATATAACAAAGGGAGGCACCAAAATCATTCTCCTGATGGACTATACCTTTACCTGTCAGTAAGTTAGGCCTTTGAGCTGCCATCTGAGCAGTCCTCAGTTCCCCAACTCACAGAAGAGAAGCTTAATATGACACTTCTAACCTTTGCGCAGGCTTTTTGTAGCTCGGGGACATCTTTAATGGATCAGACTTTTGCCTCAGAATCTGTTTGCCACCCAGAAATCCCAGAAGAAGCTGAATGAGATGCTACTTTATTCTGAGCGGTCTCAGTTTGCTTGGCTGAAGTAATTCCCACAATTATAGTGACAGCCTATTATTATGTTGCAATAATAAGCCCTCATTGCCCAAGAGTCCAGAGGCAGCCACAATCATCCTGCTCCCTAAAGCTTGCATCTTAGCCCCATTAATGTACTGTCAAGACTTCTTCTTCAACCCCTGTCAAATACCCAGTAATTTCTACATTCCTACAGTTACTCCTCAGTAACCAATACAGAGGATACCCCATTAGCTTTGGTTTCACAGTTGCAAGCGACTGAGGGGAGCAGTCCCCTTATTATGCTGCATTTGAGAGGTTTAGACACAGCATGGGGTGGCTTCTCATTCAGCTTGTTAGCTTAATTGAGAGACCAAGCAATTGTTTGATTTCACCATAGCATCTGTGATTTGAAAAGTTCATCCCCCGGAGAATGTGAGTGCTGCTTTTCCCCCTCAAACTTCCATCCGGCAGAAGGACCAGCACACTGAAGAAATGTCATCGGGCCACAGCCAGTGTCACAGCAATTATTTTCAAAAAGTGCATGGTCATGGGCCTGAGCAGCTTCTCTTTTCCCACATGGCCTACTCCTATCAGTTTAAGGCAGCGTAGGCTTCTCTGTGCTGAAAGTTTTCAGCAGGATAGCAGTTGCCCAGGGGAAAATGGACATGTAAATACTGCAGTTTCAGTGAGGCCATCAGTCGAAATGTGTTTTTAGCTAGTGTCCTGCTGCCAGATTCCACAGCCCGCCCTGGCAAAGCAGCTCTGTTCTTTTGTAACATGCTAAAATGCTCTTGGATGTGATATATTTGACTATGTGAGCAGCATGCAGGACTGCAGAAAATACCCTTCCAGTCCTGACTGGCCCCCTCCCTGTGATGCTGGAAAACAAGGATAGGTTTAGAGGCAGAATGGAAATCTTATACAGCAAGATTTTCTGAGCTGCTTCAGTTTCTGAAAGATAAGAGAGGACTGATATTATTTAATTTCAAATGCTAAACAGAATGCAGGAACCTCAGTTCCCAATGGAGTCAGTGGCATCCCCAGGAGATATTTCAGCAAACCTTATCAATCTCCCTTAGGAGGCACCACCGACTCCACAGGGAGATGCTAAAAATGAGGTAGTGCAGTTGCCCACTCTGTGACTTTGATTGAGATTCACCTAAACTGACTTCAGATGCCTCTCTGACAGTTCTGCAAGTCAAACCAGAACATAAAGGGTCTTCGTAGTGAGAAAAGAGAAATGGTGAATCTCCTGCAGCGTTCCTATGTTAGGATTAAAATGCCTGCTTTTCTCCACTGGCTGTGGACCGACCTCGGTGACTGGGTTAGCTTAAAATGCTTTGTTATATGGATTTCGTGCTCAGCTTTTATTGTGCTTCTCCCTGCTAACATCTTTGGAATTGCAGTGCAGTCAAAGGCTCTCAAAGAGCAGGACAAATGATCTGTAATTGGATAGCTCCATCTCAGACAACATTTTGAAGCCTTGCTTCATATGTTTTTGTGCTTTGAGGGAGAAAAACAAGGCAAAACAATATCTTAAATTGCACATCCTTCCATGGAAACCATGAGTGGAGGTAATTTCCCTTAGCACCAGCGTGTGATGCAGTGGCCTTTGCGAGCTGTGCTGGCAGTTGCCATTGAAATGTGTGGGAGATGCAATACACAGAGCCTGGGTGGGATCTGCACTCATCCTCACATGGTTGCAATGACTTGGGAATGGTTTCCAGCACAGGTATCATCAACATCAGGTGCAGGAATTAAATGTGGCTTGTATTTTACGTTTAACCCACAAAAAGCATAGATGGGGGAATTTTCAAAGCACTGGTTTCCTGCATGAATCGGGTGTGGAGGTGCCTGTTGTGCCAGAGCAGATTATGAGAAGATGGCAGTCACTTTGTAGGAATCACACTGCCTCTTGTAGGAAGTTGCATTTTCTTCCATCTGAAGGCATGAATAGTGTCCTGTATGTTTGTTTTGTTTTGTTTTGTTTTGTTTTGTTTTGTTTTGTTTTGAAAAAAATGCAAAAATCCTGTAAGCCCCAAAGGAAGAGGATTTCTGTTGAATATGGGGGTTGGGGCTGAGCTTTAGTCATGTGAATTCCCTTTTGGATTATAATATTTTTCAGTTGTGTTCATTGCTGGAAGTGGGCTGTACAGAAAAATGCCCCCACAAGGGAATGTCTTACTTGAAGTGTGCAAATGCATTGGAGTAAGTATGTGCCATTCCTTCTCTTTCATGCACAACTCTGGGGCTGCAGATCAGAAAAGTGCAAAGGGAATGGGGAGGGGGCATTTGGAGTTCTTCTGTATGCTGTATGGATATATTGCTGATGAGCTAGAAGGAATAAGGAACACATTTAGGTCCCAGTTTATTCTTTCAGCATTTCAATTGTTTTTCTGTAGTTCCATGAACTGTTTAACTGATGCCAAGTAGAACCACTGGGGGGGATGCTGAAAGACAGGCAGGAGGCCGAAAGGAAAATTCAGAAACTCACAACGTATCAGAAATGTGACTTTTTTTTTTCATCTGAAGAATTTTACTGAAGTTTATCAGTTCAGCAGACAGTAAGAGTATGTGTTCATCTTGCGCACATTGAGCATGCTCTTGTAAATGCAAGAGATGCTTGCTAAAGTTGCAGTATAGCCTTATCAATTATTTTTCATAACGTGTAGGCTGAATACAGTATGTGTGAAAATACTTCCTTGGTTTTGGGTGGAGATTGATGCTTCTTTTTCAGGGAGCTGAAAACATTCAGCAAATGTTTTCTTTTTGCCTAGGTTAATGCTAGTGACAGATTTACCTCGAGGAAGCAGCCAGATCTTAAGGATAGGGTTTCTAAGTGAGGCTGCCACTTTTTGCCAGAGTCTGTTCAGCAGCTGGAGCACGCACTATAAACAAACAAGTTAAAAATTTGGTGTCACTGATTTCTCCTTCAGTGAGAAATGAACTTGAAAGCTTCTCTAGGACTGAATGAGATATGGGCTGCACCAGGAATACGCAAAGACAGACCTACAGAACAAGAAAGGAGGGAGAGTTCTGGTTTTGACATTGCTGTGGATAATGAGCTGTTCCCTTCCCAGCACAGTGGTCAAACCAACAGGTGCCTTTCAGAAAAGAACAGAAGAAGAAATTATGTTCAAAACTTTATAACCTATCCGGTTTTAAATCAAGCAAGAAAGTCTATGGGGGTTAATGCCAGATTTGTCTCTGAAAGACAGGCTCAGGAGGTAGTTCATTCCCACATCATGCCTTTAATTAACCAATCCCACAGGACCTTTACTGCAGAGAATTGGTCATAAAGTGTCCAGTCCTGCACATGCAGATTTTGGATGTGTCAAGCAGAATTATCTGGTGCTGTGTACCTTTGGGGATGGGGAGGGCAGCCCTGAGCTGGGAATGTGGCAAGGGCTGATAAGTAAAGCTCCTGAAACAGAAAGGAAGTAGTTTAAATGGCAGGCACAAGGGAGCTATTCACTTTTTTTTTTTTTTCTTTTCTTTTCCCCTAGTTTGCTATTAAAAACAGGCTGAAAAACCGCTCCCATCATATTCCAAAGAGAGATCACTGGCTCGACTGGGCATCAGAAAAATACTCAGTAAGTGATGCTTTACCTGGCAGATTTGGAGGGGGAAAGGGGAAGGCAGGGAGGCAGACAGAATTAAGACTGGCCTGGCCACACCACTCCTCACATACGCAAGTCCTGCACTTGTCGTTTCCCTTCCCATGTCTGTACTCTCCTGACCCTTAATGGACAGTTTAGGTGCTGCACTGAAATGCAGAAGTGCAAATATGCCCATGAGTAAATGTGATAAATAACTGCCATGTAGAGGGATGTTGGAGCTCTCTTGCTTTGTGGCTGGAAGCTCGTGTTGTCTTGTTGTCTTATCTTTCTGCCTGTTCCCTTTATAGAAACAGCTGATTGGGGAGGTTAAAATGGTGACACGCGTCCTCTTCCTCTTCATACCACTGCCGATGTTCTGGGCCCTGTTTGATCAGCAGGTATGGTACCAAAGCACCCTGAGGACACGGGGCACTACACCCCTCCTAGGTGTCTAGGGGCTTGACCCATTCTCAACACTGGTTGTGTCTTCGCAGTTTGCACAGGAGGGTGAGAAGCAAGTGTGCCATGCCTACTGACAGGCAATATAGGGAAGGGAAGGAATAGACAGGGGAAATAAGACCTCCAGCCCTATTGTCTCCATGTTTTCTCTTCTGTAGGATGTCTTAAAGCTTTAAAGGCTTCACAGCTGTCTGTTTTCTTCTTAGGGATCCCGGTGGACTTTGCAAGCCACAAAGATGAATGCTGATTTTGTAAGTACTTACTGTCACCAGGGATAAGACCAGTAGTAATATCACTGCTCTTGCTTTTTAATTGGGGTCTTACAATACTAACAGCTTCTGCTTAGTGAAGTCTGGTTGAGTTGCACTTCCAATGGTCAGAAGTAAGAGGCTCTGTGTGGCCATGTGCAATTCATCACAGCACATCTTGGCACGGCAAGGAGTGAGGGCTGGGAAGCCACTGGCAGCTTGTGAAGTCAGGAGTGCTGGCAGCTGCCTGCTCCATGACCTTGAGCAGGTAGGGTTTCCAGCCTCCTACCCCCACGCAAGGGGGAAGTCAGGGAAAGTTCACGCAGCCCTTGCAAGATATAACAAGAGCTGTTATAGTTGTGTGCCTCTGCTCTGGCTGACTTGGTGATACATTAATGAAGCCCCTAAAGATCAGCAGGAATCCTGTGCATAGGGTAGAGATGTGGTGAAGATTAATTAGTAGCCACAAAGCACTTCAAGGATGTGAATGGCAGGGTGTAGTGGCAGATAAATGTGGATCGGCTGGATGGCTCAAGATGTCACCACCCAGGGCCAGTTTCCAGATGTATATTTTAATAAACCATCTAGATCCTGCCTGTGGATGTTCACATCGGAATTTAAGATCATAAATACCCATTTTACAGTTCAAAATTGACTTAAGGTCCCAAATTTGAGCCCTTCTATGTCTCTCCCATTAAAAATTTGGCTCTCAGCATGTGATACTCAGTAGGCTTAATTAATTCAAATGAGGCATGAAAAAGACTACACAGTGGGTAATATTTTACCCACTCAAGAAAAGCAAAATAATGAAAGTTCCTGAAGTCTTTGTGATGTGCATCTAGAAACTTTGTTTTCTGCTTTTGTGCTTGCATGCACTTAGTGATCTGTAGCAGAACATCTAAAAATCGCCAGGAGTCACTTATTAAACTCTCCCTGGTGGAGAAGAAAACTGTTGGGGTTGTTTTTGTTGCACCAGCTTGGATGGATTTTTGGCTTATTTCAGTCTCATTCCTTCTCTACATCCATGGTGAGCTGCCCCAACCCATGAAGGTGAAAATTAACTGCAGCATTTATGCAATTTCATTGTTAGGCTTGTTGGAGTTTGTGTTTGCAAAATTCCATGTTTTTGCCCTCTCCAGCCAAAGTGCTCGGCTAGGAAGGCTGGAGTTAACGGGGAGTGATTTAGTGTGAGATGAAATGTTTTAGGCTTGTTTCCTAATGGCACATTTGTATAGTGTACACAAAGTAGCAGGGGGAGAAGGTATTTGCCTGATACTTCTAATTGCAAGGCTTCTTGGCTGTGCCCAGTGCTTTTTACTCTCCCAGGAGGCAGCTGCCAGCAGAGACAGGTAGTCATTCCACATTCAGCTCAGGGCAAGCCTGGCAGACAGGAGACAAATCCCCACAGTGCTTTCTCAGAAAGGTACCATTTCCTTCCTAATGTTTTTCTCTTTTCTTTTCATCTTAATTTCAAATGAAAAGCATAGTGTGGAGTTCAGACAAATGCCAGCCCCTGCCTGGAGACAGCCCATCTGCCCATTTTGGGGACTGGGGTCCCTCCATCCACCCCTATTGGCCTCACACAATTGCAGGGGCTAAGCACGGTGGTGCAAGGGTGAAGCAGCTTGTAAAACCTTAAGTACTCTTGCCTCAAACTAAGAAGTCAGAGTTGAACAACTGACCAAAGCCCATTTGGTGCCTTTGGCAAATGGATGGAAAAAATGGGTGTTTGTACAGCCTGCTGGCTCAGGGGTGCTCTTCTGTTGTCCTTTTGGGGTGCTGAGGACAAATGCCAACAGAGCTCAGAGGTCTTGAAACTTGAGGGCATTCACTTCCAGGATTTGGGCTTTCCATTAGAGAAGCAGAGGAAGGAAGCTCTGGATTCAGGTCCCAGCTTGGACACTAACGTGCCTGCTCCTCACCACTCACCTAGGTCAGGGCTCAGCCAGTCTGAAAGATGGGTTTCGGTACCTGTGGCAGGCGGTGTCCCAGTTGCCATATATCAAGGGCTGAGCACAGCTTGCTTCTGCAAAAGGATTCTTATCCCACTATTTGTCTTTAGATGACAAGTGTCAAGTGTCAACGAAAAACATTTGAGGAAGCCACTTCTGCTGCTAAAGCCTATCCTGTGGGCTGGTTGCTTATTTGCCATAAACCACATATGCTGTCATATCATGGTGTTTATGAATCACTTGGAATGTCTTTTTGTTTCAGGGAATATATGTCCTTCAGCCTGACCAAATGCAGGTAAAAATACTTTAGGGTAGGAAATTCTTTTAGAAATTCTTTTTCTCTCTCATTCTTACTTTTCTGCTGGGACCAGTGGCCCATTTCTGCTCCTTTTGAAGATAACAGCAGTGCTCCTGACAACTAGTGTGCTGTGGACTCTTGCTTGCTGCTCGCTAGCTCTTAAGCAAGATTATTGCCTTGATGTTTAGAAGACCCCAAGGTTGTCCTAACACAGAGGTTGAATCCTGCAGAATAATGCAGAGGTGTGGGGGGATATGCCACTGTAATAGCTCTTGAATAGTGCTGGCATGTGGAGGATACAAACTGTGTATGTATCCTTTTAACATGGCTCTGCACTGGGATCAGCCTTACACCTGAAATATGTTTCCTTCCTCCCTTCCTGCAGGGCAAATGAAAATGTGGAGGCTCTAACACGGTGCCATATTGTCACAGTTGATTACAGATCCTACACTGAACAGCTCTGAAGAAATACAAGGCTGTTCTGTTCCCCTAAAATTGTCCTTCAGAGCTGAGACTGAGCATCTCTCTCTGCTTGTTCTCCCGTCGCTCTCTGTTTTCTTGCTCTGCCACTGCAGGCTGGCAGACAAGCTCTGCCCTCCCAGGGGAAATGCAGTTCCTGGGGGGGTTCCCGTGCTGTGTGCAAGTATGAGAAATTGGCAATCTCACAAAATAGTGCCTGTTCCTCTGGGATTTTGCTCAAGTCCCAAGATGTTTCCATTATTGCTGATCTGTTGTAAGGTCCCACCACAGCCCCTAAGGTTGCCTGCCTCCATTTCAGCGGGTTTTGTACTCTCTAAAAACATAATGCTTCAGTTCTCTCTTCAGGGAAATGGGGCTGGTGATGCTTGCTTACCTCTTGGAGAGGAGGATATGTACAAAATGTATTCGTGCCTGTGAAACCTAAATTGCAGAAGCTGTCAAACAGCAAACTGTGATTATATTTTTAAAGGAGGTTTGAAAGTGTTTGTTCATGTCCTTTATTTAATGGAATTATTTCTGGAGGACAGTGCTTTATGAGTTTAATTACTGAAAGTTGCTTTCTAGTCACTAAACTCCCATTCTTTTGTATTGCAGTTCTTAAATCCACTTCTTATTCTTGTCTTCATCCCAATTTTTGACCTTGGGCTCTACCCTCTGATAAGCATGTGCAAATTTAATTTCACGTAAGTACTTGGGGACAATGCCTCAGCTCTTCCTCTTTTGCAGCAAGTGTGCAGAAGAACAGCTTTTAAGAAGAAACACAAATTTCTATTCACCCTTCCCAATACTTCTGCTTCTGCCTCTCTGGCAGCGTCACCATCTTCTGTAGGCCCTGGAAATTCCAGAGGGGAAAATTCAGTGGTGTTAGATTTTGCTCTATCAACGGATTTTCCCTCAAGCTGATATGAACAGTCCCTTTTGAATTTGATCAACATGTCCTTCACCTTATCTCCTGTATCATTGTTAAATAATTCCCTTCCTGAAGCTCCCAGGGGGCCAAACTCACTGTCCCACATGGGCTGTGTGTGGTCTTGTGAAGGCAGGTTCCACACTAGGATAGGAACCGGTGAGAAATGCTAGAGCAAAACAGTTGTTTCCCAACCATTTTGACCCAATTTATGCATTTGGGGTGTGTGTTACTTCTGAGTATCTCTAGTCTGCCTCTGTGGATTGATGCCCCTTAGCAGTGGAAGTAAGTTATGTGTACCTGCCAGTACAGATCTAGCTGAAACAAACCAAGTTTGTGCGCTCCAACACCACTCAATGTGAAATAAAGCGTGGAAAGAGGGAATAAGTGGGAGATCGGCTTCAAAAGCCCCAGCTTGGCAGAAAAATTCCTGTCTGATGACCAGTTCACAGAGTAGCTCACCCAGCAGCACAAACCCATGCACTGACCAGGACTGAATGTCATGCTCTTTCTGTCCCCTGGATGCCAACAGGCTCCTACCCAGTTTAGCCATAGATGTGGCTGTGGAGATACTGTAGTCTTCAGGGTTTTCTTCTTTGTGGCTGCGCTACACAATCTCAGTGCACAATTTGAGGTCAAAACCAGTTTGTTTGTTACAAGATAGAAACAGTAAATATGTTCTTATCCCAGGGCACGTAACTGAGAGACAGAATTTGGGTTCATAATCTGGATTTCCCACATCCCTGTCAATCTAGAATATGAGTCCAGACCACTACAAGGAGCAGAAAATCACAGACTCTAGATCCACGTTTGTTTCAAATCTCAACAACTCAGTGGACCTGCCTTTCTGGACCTATTTTACACCCTTTTATATCAGATTGTCTCACATAACTCTGGCAGAGTTGTACTAGTTCTGCACCAGTTTCAGAAGCAAGCTCCTTATTCTCCAGAAATGTAAATCTATTGGCAGGAGAAATAACCCAGAATGATGACACAGATGGTCAGAAATGCTGATGACAAAAACTATACATTTTTTCTGCTCTTCATTCCTGCTGCTAAATAGCATGCTACTTATCTTTTGCCTTTCCCAAAAGAGACTTGAAGATGTGTCATTTCTAGTGCTCCTTCCAACATCACAGGTTAACATAATGCCATGAGCTACTCCCACTAGAAGAGCTAGGAACAAGATTATATGCAACTTGCAAGCACAGAGCTTTTTTCATGGCATATCAGTTTTAATTGGCCTCAGTGCTGGCCTCATACAGAAAAATAGAATAGTTTTAAGTTAAATGATTGGCAATTTAAACAGCACGTCATCCCTAGTTCCACCTGTTGGACAGTTTATTATGTGGTTTTGGCACATCTTAGGCTCTGAGGAATTATATTTTATATTTTAAATTACTTTCTTTTCTTAATGGCACCTCTTTCATTTGCTCCATAGGCCTATTAAGAAAATGGCAACAGGTATGATCCTTGCAGGGATGGCGTTTGGACTTGCAGCTATTGTAGAAGTCAAAATAAATGTATGTATAGCATGAGAGATTCCTCAAAAATACTTGGCTTTCCCTCGGGTGTTTTATTGATGCCTGTTGGATAATCCTTTTACCCGTTGTGATCCTGGATTGTCACCTTGAGTTTGTTCTTTACAACTAAGCATACCAATCCAGTTGCTAATTTAAATTCTTACTTTCTGTCTGTCTGTCTGTCTGTCTTTCTGTGTCTTCGTCTCTCTCTTTTTCTGCTCTTTGCAGTTTTGCTGTGCCAGACACCTGTGTTGGTCTATATTCTATAATTCCATCACCAGTGCTTGACAGACACCTAGTTAATGCTAGAGATTAATTCCCCAAAGGTAGTCCGTTCTCTCTTCTATTTCTTGCTGTAGGTTTCCTATATTTTACTGTTTCAGTTTATTTTATTCCTTTTCTACTTTGGGTGGGGATGTGTTTTTTACACAATCAATTCATTCTCCAGTGATGCGGGTGAATGCAGTCATGGACACCAGGGGCTGCTGGCCATTCCCAGACAGAAAACCAGCAAAGCTCTTGTAAATTCAATGTTAGCCCCTGCAGATTTGTGCCATTTGTTTCTGGCCCGCAACCAGCTTTGTGCAAACTTTGGCTGACCTTTGGCTTAAGAAAGATACAGTAGGATTAATTTTTAAAGCTTTCCATGTATACTTAAAGTGTTCTGTTACAGAGTGGCTGGCACACAGCCCTGGATTAATATTTGCTGGCTCCTCAGATGAATCCATGGATGAGTCTGCCATTGCAATGAGGCTGTGGGCTGAGGTCCTTTCTGATCTCTTTTCTTGAGCAATGAAATGCGCTCACATTGCCAGCCACAACAGCCCTCTCTGAGCACTGAAAGTCTGCTCTGGCTGTGGGCAACTCATCCAGGCAGAGGCACGATGAGTTAGATGTTGCCCCCTGCCTATCCATGGAAATTTTACCCTGACGGCCACTAAAAGCTCCAGCAAAGAGGCACGTATGATGGCCCGCCTTGGTTTGCTGTGGGTAGTGCAAGTGAAGAGCCACAGTGGTGGGATTTGCTGAATATTAAGATTGAGAAATACATGGAAGACAGTGTCACCCTATATTTTCTGACAGTGGCTCCCCTCCAAGCTAGGTTCAAATTACCCTGCCTTCCTGAGTTACAGGATGAGATAGAAAAAAAAATGATAGCTCTGATTTATCCCTGGCAGCTACCTGAAAATAAAGTGAGGGAAAAAAAATATATATATATATATATATACAAACAGCAACAAAACATAAAACCTCAACAAAATAAAAAAATAGTTTTAGATCTGCAGTACAAGGCTGACATTGACTGAAGTACTCCTTCTAGGAAAAGACTCCTGGCAGAAAGAGATACCTGTGTACTGCAGGCATTATCTTCCCTTTCCTAGAACACAGGCAGCAAGGTCTGTGCTGAGGTAACATGGTGTCGTGTGATGCAAAAGCACCAACTACAGACATGGAGCTGGACTGGGATTTCCAAAACTGCTTAGCTGCTGGCCTAATTCTTTTCCCAGTCACCGGCTGCACTGGGAAAACAACTATTCTGGTCCCTGCTTTTGAAATCTATCACAATTCTTCCTTTCTGATGTGGCATTTGGTTAAATCCAGGCACTTGGGAACTGTGTAATGAGTGGCACTGTTCTACCTGCCCAGCAGCTGTGTAGCCTCTACATTTAATGGTGTTAAGAGCAGCCTTTGTGAAGAAGGGTGGGTTGGCTATTGAGCTACTCCGAGGAAGCCTCCCTAAATAAGATTTATGTCAAGTTTTCTCTCAGTGCAACTTCTGATGAGGAAGGGATGGAAAAGTGTCATTACAGAGGAAGACTATTATGACTAAAAAGGAAGAGTTATTAAAATGCTAATAAAGCATGCAGATGGCACTTAAAGCCTTTTATTTTAATTAGGAAACCGATATGCCTCAACTTGTCCCAAAAGAAAGTTTAATTCAGGTCCTGAATTTGGCAAAGAACCCCGTTCAAGTGACAATCGAAGACCAGGACCTATTTCAGCAGCCTGTGGAGGCTTTTCAGGTAAGTGTGTGCGTGGGGATGGCACACCTGACTTGCATCCCATTGAAAAAGGGTGTTTTTTTTTTCAGTCACTTACCCATAAAACCCCCAGATGCTAGAGCTTGCTCTCTGCCACCTTAGAAGTGCATGGGAATGGCTTTGGAGAAGGAGCGTGCTACCTCTGACTAGACAGAAAGGGAAGGTTTGAGGAAGGGAAGGTTTGAGGATGTATTTTCTTGACAAAGGATGAAATGGCTAAAAACGTTCACCTAGAATTAGGAATAAAGGAGGAATGTCCCAACATGAGGCATTCAGATCACATCTCTCAGTGCTCAGACGTGATCTGGACATTGCTGTTGGGAACTGGATGGCATCTGAGAAGTATTTACCTGCAAAGGGGGAAAGAAATGGGAAGGTAGTTAACTGGGTATGGGCACTGCAACTTGTTTCCTATTTCAGCTTCCAGATTATTTCCAGGTCAGCCTATTTTAGGTCTCAGAACAGCAGTCTGTTGGCTACCAGCTGCTTGCCACATTTTAGATATGGGTTCACTGGGGTAGAGCAGGGCCAAGGAAAGGGGAGCTCTATGTGTGGGAGGTTCCCTGGCCTTTGGCTTACAAATTGCAAAGGAAGCTACTCCAAGCTCTGAGCTGACCATCCTGAAGCCTTGATCACGTGAAGAAAGTGTGTAACCAAGTTTTTTTTTTCCTCTCTTTTTTTTTTTTTTTTCTTTCCCTACAGGACCCAGCTGAGTACTCAAATTTGATATTGAATGGCGAGCAACAGAACCTTCACTTCATCCTGCAACATCAAGGATTGTCTCTCACTTTTAACTACACCGTGAAGGAAAAATCAGTATACAGCTTAATTGTTTTTGAGGCAGAAGGAAGCCTATCAAGTCGCCTAGTGAGTGTGGGAGTGAAGTGTAAATACAGTATTAATTCAATGGCTGTGATGATACAATGGGTAATGGGGTAATAGGCTCATTAATTCATTTGCTCAGTTGCAGTGTCTGTCTGATTGCTCTCAGATGCTCTAAACCTGACTTCTTAGCTGGCGGCACTGGATCTGTACACATTTCTGCTGGTTGATTAATAGAGGCGTTATGGCATCTGAGAGTTGCTAGGAACACTTTAATCCAGTGAATGCTGCAGTGGGAGAGCAGAGTCATGCCTGCTGGGCAGCAGAGCTTGTGAAAGCTGAGGAAGCCGAGAACCAGAGATTTTCCCCAAAAGATGGTTCTATAAAGCGAAGATGTTAAAGAGGCTCTAGGGCTGGGCACGGAATAAAAGCATCAGAGGAATGACTCTGGGCTTAGTTATTACAAGTGTTTAGTGAAAAAGCACAGAAGGCCCATTTGTTTTGTTGAACAGAATAAATGATTAAGCTCATTTCCGGCTCTGCTGCGGAGCTGCCTTTGTTTGGACTTCTGTGTATTGCTGCAATAACTGTAGAGACGTATATGGGATATGTAGGGCCAGATTCTGATATCTTCTGAATGCAGCTGTATGCCAAGCAGCTGTCTTAAAATGAATGGTGTCATTCCATGTTGTGGTAGGTGTGTGTGTGTATGTGTAAAAGCCATCAGAATCTGCCCTTGTGCTGAGACACCAATTCTCTTATTCTCTTAGCAATTCCTCAGCCTCCTGCCTTGCGGAGTTGCCACTGCAAAGGCTTTCAATATTGTGTAGTAGGAATCGTGTAATTGGTTTTAAAAATGCAGAGTTTCAAGAATTTATTTATTTTTTTCCTTATTTTTTTTTCTCTTCTGTTTTATGGTTTGGAACCCGGGGCTCATTTTCACACAGTGCTGTTAAGTTTCCCTGAGACCCTGATGATTGTGTGCTGTTTCCTTTAGGAATTGATACTCATACACTGATTTTGATACAGTCGCTATGAAAAGAAAGACTGAGACAGGCTGAAGCAAAGCAAACTCTGAACCTCAGTGCATCTCTGTGCTGCCCCAGCTATCTAGCCTGCCCCTGGCATGGGCAGGCTTCAATGCAGCACTGTTGGGTGATGCTATTGACTTGTCATTCTCAGCACTAGATAAGGGAGGTGTGGAAGACAGTGTAGTAAATTATACTGTCCAACACTGCAACACAAGGTGGCAATGGCAGCATCACTGCTGTGTTGAGGGGCTTGTCCTGGAGTGGCCATGGGCCATGCCAGTTTCCCCCAAACCCATGCTAGATTTGCCTCCCTCACTCAGGTGAGGATGCTTCCTTGGAAGGATCCAATCTGAAACTGGTTTCTTCTCCTTTGTGGGTGGTTGAGTGGGCAGCAAATAAATTTGAGAGCTCTGGGGATCATTGATGAAAGTGAGTAATAATTTGTCTAGCCCGCCTGCAATGAACTAGTGTGTTAATCCCCATGTGCCTCCCACTGAAAGAAATGATGTTGTTGTTTATTATTTATTGCTCTGACATTTATTATTCACTATGGCTATTCATTATTTAGGGCATATATTATTTCTGGATCAGCATATCACACTGAAATAGAATAGACATTTTATAGGGATGCTGAAATTTTGGATTCTTGCTTAGAAGCTCACGGTTTAACACCAGGAAGAAAGCTTGAAGGAAGGGCTAGAAAATTTGGCAACCAGGTTGCCAATCCAAGGATGTGCCCGCAGAGATTGCAACCACAAAATAAATCAGTGCATCTTGGTGTCTCCTGCTCTCTGCCTGCACCATGAGACATTTTTCTCTCTTGAGTACTGAAGGTCAAGGAAAACGTGAGCGATGCATGATGATCAGAATAGTATCCTAATGTTCCCTGTTGGCTTTAGGCTCTGTGAAGCCAATGAGTAATCCAAGAATAAAACTCTGGAAGTTAGGCAATTTGCTGTTTTTGTAGGAATATGGCACCTGTGTTTAGTTGTAATTAATCACTGAAAAGTTAATGTGGATAATGCTCTGTTGCTATCTTCAGATCGAGACAAATACTTATTTTAGTGGGTGTTAGATGGCTCAGTAGAAGGATAACTGGCTGAAACTCTGTAGCTTGTGTTGTACAGGAGGTGAGAAGGAACATAGGATTTCATCTTAAGCCCTAGGTGGAGCTGAAATTTTGCCATTGGTTTCATTGTACCAAGGCTTCACTTCTGTGGCCTGATATAAAGTTAATGTGAGAGTCCAGCCAATTTCCACAGTCTTGTAACACATGTAATTCCACAGGCACAGGTATTTTCTCTTACATGTTGTTTATCAGGCTGTATTAATGCAGATATTTGATTTTTTTTTTCTTTTTCTTTTTTCTTCCCCTCTTTAGATTACAGACCTGAAAGCAAAGCCAGAAAATGGTTTGGCAGCTGTTAGGTATGAATGGCTCTTTTTGAGGATTCAAGGGAGGTGGGGTGAGGGAAACTGCTTTTGTCTAATACAAACTGTATGCACCATAGCCTAGGTGTTCTCAGGTTAAAATGTGGTCCATGCTTCTTCTGCAAGAAAAGTTTCAGGTGTCAGGGTGCTCCGTGTGCCACCTCCCACACTCACCACACGGAGCTGAGTGTTATTGCCATTTACTGCCTAGGAGTGGCTGGACTGAGATGACAATGTAAAAGATCCCCTCCCCTGGGAGGGCGATAAATTCATCCCCTTGTGTCCCATCTCTTTGGGAAAGAAAGGGAAGGAGCAATCTAGAAAGGAGCTGCTGCCGTTTGTCCTCTGCAAACTGGCCCAGCCCATGACATTCACTTATCTCATCCGACCTCACGTACAAATTTGTACTGAAGTGGATACAACGAGAACAGTATGTTCGTAGCCCTGTGTTTGTGAAGGCTCCTGCTGACTAAACAGCACCTTGGGGAATTGATCAATACCCACAGTCAGGAACTTTTTTTATTTTCCTGTGAGCATTTTTTGACAGAATCCTAGAACTTTCTGTTCAAAAATGTGTGAGGAGGTTTAACTAGGAAGACATCCTTTTTTCCCCCTCTAAAGTTACTTTCATAAAGCCCTTGCCTGTCTTCAGAGATTTCCCCTCCATTTCAATAACCGAAAACCAAAATATTTTAAAACATAGATCACATTAAAACATAGATCACATTAAAAGTGTTTGGCTTCACTAACAGCCCCAAGCTTGTGCCTTCCCATGGAAGACTGTTTTGATGAAAGCACATTATTTTGCTAGAAAACTCGTTCCCACTAGTAGAAACTCCTTGGAAAGTATTCCAGCATGGTGCACACACCCATCAGGACTCCCAGCTTTATAGTTTCCTGGGGGGCACTGGGGATCTGTCTTCTTGATCATATATAGGGGGAATCTCTGAAGGTGTCTGAGAAGAGATTGCTGGTAAGTTCTACCTCACAAGAAGTAGGGGTCACTTTGACAGGGAGAAACTAAGGGGGTAAAATTACACAGCAATAGGGAAGCTAATCTTTTATTGGAAAAACTGGGCAATGAATAAAGCTAATATTTTGGTAGCTTGCAGGACAAACTAGTATAAGCCTATGGAGTTACAGAACTTTTGGATAGAGGGTGCGTTTCTAAAGTGTCTAATACTGTGCTCCTCCTGCCCTGTGTGACAGCCTAATATGCTTTCATTGCAGATTCATTAATGGTTTGAGCCAAGATGCCAACCTCACCATTGACAGCAAACAGTTCGTTGCTGTTCCGAAGAACTACGGTGTTTCTGAGTACTTGCTGCTAGAGAGGGACAAGTAAGTTTCCCTTGCTGTGCTGAAGGTCCTTGTTGAAGCCTTTCCTTGGATACCATGGGGCTTTTCTCAGGAAAATAGCAAAAATTTCATTACTATTGTCTTGGCATTTGGTTGTGTGGGCAGATGTTTGTAAAAAAGCAGAATTGTCATCTCTGTGCAGAGCAGGTGCCCTGGACCACTTGTGTGTGTACAGAAGCACTATGCATTTAGTCTGCAAAGCGTCCAAGTCAAAGGATAGCAGATCAGTATCTCTGTGCATAATATCTAGTTGAATAGATTCAAGTTCCAAACAGTGCCAGGGATAGTTCCCTTCCCATGGCTGTTATTGCTCTGTTAAGATAAAATCATCGGGAACAGAGCTTGAAAACATTTCTGCTACGACATGAGAGTAATGCCATCCTAATTTAGGCAATGATTTTCTTAGAGTCAGGTCAAAGGAATCTTGGGAACCCAAAAAGCTTTTAGAAGAAGTCCAAATACAGGGCTTAGCTTTTTCTGACCTATTATTCACATTGTGCGTGGGGTTGGAGGGAAGAGAATCTCCATTCCTGTGCAAAGTAAGGTGGGAGATGGAAAAGTCCCCTCTGCCATGTGGCACCTGCTCTGTTTTGATATTCTCTCAGGCCTGAGGTCTTTGTGTTAGGATGCTCTCAGAGAAAGACCAATTCATATTCCAGGCCACGAAGTGTTGGTATGTGGGCTGGTAACACCGAGTAACATCACACGGCTTTGCAGACTGGGCTTGTTAGACAGGAGCTCCATATGGCCTTGGTTTGGCAGCACTGGAGTTGGCTCCTGGAGGATATTTCTGGCCTTTGCAATGTTTCAAAAGCCTCATGGCTTTTCTCTGCATCAGCTCCATCCAAGATACTTATTGCTGCAATTTAGAAGGATGTAGCAGCCACTGTGGCAATGCTGTTGAGCATCTGTGCTGCTTTACGCATTCAAAACCAGAAGAACAAATACGATGGCTAACTTGTTCTATTGAAAGGAAGCAATATCTTCACCCATGGTTTCTGGGTGTGTAGCTCTGATTTTCTGAAGGCTGCCTGAGCCCGGCTAACTTGTCTCTCCCTAGATAAGTGTCTGGTTCCTAAAGGAGTGAAGAAAAACTTGAAAGTAAAATAAATCTGGGGGAAAAGAGAAATCCATGCTAGGAAGAAGCCGCATTTAAAAATGCTAGTAATAGCCCGGGTCATTAGGTGAACTCTAGTCAGTGTCTAAGTATTTCTGGAAGGAAAATATGGCAAGAACTCTAGAGATGCTCTGACATTAACATGACTGCAGCTTTACACCATTCATCCTCCCTAGTCCATTGTAGGGGCATTTTCATTAGCTGTGCCTTGTGCTCTTTGTCTGTGAGAATAACCAGAAAATGCTGTGCTTCATCCTTGTATCTAGATACAGCAATGGAAAATGCATAACTGAAATGGGGGAATTCACCTTGGACCTCGGGCTGCTCGACTTTGGCGCATCGTACACCGTTGTGGTAACTAATGTAAGTGACCTGGTGATGGTAACAAGTGCCTTCTGCTCTGGTCTCTGGCAGTGCTTTTGTTCTTATGTTGGTGACTTTCACTTGCTTTCTCCACTCAGCAAGAACTAGGCAGTAGCCATTTGAAGGCAAGTCTATTACTCAGGGGCTAGTAGATGGTTTTGGCACGTATACAAGCAAAATGAATGGGTACTCAGTCCATCTTAGGCTGTGATCTTGCCAGATCTTGCAAGCTACACAAGAAGTAAGGTATTTTCCTTGATGGAAATCCTCAATGTAAAATTGTGTGGCCTGCAGTTTGTGCCAGCACATAGCAAAGAGCTACTGCAGACACCGCCAAGAGCTAATGGTGCTTATGGTCTCTAAAATACCGTACCTGGTAATACCTCACACCTGAGGAACTCTGCAGAAACAGTTTGCTTTATCCTCACATTTCACTTACTGACCTGAAGGCTGATCTTCCAAGGCTTGCAGACGTGCATGGGAAGAAGAAAAGGGCAAAGTGCTGATGGAGGTTGGTGAGATTGTTCATCTGTTTTTCCTTCTCTCGCCCTGTACAGCTCATTTGGAGCTCATTGTAAAGTCAAGGCATGGCTTTCTGAACAACCCAGGGGTGTGAACATCGCAGAGGGTGGAATCCTTTGCCTGCCTGCCAGCTTCTTAGGCACGCTGCTCCAGCTCTGGTCCAGCTGGCAGGAGCCACGGAGATGAACGTGATCAGCTTAGTACCCACTTTAACCTTTCCACTGCACGGGTTCACAGACAAACCAGGTCTGACAGGACACACTGCTAAGCTGCCCTCTGGGGCTTTGACTACTGTGTTGTGATGAGCAGAGCAAAGTGCTGTCAGCTACTCCCTGGCAATAACATCTCCCTGTTGGGCAATTAATGGAATCTGTTCATGTCTGCGGAGTCCAAATATGTAGGGGGAAAAACATAGCTGCAAAACACCTGGCTTTTTTTTTTAAACTCCAGTAGCTGGAATGGGATGCACAGTCCTGGAGGGAACAGGCAGATGCTGCCATCTGTGAGTGCGGAGATTTATGTACATAAAACACACACACACTTGAAGTGATATGGGCCAGACCCTACCTCTGTGGCAGCAAGCCTCTTTCCCCATGATGAGAAGCTGCGTTTAGTTTCATGAAGAACATTAGACTAAGAACATTGCCCCAGAGCCTCCAGTAACACAGCTGAGTAAGGGCCAGATGAGGTAGGTGCACCCCACATTGCTGTGGGTAAGGATCCCGCTTTGTGGTCCTATCTACAGAAATCCTCTTTGTAGCCGTGGCTGCTCAGGGGTGGCTCTGTGCTTCAGCCCCTCTGGGTCTCTGTTTTTCCATCTCTTGTCCTGTAGTTTCATTCTTCTGTAGAGAGTTAGTTTGCTCCAGGCCAAGATAATTTTTAATCGTTGCAGTGATTTGTACTGTGCCCTGCTCCTCTGCTGGGAGTGCTACATCCAATACCAAGACTCCAATACATTAGTCTGCTAATGTGGCTGAACTGTAATACTTAAATCATGGGGATGCTGCCTTCTACCCAACCTTCCTCAGTGTGTGGTTGTAGTATGGTGCTCGTGACATTTGTTTATGGGCTGAAGAGCAATGCACAGCTCTCCTCTTTTAGCCTTCTGAAATACACTCCCTTGATTTGCCTCCCTGCACAGTGATCAAGTACATTTCCTAAACATCCCTTGTATTTTCCCAAAATACTCCTTAAACACAAGGTTTTATGCCTGAAGTCATTTCGACCGAGTGTTTTCCACACTGCTTGTCAAATCTGTCTCTGACTCCCTATGCATCAGAGGCAGTACTAATTGCACCTAGGAAAGCAAACAAAAGGAATTAGGAATGCAGCTACGTTAACTATCTGAACACACCTGATACAGGACAGCCTATGCTGCTCTTTGAATTCCTGGAATGGATTTGTTTGTGTGTCACCATTATAGTGGGGGAGTTGTACAGTGCTGATGAAATGGAAACAGTGGCCTTGTAGGTGGAGTGAGGTCTTGCCAGCCTGCAGTAACTCATGCAGTTCTTGCAGCCCGTGAGCTAGCTGGGACGTCTGCATGCTGCCACCTGTGCCCTGGGCAGTAGGAGTCAGCCCTCTCCCAACAGGCTTGGATATGGCAGGGATCAGGCCCATATTTTGCTTCCAGGTCAGAGCTTTGCTTCCGTCTTTGCTTTAAGCTTCATTTTAATATGTTCTCTCTTGCAGTCCAAGCCAGGAAGGATCTGATCTTTCAGCAGCTAATCAATGCGCCTTTGTTTCCCTGTTAGGTTTCTGGAGATGCTGTTAAGACATGGAAGTCAGAAGACATCAAAGCCAATAGTGTCCATATGGCTTGGCAGCTACCACAATACTTACTAATATCTGCTGGAGAGGTGATGTTCTCCATTACGGGTCTGGCCTTCTCCTATTCTCAGGTACTCCACTTAAAGATAAGAGGCTTACAATTAGACTTTGGGATTTATTCCTGTATCTGCCATTGACTTGCAATACGTCCTTTGGCATGACTTTGGCTTCCTAACAATGTTATCTGTTCTTCAGCTAAAAGTAGGATTATAAAGCAGCTTGCTGGGTGCCTTCAAGCTAAATTCATTCATACTCTGAAGATAGCTTTTCTCAATTATACTCAGGAAACCCCTTTTCTGGTAAAGCTGAGAAAACAGAACAGAAATGGATAGAAGTTAAATTTAATGGGAAAGCTCTGAATGCTGTAATGCCAGGTTTTTCTCCCAGCAAGAAAGTTTTTCTCCCAAATACTTTGGGTATGTATTTTTCAGTGAAAAAAAATGCAGAAGTATCTCAAGGACTACAGGGTGGCATGGGGGCTTGGAAGCTGCTTTAAGGTGAGAGATTGAAGGGGTAATGAGAATGCAGTGGATAATTTGATTGTGGTGTACTAGGTTGTCTGTGGAGAAGGTTTATGAGCAGAGACGACTGAGATATTGCAAGATCAAAAAGCAGAAGCTACTCACATTTGTCCTTGGGGAGTACATTGCAGATGTTTATTAATGAGGGTGATTAATCCAGTGGGACAATCTGTTGTGAAATATAGAAAACCTTACATCGTCAGGAAGCTTAACATCAGGATCCAGCCTCTTTTCCAAAGATGTGCAGCCACAGGGCACCAGGCTTCAAGCTTCAGAACTTGTGCGAGCCCTCGGGCTTCCCAATTTTACAATTTCAGCTGATGAATGTTGGGGGTGATCAGGATCCAGCTCTGCAACAGCAGTGACTTTTCCTCCTTCTTGTTATGGATGACATGTTTTGAAACCTCCTTATATGCAGCTGTAGGACTTAATAACAGAGGAAGCACTGTGCGAAGGAAATTCCACCATCTCCTCCTAGGCTGGGTCCAGGGATGCTTGGACCTGGCAGGACATCACAGGGGAGGGGTGGTGGGTGAGCTGGACGTGGGGGCAGAGCACTACAGGCACTGACCAGACCCTTCTCCTCTTCTCAGTCTCCAGCCAGCATGAAGTCGGTGCTGCAGGCAGGTTGGCTGCTCACGGTGGCTGTTGGGAATACTTTTGTGCTCGTCGTTGCCCAGGCTGCACCAATGGCACAGGTATGGTTTGGCACTTTCAACAGAGCCAATGCTTAAAACAGGCTCTGGGTGGTACTGCTGGATGCCTGTGCTCTGGAGACACAGCTTCTCTGCCTAGTCCTAGGCTCCTGCATGGGGTGCTGGCAGTCTGCACCAGCTTCTTTCCAGCCAGGGCTCTGGCTGGAAATTTCAGCCAGGAAATTTATTCTCCCAAAGTCATCCTGTGGGCAAAAAGCCCAGGTAGGTGTACTCCAGTCAGGGCAGACTTGTAAGAAAAGGTTTAATGATGCTAGCCCAATGTTACCAGTCTCTTTCAAGGTATAGTGCATATATTAATCATTACACTGTGTCTATACCAGAGAACAGGATGAGAAAGCTTCTACCTTGTGAGCAGTCTTGGATGCTGGGAATTAACTTTAACCTAGTGCTTTGAGAAGCACTTGGAAGTGCAAAGAAACCCTCTGGACTAGGGGTCTGGGATCTCCTGACCTGATTTTTTTTTTTTCCCTCTTTTTCTTTTTTCCCAGTGGGCTGAATTTGTCTTGTTCACTGTTCTACTCTTTGCTGTGTGCATTATTTTCTCCATCATGGGATATTTCTATGTCAGCGTGGATCCAGAGGACCTACGAGAAAAGGAAGAGAAGACAGAGACCCCAAGCAGAGGAAACATGATTAGTCTCGTTACTCAGAAAACAAAGCTCTAACACATCATGGGTTGGGATCTTTTTTTTTCTTTATTTTTTTTTTAACTGGGTAGGTGGTAGGGTGAAAGAAAAATGGGGACCATGTTATTTTATTTTATAGCACTGCAGTCTTTATTACTCAAAATGTAGCCACCATCTAAATGGGACAAAATAGCCCTCTATATAAACAGTAGGGGTCCTGAAATCAGAGCAAAATTCCCTGGGAAAGCTCGTCTGGTATTAAATGCGCTTATAAGTAAATACAGTGTAATTTAGAACCTGCCCATCTTCCTAAGCAAGGGATACTTTCCTATGATTTTGATTTAAACATATATTTAGGGCAGCAGGGAGGTAAGGGTGGAGGGCATGCCAGATGACAGCAAAAGCTGCAGATGTTGGGGGGAAAGGATGAAAACTCAGTATAGGAATCAGGAAATAATAGATGTTAGAGATGATGGAAGATTTTTTTTTTTAATGCAATCATCACTGACTGGAAGAGTTACAATCCCAAAAGGTTTCATCATGTAACTCTCCTTATGAGTATTTCACCCCATTATTGCAAATTATGAATGGCCCTGATTTATGACTTTCAGCTCCAGGCCCAGAAGTAATAACAGGGAATTAAATGCTGCAGGCTCAAATATTCCCCAAACACTACTGAACAAGATATGCATGCTACCATCTCTCTGATACATGCTTTTTTCTTAGAAGTTTGCACTGGCTGATAGTATTCTTTGATTAGACGTGATTAGAGAATTGGTTTACACTTTTTTACTTCAGGAATCCAGGCGGTTATTTGCCATCTTAAGCTTATATTGGACATTTCCTTTAACAGTACCTGCCACCGCAAGGTAGGGTATGGCTGTTTTCTCATCTCATGCTTCAGTTATTCCCCACTGGGAGACACACTGCAGCAGTTTCTATAAAATCCCAGGTATCCCGCAGTGACTTAAACAAGGATGCACTTTATCATTTTTTTTCAGTCTACAAAATGAGACCATGGCATATGAGATTTTTCTTTTTCCTACCTGATTTTCTGTCTCTCTACCAAACTCTGGATGTAGGTATTTTAGCAGAACTGTGATATAACTGTCTGATTTTCCTTCCTTACATGAAGCTGTGATTGTTGTTGTTCTGCATTAGAACTATTTCAATCATTGCTGATGTAGTAAAACTCCCAAGCCAGCCCCTGCCATCCTCTGCCACTCCAAGGCTGCAGTTGGGCCAGGTATGACTTACTTTACAAAAGGGCTGTCAATAGGATTTTCAGGTTCACAGTCAATAGGATTTTCAGGTTCACAGAGAATAGATTTTTGATGATACTTTCCTCTTCCAACTTGGCATTGGTTATATAATGAAATACATGTTTAATTTCACTCCTGTTCAGGGTGGTGCTAGGGAATATGCTTAACTTGTCATCTCTGGTACTTTAATGTGCTGCTGTCTGTGTGTGTTCTTCAATAAGACCGAGAAAACCCCACGTTTTGGTTTGCACCTGGAAGACTCTCAGCCTCAGATTGCTTCCTTTGCTTACCGTCCTAAATGGTCATGAGCTTGCACTACGAGTTCTGCATCAGCTCCTGCCTGCTGTGAAATAACATCTGGGTCTTGCGCCAGAGGGGGGCCGTTGTCATTTATCTGAGACAACAGGCTGCGGGTGTGCACACGGAAACGCTTAATGTGGTTCGGTCGATGCAGAGCCATTTATTAAGCTGTGGTAGCTGGAACCGGGCAGCTGAACCCTGCAACTCAGTGGGGAATGAAGGGCACTGAAAGCCATCTATTAGGCCATCTGACCTGCGCCTCAGAAGCCAAGCGAGGATTATCCCTCTGCTCCTTTCTGATATTGTTCTCTTGCCATGAATCTTTGTGTGTGTTCTTTCTCCTCCAGGCATTGTTGTTTTCCAAACCCTGTTTTATGACACACTGAGAATCAGCTCAGAGGCTGCTGAATCACTCTGCTATGATGCTGTTTGACTGGCTTCCAATTTGAAGCGCTAATAGAAAGCATTTCTTCCCCCCCTTCCCTCTGCAAACAGAACAGAAAACCCCAAACTGAAGGAATGGACAGGCTCCAGTAGCACTGAACAGACACGATTTAGAATTATTGGAGCATTTAATTTTTTATAATCCTTGAATTTGGAAGTGTGCTTGGCTTTGAGGGCATATGTGGTGAAAAGACAACTGAAAATTATTGGAGCACTTTCCTTGGGCAGCGCTTCGTACATCGCAGCTCAGAGTGGCATGAGGGAAAGCAAGGTGCTCAAAGGATGTGATCTTTAAGACTGCATGGGCTCAAAAACCTCTTGACTTTTATGTTTTATTTCCTTACTGGCGACATTACCAGAAGCTGTCACACACTCTGAGCTTAATTTAAAGGAATCATTCCAAACTCGTAAAAGATACATTTAGGATGTCATCTGTATCTGCTTTTTAGGCTCCTGATGCCAAATTGTCCCTTTCCAAACATCTCTGTGTTCCAAACCATTGCCATAATGCTGGGGGGAGAAAAATTGCAGTTCACAGTTGGGAAGGTTATGAGCAGGAAGCCAATGCTGTAAATAAAGTGCTAACATGAGGCTGGGGGCTGCTGCTGCAGCCCCTCCAGGGAATCTTTTGCCCGAGGGGGTGGAAGGCTCTGCTCAGGTTTCTCCTCCAGCTGATGCAGTTACTCCTTCCCCACCTGTGGGAGGTCAGCTCCCCTCCGATCCAGCTGCTCGATTGCTGGCAGGGCCGTTCCTCACTGCCTCTGCTGCAGCTGTAGAGCTTTGCTGGCTGGACCCATTGATCTGAAACACACCAGCAGTTTGGAGGGATTTTCCCTGGGCGTGCCAGCAAGGACCAGGCTGGGGGCTGTAAGGAAGAGCTGCCCCTGTGTTAACAGTGGAAGGTTGCAAAATGGCACGTTCAGCATAGCATTTCTATCTTAGATCCATCCTAGGAGCCCTTTCATCACCTTCAAATGGACTCAGGGCAGCATCGAAGATTTTGGGCCTGATTCTGTGAGATATTGAGGCCTCTGGGTTTTTCTGATATGCAGAGAGCCCAGACACAGGGCCACGCTTGGTTTTTAACGCCCAGTTTTAGAAAATTATTACTTCTACTGATACTTAGAATTTGGATCAGAGGGGGAAGCCCAAACTGTGATTGTGTATGTAAAGCTGGGTGAAACCCTGAGGGCAAATAGCAGCCTGCTGGCTGGCCAGCCCTGCCTGCCACCAAAGGGACTCCCAGCTGCTGGGGGAGTTTGCCCTGCAGCTGATCAGGGGAAGCTCACGCCAGCTGTTTCGGAGGCTGACCTGCAGAAATGATCATCTCCAGCTAAGGGACGGTAATGAGCTGATGAGGACCTCTAGGCACAGAGCTACACAAGCCTGTGTGCAGATTGCAGGGGTTTGCTCCGCTGTGGAGGTGTGTACATGTGTGTTTGTTTCTCTGAAGGACACGCTCTGATCAAGTTTTCTTTTAGTGCAGCAAACTTCCCTCCAATTGCACTGGCTGCTGTCCAACATGTTTTTCCCCTTAGCAGTTTTTAAGTGTGGCCTGCGTTACTTCCTTCCAGTTTTGCATGAGATAAGCATAAAAATGAGATCTCAAACTCAGCAAAACAACTTCTTGGCTATGAGCCCCTTAAATTTACCTCTTCTTTCTGAGGCACCAGGGCATCGTTAGGTAGCAAGCTGCTCTGTGCAGCTCAAGGGGCTTGCAGCTCTCTTCTTCCCTTTCCCCATAGTCCCCTTATTCCAGAAGTTGTGCTTCATTTGTGATTTATTTTTTTAAGGCAAAAAGAAGCATCACTTACACCAGGAAGTAACTGTTCTTTCATTAGTCTGAGTCCACTCACATTTTCAGGATCTGGCTCTCTTACCAGGGTGACGCAAATGCTGGTTCATTTCTGCCTGGTCTGCCCTAGACGGGGATGGTAACCAGCAGGTTTAGTTTGGGCCACGCACAGAGGAATAATCTGCTCTCCTCTCTGTGCTGAATTTCTTTTCCTAGCCACAAGAAACATTTTCTAGCAACAGCAGCTTAAACCTGGGAGTTCAGCTTCGTGGCAAATAGCACAGCTGCTGACTTTTGGATGGTACCAGGCTCTGCATTTTGTTAGCACGTGTTATTGTGATACGATTCAAACAACAGCATTTAAGAAACGTTTCTGGTTCCAGCTGGCTGTACTCTAGTCCTTCATGTCAACACGTGTGATAAACCTGTCACATATGATGAGATGTTGCGAGGCCCTTGGGTTTCCTGAGCAATTTAGGATAAAAAAAAAAAAAAAAAAAGCAAGATCAGTGAGGCTGCCTAAGTCCGAGCTGTGGCATTGCTTCCCTGGGGCTTTGTAAGGCATGCTACCCATGGGCTTTGTAAGGCTTTTCCATCTCTTGCAAAGTGCTTCCCAGAAAGACAGAAATGGGGGATCGTGAAACTTTTTGCCCTAAGGAGGGATCATTCCGTGTTACAGAAATTGCATGAACAAAAATAATTGTTTCACTTAAAGCTTCTCCTTCCCTGTCATCCCAGGTGGTCAATAAGGAAGCAAACAGGCTGTCTCTTAATGTGCTTTGGATCAAGCAGCTGCTGCATCTCCTCAAGCTCTTTCCATGCTGTGTTTCACTAGATCAACATTAGCCTGCCTTGAGTATCTGTAGACCAGAAGATTGCCAGGACGCGGAGCAGCCACGCCACAGGTTCCCACTGCCAGTTGATCAACTCTGATCTCTGGGTTTTTAATGAGTAGTTTTAGCAGCTATCCTGCAGGGCTCAGCCAGAACTGACCTAAATTTAGGGTAGAACTTAGGACCCCAGAGACTCTTAATCAACAAGGTAAACAACAAAACTCTCAAAAACATCGGTTTAATGTTTAATTCAAATTGCAATATGCTTGCAGAAAGTCAAAACCCAAAGCAGAAGGTAGCAATTCAGTCTGAGCAATGACGAGCTGCAGCTGGAATCCAGCAGGGTGGCAACTGGCAGCCCAGCTGAAGGCACAAAAATTGAGCTAACATCACTTTTTAGATACATTTTCTTTCTTGTTGCATATGCAGCTCAGTCTGTTCGAGCTGTCCTGTTTGATGTACCCATGTGTGTAAGGAAAAGGAGCCAACGTGACCTGCAGAAAAGGGTTGTCCTGTGTCATGCTGCCCACGTGGCTGAGGCCAGAAAAGCTTCTCACCCATGGCACCACTGTGTCTGGGCAGGAACCACGCAGAGCCAAGTATCTGGGTGCTAACAGGGCATCTACCCTCAGTTGCTTTTGGCTCTGGCCTCTTGTGAGAACCTTGTGTGGCCCTATGCATCTTGTGGGGGCAGATAATTCAGAAGCATACATTATTTATGGTCAGGCTGCTCTTTCCAGCCTCCCACAGTTGCTGGAGGCCCTGGAGCTGCAGAGCAGAGCTGCTCCTCCTGGCACAGGGTCGCAGGCCAGACCTGCCTGCCCATGGTGGGCACTTTCTGCTCCTTCTTCTTCCAGCTCATGGGTGACAGTCATCTCCCAGACCTTGCCACGTCATGTGCAATGCTAAAAGCATGTGTGTACTGTATGTACGGTGCTGGGCACTTTTCCCTGCCTGCCTGGCTTGCAGGTGCTTTCAGCAGGACCTTTGCAGGCACCAGGCAGCCAGAGCAATGTTTGCATTTCACCCTTTGCTGGCTGCTGGCTGTGGCTTTTCTTTTGGAGCTCACGTCTCTGTTTTTCTTCTGTTTTCCCCCCAAAGGTTGTTCTGAGCACCTGCAGTCTCTGAGTGAAATAAATAAATGGCCCTGCCTTTTTGCTGTCAGATGGCCCATCCATCTTTGGTGGAGCCGTGAGGAATCCCCCTGAGCTAACGGTGCCAGTAGAGTCCTTTGTATCCCCACCAGGGGGGCTTCCTTGGCCCTTCTTTGCACCACCCGTCTGTACGTGCTGGCTGAAACCCCCGGGTTGTGCTTGCTTCTCTCAGCCCGCAGCGCTCCTCGAGCTGCTGTAATGCAGGCTCTGAGTTCCCTCTTCTGTCGGAGCTGAAAACTATTAAACGTTACCGAGTGCCTCACAACCAGCTGGTTTTGTGCAGCAAAGGCTCTGATGTCAGGCTGCTCTCCCCAGAGCTCCTTCCTTCCCCTGGCTCTGCGTTTCCTTGCTCTCCTTGGACTCATCCTCTCCTTGCTGAGTCTCACAGTAGCAATAACTCACTCCACGGGAGCTTCTGCCTCCAAATTTTTTTGACCAGTCTCATGATATTATTCATGGTGACACCCACCACGGGGTTTATCTTGCCTCTTCAGTCTCCAGAGCTGTTCCAGGTTTCTGCTATGATTTCTCTTCCTTTCTCTCTTGCCAATTTTGTTTCCCTCGCCGTGGCTTCCCATTAGCAATGCCGTGCTTGGAGGCCAAGTGCCCTTCATGCCGCAGATCTGCAGGCAAAGTAAACTCAGCAAATCATTAGGGCAGGCTTTGACGGCTGCTATCTTCATCAAAGACTGAGATTAAATGAGGCCCCTTTGATAAACTGATCTGATGGGCCAATTTGGCTTGCACACGTGGTACACCGGGCCTCATGGGGCTTGTGATTAAAAGACATAAGAGAATGCAATTATTTAGAGAGCTACGGGGAGAAGTCTGCAACTCACTGGTCTCTTCTTTGTCAGAACAAAAGAGGAGCCTAATTCTGCAGGGTGGCAGGCAGCCCCAGGAGGTGTCGGAGAGCCCCTAATTGTGGGGGGAGGCGAGGGCACGTTGGTCTCCCGCAGGTTTCGATGCATGTGGTGACACTGCGGGTGAGATGCCGCTCCGACCATTTCAGTCCCCAAGGCACTTGTCCCAGGAATGAAACCTTGTCCCCTTTCACCCAGGTGGCTGCTTTTTCTCCTTCTACAGTCTCTCTCTCTCTCTCTTTTTTTTTTTTTTTTTCCCTCCCTGTCTAAACTGTGGCTGTCTTTGATTGCAGCAAGATAGATTTTGTCTGGGTTTCTTTGCCGGACTCTAATCAAATCCTGACCTGCACCAGGAGCTCAGCGCAATCTGGCTGACTTCCTGCATCAAGCCCTAAAGCCCGGGGCTGGATCCTGACCCACTAGGAAAAGCTCTGTTAGCTTAGGCTCTGAATCAAACCCTGAAGATGAGAAATGTCTGGCTGGACACAAATACAATTTCCTTTTATTTTTTTTTTTCTTTTTTTCTTTCAGGTTACTGAGTCAGAGCTAGATGGCATATGCACTTGCAGTAGGGCTATTCTTTTGTCTTCCTTTTCCTTTTCTTTTTTCTTTTTCCTTTTCCTCTTTTCCTTTTCCTTTTCATTTTCCCTTTCCTCTTTTCTCTTTTCCTTTTCCTATTTGTTCTTTCTCTCTCTCTCTCTCTCTCTTTCTTTCTTTCCTTCTTTCTTTCTTTCTTTCTTTCTTAGGAGCATTCACGCTGCATTTTAATTTAGAATACATCCAAATAGCTTGAGCTCAAATTGATCTTGTTTTTCAGCCAGAAAGCTTGTTTTTCGTCTATTATAATAATAAATATGCTATTGATAACAGTTTAGGTGCAATTCAGCAAAGCTTTGCAGTGTGCACCAGCTCTGGAGGGCCAACATTTTCTTATTATCCGTTATTGATATGACACTTTGCAAATATTTTACAAACAAATTAAGAGGTTTTCCTTGTGCCCCTCTTAGTTTGCAATCTCAGTCTTTTTGACAGCTAAAGTCAGTATTAATGGTGACCTTGTTTAAAGCAGTTGTTCATTAGCAAGTTTCTTCTCTGAACCTACAAACGCAGTAAGGGAACTAACTTGTGCTGGCACTTTCAATTAAATCCCATCCTCGAAGCAATTTTTTTTAGCTTTATTCTATCCAATTCTCCTAAGCAGAAATCGGATTTGCTTGGTAAAGTGCTTAGACCTGTTATTCATTTATTCATTTAAGTAGTCATTTTAAATATAGAAGCTTAACATGAAGTGCTGGCAAAAGGAGCTCTTTTTCTCTCCTAGTCCTGGGCTTGCTGGGCCTGCTCAGTCTTCGAGTGCTTTACAAGGCTGGTCCTGTCTGAGCACAAGCACAGGAGTGAGGAGACCACCCTGAGCCTCTCTAGAAAGGAGAGACCCAGAAGGAGGTGCTTGGGCCTGGTCCTCACTGCGCGTCCTCACATCTGCCTGGGGAAGGCTGCTGTGCAGTAGTTGTCTGCAGGGGATGCAAGTAGGGTGCTGCACCGTGTGGGAAAGCCCCGTGCTTCCCCCTGGGTTTGTTTAACCAGCGGGGAAGCTGTCACAGAGGCAGGGGCATCTTCCCGGGGAAGGGAGCAGCAGAATAGAGGCTCAGAGAAAGCAGGAAACAGCCCCTTCGGGGCACGTGCTGGGCGCTGGGCCAGGCGCTGGGCACCATGCCATTGCTGCCCTGCGGCTCCTGGCCGTGGGCTTCGCGTGCACAATGCAGGAGCTCAGTGGTGTGCGAGCCAGGCGCTGGAGATGAGGAGCGAGTTTGTTCTCCAGAAGAATCACCTTTTGTTAGCGGAAAATCTGTGAATTGGGTTCCCCAAGGGAATAGTGTTTGAAAAGATGATTAAAAGATAACACTTTTGAGGGTTTTTCTTTTTGTGTGTGTGTGTGAGTGTTTTTTTTTTTTTTTTTTTTTTTTTCTCTCTTTTGAGTTTGGAAGCTGGATGCCACACATAGGTTTCTCCACACCCGACCTGGAAAGAATATATTTGTTTTAATGCAGCAAAACCCTGGAGTCCCCTTAAAAGAGGAGCCCCCAGGAGCTGTGAAATGCCAAACGTCACACCAGCAAAAATGTCTGAAGTTGGCAACTCCAAGCACAGCACATCACATGGGCCTTAAGTGGAAAAAAAATAATAAAAAAGCCAAATCAAACAAGACTTGATGGAAGAGAATAAAAACAGGCAAGCACCACAGCTTGGCTCGAAATAATCTGTTAATAGAGGGAGTATTTTTCATTACTTTTTATCTGATAAGCAGTTAAACCACAGGCTCAGGTTGGATGTGGTGTATTCCTTAACCCACTTCTTCTGCTGCGGGGTGTTAAAGCTTTGAGAGAAAACAGCCTGGTGTGCAGGTCTGGGAGGTGCACCTTCTATCTGGACACACCAAGGATAAACTAGCTCCAGCTACCTGCTTTGCTTGCACCAACTGCTGTGTATTACATATCAAACCAGCCACAAGGAACCAAACTATTCAGCTGCTTTCTCATAATCATTAATTACAAAGATACCATCACTCATGTTTGTCAACTACGAACCATCCTGTAATAATTGATTTATTTTCTTGCAGTTCGGGGAGTTGTAATGCTGAAGCTGCAAACAGTGCTGGCAACAGATGCTGGCAGGGGCCCAATCCTGCGGGCCTGAGCAGGTGAAATCTCCCTTTTGTCCCATGAGACCAGCGCCAGGCCCGGGTCCCCATCCTCTTGGCCATCCTACCTGCTCTCTGGGAAAAGCCCCAAAGCCAAATGTGCTTATATTGGTCCAGCAGAAGGTCAGGCAAGTGTTTGGTGCTCTGACAGTCAACTTAGGGAAAAGCTCTCATGTGAGGAAGGTGTCACCCCAAGAGCTACCTCTGACATCTTGAATGCCCCAAAATTTTGCTGGGATCCATCAGTTCTGGGTACTAATTTCCCCTGTCCCCCTCTCCCACCTCCAACATGTTTATGGGCAGTGAGGGGGGCTGTTTTCCCCCTTCCTAGAGCAATGGCAGCAGGGATGGGGAAATCCCCATACTTCTCCTGGCCTGCCCCAGTTCACCCTGCTGTCACTGGGCCCTCCTTACATATCTCCACCCTTTCCTGTTGCTGGGAAGGGCAGAAAAATGGGGCAGGAGAGGAAAAGCCCTCCAAAGTTGCTCTTCCCACCAGGGTCATCTGCTGCCCAGGCTGTTCTGGAGCCTGAATTAGCGACAGGACTCACTAATGGAGCATCTGGGACAGTCTTGCACTATTTTCCCCCATAACTGCTTTCTGGACAGATGCCTCCCAGCTGGTCGGTCTCCTCAGATGTGCACGTGTCCATGCGTGTGATCAGATCACTGATAGATGCTTCGCAGCCATCTGGATGTAGGGGAGAAATGACAAATCTCGCCCCTCCTTCCACCGCCAGCCATACCTTCCATGAGATATTGATGAATGGGATCTTTATTGGCTGCTGGGCTAATTAAATAAAAGTTGCATCAGCTTCTAGCTGACAGGCTCTAATTGCTTCTGAGCAGATTTTGAGAGGACCAGATGAATAGGAAAATAAAAGGAAACAGCGTGGATCAGATCCAAGGAGGTCTCTGTTTCTGACGGGCTGGGAGTTTGTCCCACCTTTCCCTGGGGCCTCCTGAACTGTGTGACAAAAAGCCACATTTAATGCAGATAACAAGAAGGGGAAATCAGAAGCCTGGTTTTAGCTAAGAATTTCGGAAGCCTTGTCTTTGGCCCAGTCTCTAACTTCGGCCTGGAGCAGCCAGAGGCCCCTGCTCTGTGCTCCTGCCACAGGCCTGTCAGAGATTTTTTAAACTCCTGTTGCCTTCAAGTTGAGTTACAGGTGCCCAAACACAGTCAGGGAACCAGGAGCCCTCCAGCCCTGCTAAGGGCTTAGGAGAAGGATGCTCAGCACCAAGGCTGTTGGGGTTTCGAGCCCATCCCTTTGCAGGGGAGAGGTGCTGGGTGTGAGCCAGCTGCCAGCAAGGGGCACAAAGCCCTCGCTGCCTCCTGCTGCTGCTCCCCCTAGGAGGAGCAAGGCCTGGCTCTGACTTGCTTCTGTCCTTCAGGTCTGAACTCCCTCAGGTGGGGCCTGGATGGTTTGAGGGCCACCTGCAGGATTTGTGGGGTGCCCAGGTTTCGGGTGGGCTCGGGACAGGGCCAGACTTGGTACCCAGCAGGTCCTGGCATGGACATGTGCTCCGAGACAGGTAGAGAAGCTCAGAGACTTCAGCAGCATTGTGTGCTCTAGGGGCTAGATCTGGGCACATCCACTCTTACAGGCTTGTCTCATGTTTAATTTACGGACTGATTAATGAGTTCTTAGCATACAATGCATTTAATTCCATTTTGGCCTGATTTATGGTGTGATGTGAACTGCATGTGAAGTTTTTAATTCAGTAGGTGGTGACTCTGATTCGGTATATGGAGTGTGACAGAAGAGGTGATGGATTTGGTTCCAAAGCCATGCATCAAGTTCAGTGTGAAGTGCATCAAATCCATCACACAGCACGTCAGCTTCGGTGCACGACACCCCGGTGCTGGCCATGCCACGCCAGTAAGTGGGATCCTGTCCCCACATCACCAGTGTCCCTCCACCTTCCAGGAGGGATATGGCCCTTGCTGGTGGTCTTATCTTCGACCTTGCAGGACATGAAGAAAGCCAGCAAAATGGCCCATCAGGGGCTGTCCGAATATTTGTCTTCATTCACGTGTCCCAGCCCCTTCCACACTTTCGTAATGCCAGCACGGCTGAATCCGGTCCTGGCACAGGGAGCGTGGCGAGTCGCTAATGTGGCTGAGAAGGTTGAGGGGGCTGGTGAAGGGATGTGGTGCCAGGCTGAGCAGCAAGGAACCACTTCTCTCTTCTCCTCCCCCTGCCATGGCTGGCAAGCTGCCATCTGCACCCTGTCCTCACCAGGGTCCCAGTGTATGGGGGGTGGGTGCAGATGTGCCAGCCCTGGCCGCCGCCACACCTAATGCACAAGGGTGGCTGGAAAACCTGCCAGCAAAATGTTCCATTTTTTTTCTCAGAGAAGAAATAGAAAACTTGTATTGGAGAGAAACGAAGCCCCGAGGCAGAAAACTGATGGCTGAAAAACTTTGTCTTCAGACATGATAAAGGGCTGCGGCTGTCGGGGGGATAAAGGGGAGGATGTTTTCCATCAGCCCTGTTAATCTGATCTGTCCCTGCATGCGGTCCTTTTGGGGGCAGCTAAAATAAAACAGATCCCCACGTGCTGATCAGCCAAACCCTGTTGCCATTTCCAGCAGGGTCTCTGAGCCGTGGGGAGAGGCAGGGAGGGCTCTCGGGTACCTTGTACCCCAGAGAAGGGTGCTGAGCACCAGGGATGGGTTCAGCCCATGCTCCAGGCTCCCCATACCTCTGCAGCAAATGCATCACTGCTGGCACCTGCAGCTGGGCAGCTTCAACACTGGTCTCCAACCCTCCAAAAGGGTTAAATAAACCACTCAGCCATGCTTTTCATTTTGGCACCACCTTGCAAACAGCTTCATTAATGAAATGCTGGGTTTGGGGAGCCCCTGTGTCCACTCCTCCATCCCTCAGTGCCTCAGGGAGGATGCTCCTGCCCTGCTGTGCCCGGTCCTGGGCACCGAATGATAGTGGGAACCCTCCCAGTGTGTCCCCATGTGGAGAGCCTCAGTGGCCGAGTCTGCTGGCAGCCGAGGTGGGGATGCCGTTCTCTGCCCTGCTGCCCAGTGCAAATGCCCTGCAGAGCTCCACGGCTGCCAGGAAACATCTCAATTGTGGAGAAAAGCATTCATTTTGTTTCTCCCTTTCTTTGCTTTGCGTGGGAGACAAGGCTGCTGGTTTATGATGTTGAACAAGCATATTAGCTGAGTGCAGTGGGCCCCATAAATCAGTTGCTCCCTCTGGAGCAGCAGCCATCAGCAGGAGCCAGCAGCTGCACAGTACCTTCTGGCTTGTCCTGCAGGGACCCTGGCCTGAGTCTCAGCAGAGGACACTTGGCCTTACAGACAGAGGCAGCCCCAGCAGATGTGCACTCTCCATCCATCCATCCATCCACCCACCCACCCACCCACCCACCAATCCACTCATCCTCCCACCCATCCACTCATCCTCCCATCCACCCACCACCTTTTATTTACACTGCAAGCTCCTGGCACAGGAACTCTCTCTTTTCTCTCCCAATCCCTGAGTGACAGGTTCTTTCTGACCTGCAGATACACACAAACCCCATTTCTGTCCATGAACACAAGGATGTGGCTGAGCTAATATTTCTCCAAGCTGTGTAAGTTCTTATTTTTATTTTTAACTGCAGTCTTGAATTCCTTCTGGCTGCAAAGAGTTTTTTTTTTTTTTTTTTTTTTTTTTTTTCCCTTGTGTCCATATGGCCACTCAGTGGGGTGGACATCACCAACGGGGTTCCTGTACCCTTCTTCTCCTGGGGACTCATCACACCTCTCATGATCAGATGGTCACTCTTGTGGTTAGATTTCCTGGGGGATGTTTGAGACTGTAGGATTTGCACTGTTTTGTCTCATATTCCCACACTGCTTTTTTTTTTTTTTTTTTTTTTTCTCTCACAGAAAAGAGGAAAATGCGCTCTGAGGCCTCTGGGTGAAATCCATCCCCTGCAAGCAGAGTGCAATGCATCCGCAGCTGGACATGGCCCTTCCTGATGGTTGGTACATTTTCTGTGTAGACAGAGCTAACCTTAGCTGGCCTCATGTGTAAAATGTCCTGTTCACATCAGAGGATGTTTCAGTTAACTGGTAATCCACACTGATGAGATTTCTATGGACTATAAGACCCGGGAGGCTCGAGGAGAATATCTGAGCACATTTCTGCCTTTGGCACGGTGCATTCACAGATAGCTCAGATCCAGACTGATATCAGTGCTTCTGCTTTAAAAGGATTTAAGTTATAAAATTTGGTCAGTTCCTTGCTTGTTTTGAATCCGCCTGGAAATCAGCAGGCTCCCTGATTCCCACCACCAGCATCTGGTGTGGTGTGGTTTTACCGTTCAGGTTGCAAACAGAATTGAAACTTCCAGACATATGGTGCTCGGCTCGCGAGTGGTAATTGCATCAACTTAGGATCAATGGAGCGGAATAATATCTGCCCACTAATAACGGCTTAATAAAATTAATAGCATCAGCCCAGCCATGAATTACTTTAAAATAGGGGTTGTATGGTAGTAATGTAAACAAGCATTGATTTTTCTTGGGAAAGTGGAGTGCTGTAAATGAGATACGAGTCTCTGCAGCATGGAGTGGGTCCCAGACGATGCATGAAATTTTGCAGGTTTCTCAGAAGGTGGTGGAGAGGGGAGAGGTGCACAGGTCCCCATGGCACAGGGGCAGAGAGGTCAAGGCAGTGAGACCGTGCTAAGAGCTGCCTGGTGCTCACTGCTGCTGCCATCCAGCCTGACCCAATTAACCACAGATTAACACCAGACAGGTCTGTTCAACATGTTGGGACTGTTAATTGAAATGGCACGAAAAAAGTGACCTGCAGCCACATCATTGCTTGGTGCTGCTAGTCCCCCAGCCATGTGCCCTATGGCCCTGGGAAGTTGCACTCGACCCAAAATGCCCAAATCTGCAGGTTTTTGGGCAGCTGCATGGCTGACATCCATGTGTCTCTGCTCCTTGCAGGGTTGTGTGGCTGCAGGAATTGTTCTTGGCCCAGCGGTGACAATAGGACAGAAGGACAAAAGCAGCTGCAACACCAGAGAGAAATGGGTTCAGAGGGAAAAGTCAAAGAATGACTTTGAAAATGGGATATAACAAATGAACAGAAGGACCTCCAGCCACTCAGTGAAACACCCCTTAAGTCCTTTGTGCTCATTTGAGATGATAAAGGAAAACCATCGGGGCTCAATTAGTCACGACAGACAGGGGTTCTGCTGCATTGCACAAGCCTTGGAGAGCAGCTCATGCTCAGTAGAACGTTTTCCAGGGCTGGTACGAGATCACCAAACATCAAACACTGGGTGCTGTTCGCACTGAACATTGTGCTCATGTGGGCTCTGCAGTGACCAGAGGTGGGTGCATTTGGAGGAGCTCGGCTCTGTAAACCAGAGCTTCTGGGACACGCAGAGAAATACAGGAGTGCTTCAACATCACAGCAAGGCAGAATGCATTTAGAGCAGGAGCTGCAGTGTTCTGGTTTATTATTTATTTACAGAGTTTGTAAATTTAAATGGATTTAGACCTTTAATTTTCAGAGGCTTGGACTGCCTTCCACTCCTTGTTTAATATTCAGGTGAAAAGCTGCCACATCTGTCTGCAGCACGTCTGTACAGCACAGCTGCCTCGGCGCGACATTTTGGCTGCTCTTTCTTTGCATTTGTACAAGTTGGTCCAAGCTATGTTTTGCTGTAAAGCACTTAAAAAGAACGAAGTGGCACAGCACACAGGAGCTGGTTTCAGCTCTCCTTCCCCGGCAGCACCTTGCAATCCTGCCCAGAGAAAGCCAGAAGAAATTTTGGACCACTGCATTCACACAGATGAACATTTGGTGTCTGGGTAGACAGTGCAATATAAAGTAACAAGCATCTAATTCCCATCCATCTGGATTTGCCATATAAGTAATAACAGAGAAACACCTCCAGAAAGGAGACTGAGCTCGTCAATGTGCAATAAATGGCACAAGGCGACGTAAGACTACACAATACATCCATCCTAATCCCCTGCTGGAAATCAGGGAGGTTAAAAATAAAAACCCTTCGAGTTTTGACTGTTTACACAGCTGTAGTACAAATATTTAGATTTACAAGAGAAATGCTTGCTCAGCCAAAACCCCTCCGAGACCTCTGCAGTCAGCAGCAGGGGGTTTATGGAGGCCCGACATTTCCTCAGAAAAAATGAAATGGATCCTAACGAAAGCAGAGAGCAATGCTTATCCATGGGGCCGGCTGCACCGGGGTAGGCAGTGGGGCCAGGGGAGCTGCTGGTGACAGCAGTGTGGGGACACTGGGACAAGAGGACACAGGCCGCGGCTCAGCCCTGGGTTCGCTGCCATCCCCCTGTCACTGCTGCGTGTGGTCCCGGCCCAGGCCGCCTCCTTCCACCTCCCCTCCACTTAAACGCTGCTAAGTGGATTTCCCACCCGGCAAGCCATCACTTTAGGAATACCACACGGCATAGCTGTTATTAAAAAGGGGATTTTTCCTAATGCGCCTACTGTGTCTTCATTATGTCAGCGCACCTCCGTGAAGAGATTTGTGGAGGAATCCATCCATTCACTTCCACGCGTAATTCCTCAATAGCCTATTTGCTTCAAAGACTTTTATCGACTTTTACTACTACATGAATCCTCAGATATTTATTTTTTAGGTCCCAGGGGACCCATTGAAGGAAAAATTCACTTTATGAAGTTTTATGGCAAAGGTTTTGCGGTGGATAAAAGCTTCCCGTTATTTCTAAACATATGTTCTCCACACAGAGGGCTTCATGGGGTCTGCTCCTAGACTGGCATGGGGCACTTAGAACTAAAAATTTAGCTCAAAGGAACAAATAAGGAAAAGAAGAGGAAAAGTACTTCTCCTCCATGCCTGGTGTTTTGGACCTTGTTGTCTCCATGCAGTTTGGCAGGATGTTTTTGGAGCCTGTCTGTGCGGGGTGCAGCTTTTTGCCACACTGCTGGTCCCATCCCCATCATCACACTGCCACCTGCAATGTCCCCCAGATGTGGGACGTTAAACCAGGCTGGCCAGAGCAGTGGTGGAGGTGGCAAAAGCAACACTGCGAGCACCTGAGGTGTCTCCAGCCCTCCAGGTTTGCCTGGGAAATTGCTAGTGACAGTGAACCAGGGCAATTAGCCCTAATCCTCCTCAGCAATCACCAGCTCTCCTCTGTCCCTGCTCCTCTCCCTTCCTTTCCTTTGCTCGCTCATTAATTGAAACAGAAACTTTCTGTCACCACTGATTGTGGTACCCAGAAGCATGAAAATAAAAGCTGGGAAGCGTGCTCCTTTGGCCCAAATAAACAGGTGCCAGGGAGTGTAAGCTAATCATGCTGTGATTGAATTAAGCGGAAGAAGCTGCGTCACGCACACAAAATATCAGTTTGAGGCAGTTGCTGTTTGGTGATGTGATCAGATGCCCCTGCCAGCTGGTGACGTGGGAGAGGCTGGGAAACCACGGCCAGGTTTGGGAGAAATGGGGCTGGTGAACATCAGCCCTGCTGCACCCTCTGATGGGCACTTTGCTGGGAGGGTCCATCAAACAGCTCTTCTTGTACACAACATGCCTTCTGATAATAAAATAAAATAAAATAAAATAAGATAAAATAAAATAAAATAAAATAAAATAAAATAAAATAAAATAAAATAAAATAAAATAGCTTTGGAGCAAATGAACCTCAGGCTGGGCTGTGTCCTGCACTGAGGTTCCTCCAGTGGGATCACAAAGTGGAGCCAATGAGGGATGAAAAGGAAAAGCTCATTGTGCACTTGGAAGGGAAATCTATGCAAAGTTTATACTGGAGGAAAGAAAATGAGGATTTACAGCTGCGGAGACTTCAGGCAGGGCCCCAGCTCTGAGCACACCTCGAATCATGATGAATCTCCCAGCTGCTGGAGCTAATGCATTATATATTGAAATCATTTGTGTTCATTTGCAGCAAATAATTACTTTAAAACGTTATCGTTCATTTGGGTTATTTGACTTCTCTATTAATTGTGTGAATAACCATTTAAAAGACAGCATTTAGGTTAGTGAAAATCATTGGTGTTGCTGCCTCACTTGTCGGGACCGGGGGAACTGCAGAGCCCTGGATGCCCATGTGGCTCAGGGTGGCTTCGCTTTTCACTCCTGTGGAAAAAATGAGGTCTGCAGGTCAGCTCATGCCTCAAACCTCACTTTTCTCTCCCAATTGTTGGGAAATATGCTCATTTTCAAGCTAAAGGTGTCATTCCTTGCTTCCCTTTGATATGAATATTCTGTCCTGTGACACCTCAAAGAAAAAGCAATCTTCTTGCTCACACCACTTTATAACACAAACAAAGGTACAAGGTAAAATGCAGGAGTGCAATGAACCCCTCCATTGTGTGCCCTTCAATCTGCCGTGATAAACGTGGATTTGGCTGGAAGATTTTTCAGGCATTAGCATGAAAATGAGAACAAGGCTATTTTCCTTCCTTGTGAGCTGAGACGAAAGAGCTATGCCTTCAGGCTCAGCAGCACCCCTCTTGATTTCAAGGGGGGGAAATTAAATAAAGTGGGAGGGAGGGAAAAGTCTGGGGTAGAGGATTGTTAAAAATTATTCCTGGGGCTCTGCCCATGCTTCCCATGTTTCAGGCATGTAAAGCCTTGCCAAGAAATGTTAAAAGCAAGTGGTCAGTTCTTCTCCCAGCAGAATATGTTCCTGAGAAGTCCCAAGGGAAGATTTAAATCTCTCCGCATTTAATTTGGTCAAGGCTTGAACGACACCCAGTGGGGTCAGCACTGGGCACTGAGCCCTCGCCCTGCCTGCAGCCGCCTCCCTGTGCCAGGGCTGCTGGCAGCAGAGAAGGACTTTGCCTTCCTTCCAGTCACACAAAGATGATTTAAGGCACCCAAAGTTTCAAGCCAGGACTTTTAACTGAAAAGAGGCATCGATTTTCTGTAGCTGGGAAAATAAAAGGTTTGCTCTGGTGAAAGAAAAAAAAAGAAAAAAAAAAAAAATGCTGTTCAAGAAGCCACCTTGGCATGTGCTGTGCATGTGATTACCTGCACTGTGCAGAGCATGCATGGAGGGGACCAGCACCTTGGTCCCCTCCTCGGGGTCTCCCCTTTCAGGGATGCAGACCTGTGACCCCATCTTTGGGCTTGGGCACCAAATCACATCCCTTGAGCAAAACCTGCGATGAATGGAGGGATAAACACCATGGGGAAGGACGGGGAAGATGTGTTAATTTTTCACAAGAGATGTGTTAGAAGAAATACAGAGGCATGGTGGCCCATCAGCAGCATCTCATCCTGGCATCCACTTTCCCCCATGGCCACCAAAGCCCCAAGCCCAGGTGCCAGTGGGGAGCTGGCAGAGCTTCCCCAGCCCTCCCTGGAAACACTCATTAATTCCCTGCTTCTTCCTTAATTGCATTAAAGCAGCATCCGTTCTACCATTGCTTTACAATACCTCAGCTTAAATCCACTATTAAGGCAGGAGCATTGTGGCTCGGATCCTTTAATTAACATGAGTGATCTCACCTTTGTCCACAGCATCTTTTTCCAAGCTATTATATTGGGTAATTGTTAAACTACTGACTGGCTCCGAGAGGTCTGTACTTTCATCAAAATGTCCTGCTTTTCTGACCCAGCAACTTATCCACATTTTTGAGCCTAATATTTTCAGGTGATTTGAGTTAAATCAAATTGCAAAAAATCAATGAATTATTTAAAATGCTGGTGGTCTCCAGCTATGAAACATGGTTTGGTCAAAGTTCCCCCTGCATCCTAAAAGCATTAAAGTGCTCCCAGGGGAATGAGCTCCCCACTGACCACAGCTATCAAAAGAACTGATCAAATTCATTTGAAAACTTTCCACACTTGTGGAAAAAAAAAAAAAAGAAAAAGCATTCATTAATTTTTAATGTCCTCCTTCTTATTTCGTCTCTTGCTAGAAAAAAGGTAGGGAGAGAAACGAGGGGCTCTTCCCTCAGGACAGAAAAGCCCTTCCAACTCTTTTGAGCTGTTAAGAAACGCTACCCAAGTGTTCTGTTGTTGTGAAATTTCATCAAAAATGGAGCAGGGTGGGGAAAAAAAAAAAAAAAAAAGCCCAGACACACACAACCCAGAAGTCTTCTCAGGACACCCCTTGTTCCTGCAGGTGAGCAGTGATCTCATTTCACCACTACAGGAACAGGCAGGGGGCTGCAGGAGGCCCAGCGTCACCCCCCATGTGTAAGGGCCAGGAGAAGGCCTGAGCCTCAGCCCATACACCTGATTCTTGGTCTTCTCCTCCCCACCCTGGCTTGCTGCTCCAGGAGCAGCTGTGGGGCCAAATTGGGACCAGGAGAGGGAGGAAATCCACCTGTGCTGCCTGTCCCACCAGTGCTGGAGGCTTGGCCTCTGCCATGGCTCCCAGCCGAAGCAAGCACCAGCTGCACCCCACAATGCCTTGATGGCTGCCACGGTGCTGTGATGACTGCAGGATGAGCTCACGAAGGCCCTAATGGTCTTGTCTGGCCTCACCTGGGACCCACATGGGCCCTGGACACCATTTAAACTCGGCCCTAGGCCACCAGCTCCGTTTGGGCTGTGCTGTGGGCCTTGAGCCTCCCCTCTGGGATGGGCTTTGGGCCAGCAGGTTTTCAGTCCTATCTCCTTTTGCTCCCAGACCGTCTTCCTGGTGGGACCTGGGATGTGTTTTGTGGCTTTCTGTGTCTGGGACTGTTAATGGACCCTGTCAGCTCCCAGCCTGTCCTCCCCAACAGTAAGTTGTTGCGCTTTGGATGGCTGTGAAAGCAGAGCAGTGCATTTACTTTGTCATTGCACAGGGCATCAAACAGGAAAAAGGGCAGAAAAGGAGCCAGCAGGCACCTAGGACTAAAGAATTGTCTCAACTTTTGCCATGCCCTTGACCTGTGCATGCTCTTTCCTGGGTTGGGTCTGCTGTGGGGTTGCTCATCCCATTGGAGAGGTGCATTTGAGCCCCCCAAACTGTGGGATAAGGGCTGTAGTGTTGCTTTTACGTTAAGAACAGCCCTGGGCCACGTCAGTGACTCCCCAGCCTCTCCTTGCGGAGGTGGGATGAGGACCAGCTCTGTCCCCACGGGCACAGGCAGCTCGGTGTGGCAGTGCCGAGAGCTGTGGTTAACTGGGTTAATTATATTCACGTTGCTAGGAACACTATGAATTATGTTAATAGCAGCATCTGGGGAAATTACATCTTCATTAATTGGTCCTGATTGCTTTTTGGCGGATGTGAGATGCTTTTGACTTTACTATGCAGGACAGAATTTATTGTAATCGGCGCATGCACTAAATGCACAAATACCATTACCATGCCCTGCTAATTAACTCTCCAAAGAGGCAAAGATGTGAAAGACCTGCTTGGTCATCTCTTCCTTTCTCTCCTGTCCCAGCCAGGGCAAGTCTGTTTTCTGTCATACCGTGCTCTGGTGGTTCTTCTAACTTCAAAATCATTTTTAAAACTCTATTAAAAATGACAACATAAGTGGCAGACACTGGAAAGTAGCTACAGAGCTGGAAAGGCTTCTGATGGCATGTGCTGTATCCTAGAGTTGGCCTTGCTGCTCTCTGGCTCTGATTTGCCCCTAAGGCTCCTCCTTATGGGTGCAACTTGGTGGCAACCAGGTTTATTCATGTGCTTGGAGTTCATTTTGTTGGCTATTCAGAAGCCTTTTGTCCCGCTCTGTCTGTGGCTGGGGAGGAGGCTGGCCTGGGCTGGGTGGTCCCCAGGGAGCAGGGCTGGGTGGGCGATGGGGCTGTGGTGGTGTCAGCAGAAGACAGTTGTGGCTAAACCGGGGATGATCCATGCACAGCACGTAGCGCGGATCCTTGTGATTCTTTAGCTTTCAGTCAATGTGTAGCAGCAAACAAGAAATTAAGCCACATTTCGATGAACGACTGTTACACAACAGAAAGCCCCACTTTTAACAACGGCAATGATCCTAATCTCTTTGGATAAAAAATCTAAAGCTCTGAGCAAATGCGGAATGGGGCAGAGGCAATGCATTACCTCCCTGGGGAAAACAGTCTAAAACTCACTCGAGGCATCGAGCTCCTCGTAAGTTATGAGGCTGTTTGTCTGGGGATGGCAATGAGTTGTATTATGGCCCCGCTTGTTCTGCCTTCTATTTACACAACATCATTTTTCATTTTAATGGTGGTTTTCCAGCCTGCTTTGTTAGGGCTGCTGCTAATTGGAGTGGATTCATGTGCTGTGCCAGGGCACAGAACAAGGCCAGCATTGGCTTAATGGGAAGGGCGAATTTTGCTGCCAGGTGTTTTGAATAGGCATGGTCCAGGAGGAGGGGGCATGGCAGTGTTGGGGGAGGAATTTAGGAGTGAATTTAACCCTCTGGCTGCCACAAATTCAGGGGTTTCCCCATGGGGGTGGTGGGACAGGGATGGCTGTGTGTGTTGAACCACAACAGGGAGGAGAAAAGCCCTTTTGCAAGCCACCTTTCTGACCTTCATCAAAGGTGCAGGCCTACCTCCTTTGCTGGGAAATTGGGTTTAAAAGTTCTTGGAGCTTGCAGTGTCAGCTTCAGACCTTTGTGAAGTGGTTTTCATGGGTCATCACAGGGAATTGAAGCTCGCTGCTAGGACAATCTTACCAGAGCTTTGGAAGGGGCAAAGTTTATGCCCTCCAAACATAGCATGAAGTTTCACTGGGAAACTATAATATGCACACTGAACTGGGGCTAGCAATGCATTTTCCACCACACTGCCTCTGCAAATAGGTAAGCAATGCCGCAAGGACCAGGACAGCTGTAATGCATGGGAGATCTGGCTGCTGCAAAGCAGTGTTTCTGGCTTACCGGGTACACTTCTGCCAGCTGCAAGGCTTGCCCAGTTCCTTAGCGTGGGTCCCAGACCCTGGGTTTCTGCACTGGTTCCTAGTGGAGCATCTGCTTAGGACACCTCCAAGATGTGTGGCTCTTCTTGCAGTACAGATATGGCAAAATCTGCCTCCAAAGCACCAAGCCATGCAACAATTTCCTCCTGCACCCTGAGGCCTCCTGACAAAGCTGTGCAGTGGCTTTTCAGGCCTTGCTGTGGGCTCAGACCTCTTTGTCCAGAGAACAGGAAAGTGCAATGCAGTCAGTAACACTAAGCAACTTTTCCGCCCCCTTGAACTGAATCTGGTGGTAAAACCCTTTAGCAATGGTTATTCTGCATCAGCCACAGCTTATTAACACCAGAAGCTTCAGGAAACTCCACCCAAGGAAGGCTGCCGACACCACACACCTGAACATTCATGTTTGTGGCTGAGAAATACAGCAAGGACCTTACTAGTGGGCAAACACTGATTTGTAGCACTGCTTTTATTTTTAAAAGGCAATTAGTACCGCAGAAAGATTCACTCTGCCTCCTCGATGTGCCAAACTTGTTCTTAGTTAAAACTTTGATTTATGGCTCATGCTGTATCTCATGACACTGCTCTGCAGCTGAGTTGCTCGCTGGCATTGAGAGACTGGTGCTGGAGCAGAATCTGGAGAGATGCAAATGTGGGGGGAAGCAGTGCAGTGGAATACGTACAGCATGCTGCCCACTGAAATGCAATAGGGAGATTTTCTGTGAAAGACTGGAACTAAGGAGGCTGTTTAGGGTTCTCCCTGATTCTGTTGTCTTAAGAGGTAGGACTCTTTGATTTGGAAATGTACTTTTTCTTTGCAGACAAGCAATGGGCAAATCCCTAGGTGAGGGCTGTGCAGAGGGCCAGTGAGTAGCAATGTGCAGCAGCCCCGGAGAGATGAATGGGGCCTGCCTGTGAACCCCTCTGTAGCTGCTTTTGGGGCAGGGAAGCCCAGGGTTTCCACTGGGCAAGTGGGACAGACTGGCTGTGTGTGGAGATCAGCATGCTGGCCCAGCATGATGCTTGGAGTGGCCCCACAGCTTTGACTTCCACGTTTGGCCACACAGTGACAATCTCTTACCATCACCCAGCTGTGGCAGGGATGAAGAGCATGTCACTGCTGGGACCATCCTGGTGCTGCCTGTAGGTCACCACTTGCTCAACTGCTGCCATGCCCATGGCTGAGAGTAAGCAGGGAATACATTCTGTGGGGGGAAGAAAGTTTCCTTAGTGATTGCAGAGAAAAGCAGTTTGCTTGCAGCTGTCTTGACTGGAGGGCTTGATGGCTGAGTTTCCTGCTCTTTGTTTGAGCCAGGCTGTCACTGAAGAGGTCAGAAATCATTTATTTTTAACGCCATGAATATGTAGAAACTTGTCCAAGCTTCTCCACAGAGTGGCCATGAATTTAGAAACAGAGTCAGAAATCATGGCATTCGGTATCCTGCAAATCAGGTCAGAGCTATAAATTTCTCTTATTGGTCTGTGGGCCGTTTGCCATACGTGACTTTCTGAATTTGTGGTCATTTCTCTCTCTACCCGTGTGCTGAGTGTATGACTGTGATTTTATATTATGCCTCCGAGACATAAAGTCCTTCTGGTGCTTTCACCTAGCATCGTAAACAGCCTCGCTCTCTCCTCCTTGTCCCCTTTGCTAATGGTTTCTGGCCACAGCCTGGCCCCTAAATCACAGGCTGCACCTGGACAGGCATAAAATGCAACTCTCCCCAGACACACAGGGTATTTGTTTAGAGCGCTGAGTGATGTGCCCCTGAACACATGCAATCCAGCCTTGTGGTAACAGTGTCTCTGAGACAGATTCTCCAAAGTAGGTAATGGAGCCTCTGCCTACAGGGGCAGTTCCTGCAAAGACCTTAAACCATTCAGCTGCTACAAGGGCAGTCATTCTGAATGCCCAGGGAGAAAATGTTCACTGTAGCTATTGTGGAGGGTGCTGTTAAAATGATCTCTGCTGTAGGGGGAAGAGGAAAGCTAAGGAGGCGTACATTTGGGGAATGGAAGGTGGTGCTGCTGTCCTCCTCCTCTTCGAACTTTACTGCTCTTTCTCCCTCACCTATATCCATTCCAGACATAAAAGCTTTTTTTATTGCAAGACTATTTTTGCTCAGTGAATTAAAATGAACCGTTTGCAGCCCCCTCGCCCCAGTGCAAATGATCCCAGCAGCAGTGATCTCTGGCTGGGCCCTGCCCCTGTGGTCAGCCTGAGAAAAAAGACAAGTGTAACAATAGGATGAAAGTGGGCTGTTATTAAAGCACAGCTCTTTTGAGATATGCCAATGTATCTAAATGGTGCTGCCTTATTCTACAGATCTGCTCCCTAGGAGCCTGGTGAATCACTGAAGGCAGCAGATGTGACTAAGACGTTTCCTAACTCATTTTTAATCCTTTCTGGCACAGCAGTGCCAACACAAAAACATGAACTATATGAACAGGACTGTTCCTTAAATTCTGGTAGTATTGTGGTGGTGCAATCCCATTGAAACTGTATTTGCATTTTCCTGTCTGTGTCAGAGCATGGATTTTTTTTTTTTTTTTAGGTGGAGCTTAGGACTGCATCTTGCCAGCAGGCTCTTTGTTACTGATGATGACACACAGGTGTCATTGGGGTCTGAGCCCAGTCAAGAGGAAAGGGATGGACAGTCGGAAATTGTGCATATCTGGGTCAAGGACAGAGCTTGACATGGCTTCCTCCTAGTAACTCAGTCACTTCTCAAAGCCCATGTTTCTACCTCCTGAAATAAGCAGGCTGCATGTTTCTGCATGGCTGCCCCACAGCAATTAAATTGCCTCCCTCCACCCCTCTGTTTGTCCCCCTGGGGACCTGGGACTGTTCTTTAGCTTCCAGTTTGAGCCACTCATCTGATTTATGGACTTGCACAGATCAACAGATTCACTGATGCTCAGAGCTGTACAATGTGTTAAACCACCCATTCACACAACAAGGTGGAATTATAACTGTACGTTCTGCTTGTAACATTGAGGAACTCTGACACCTTTTTCTTCCTATTCCTCATTAATCAGTTATTATTTTAGCTCCACTTCATTTTGCCACTTAACCATTAGCTGTGTTTGTCTACATTTTAAAAAGTACTTGAAACAAAAGTAAAACATTCAATTATTACCAACCTTAAACAGCCAGAACAAGGCTGTTATTTGACTTCTTTATTTCAAATATGATAAAGCACTTGAGCATTAAACTCCTGCTCTCTCCAGCAGCAGCTGAGCCACTAAGCTGATGACATGTGGATTAACCAAACAGTCTAGCAAATCATTGGTAGAAAGGGCTGTTTGGGAGGCATTTGGACTGCCGTCTGAATCCATTTGATTTGCAGGCGTTTCGCAGTCATTACTCATTGCCAATTGCTTCCTGGTGCAGTGTAATTTTCCAAAATGTCCTCCTTCATTTTCATGGAGAAGATCTCTATAGTCACTTTTGACTGCACCCGTTGAGCTTGTTTCTTGAGGCTGAGGTAGAACTTGAATGAGGTGAGGCCCAAAAGGTATTTTCTGGAACTTTTCTGCTTTTAATGTTGAAGAGCCAAATTCATGGGTTAGTAATTTGCAGCCCCCTGGTTCCCAGCCAACTTGCTTTTTCCTCCTCTTGTGTGAGGGACTCGTCACTCGCTCTGCTTCAGTGCTGCTGGGACGTGTCTGCTCTGATACGTTTGCCTTTTGACACTTGAAATATGCAGACACTGCTTTATTCAGGTACTGGAGATTGATTTCATGGGATGTTGCCTCAACCTAAGAAAACACCCAAAATGTACTCTGTTAAAAGGAGGAATGTTTCAGTTCAGTGTTGCATGATTATGTTCCATGGATTATTTTCCCTACTTAAGGGGAAGGAACTTAAAAATTTTCTTTCAGGTAGAAGAAAGATAAGATTAAGCAAAATGACAGTAATTCTCTACTATCACTGCTATAATGAAGCAAGAGTGCTTACCTCTGTGGGATTTAGCCAGATATCTTCATCACCGGGGCTTTCTGCTGATTTTATGGCACATACCAGTGTTCGAGTTATTGCTTCTTCTACACGAGCTTCATGATCTGCATCCTGCCTCAAGGGAATGAAGTGTTTGGAGATGGGTTAGCACTTAAATTGCTATAGGAAGTTGGAAGATCTTGGCAAGAACTAAACGGATGCCTTAGCTGGAAAACCATACTCAACTACGTAAAGTAGGTAGAAGGTTTTGGACTTCTGAAGCTCCTACTCATGCATAGAGAGCTTACATGAGTAACAGCACAGGCTTTGGTGTGACTACTCATGCAGATAAGGATTTGCAGAAAAAGATTCTAGTGTTTATATAATCTTTTTCCTTATTAGTGTTCTTTTAATTGAATCTGGTGCTTGAAATTACATAGCAATGTTAGCATTTAATTAATATGTGTATTTATAAGACTCCTTAGGAGTAGAAGGACCATGAAAGTACATAGAAAATTTTATAGATCTACATATTATGTCTATTTAAGTATTTAAACGAAGGATATTACAGCAAGGCAGCAACTACGTAAGGTCTAGAGATTAGCAAAAGTGAGGCTTAAAATTCAGGAAACATTTTATCATGTGATAGTAACAGAAGTTAACATACTACTGCAGTTTCAAACGTAAGCAGAAAGGAAAAATGCATTTCATATGAAAGATCTCCTGCCAAACTAACAACGAAGTTAGTAACTAGCTCTTGGTTTTAGGCCTTCACTTCCTCCATCATCCCCTTGGGTAACTGGGTACCAGTTAGTCTGGGATAGCAGAAATAAACTTTATAGGATCTATTTAAGTTTTCTTTCCCACTTAACTGGATTTCTTGTACGTGAAAGGAGAAAATAAGGCTCTCTGAACAAGATGGGTAGTTTAGTTATTTCAGTGACAGATGCCTAGGAGTGGATGCATAAATTTGGTTTTGTTGAGACACTTAGACATACCGGTTTTGGAAGAAAGATGTAACCTAGTCAACACACAACACTGCATTGCCTAATTGTGGCTTCGGGGAACATGTCAAGCAAGCCATGCATCTTGGTAGTAGAGTGGTGAAGGCAGTAATTCATCTGGATCCCCAAGCAGAATTTGGGATAGAAGCAGGGGAAAGCGTAGCTGTGGATGCTTTGCCTACTAATGGCCTTATATAACAAGTCCCCAAAACAACTGAGTTTATTTAAGCGTGGAAATTATTATTTAGGGTGTTGCACTCTTGGGATTCATCCTGGTCTGATGGATAACAGGGTTGTACTGATTGCATGAGAATATGTTAAGAAGCATGAAGTGCTTTGAGCAGCTCACATCCAGCTGAAAACAAATTAAACTTCTACTTTAAAGGCTTGCCAATATAATTAATGGTTTCTCTAGGACTATAAATGTTGGCATGATTCACATCTGTCAATATGAAAGCAGCTGGTAACAGCTGCAAGCAAGAACTGCTTGATTTGGTAATGGAAATCCTCTCAATATTGTTTCTCGGCATCCGTGTCAGAATTTTTATAGGTGTGCTGCCACCATCATCTGTAGGGATAATACCTGTAAGGAACTCTCACCTGAGTTGCAATGGTTATATTTGTTTATGGTTGCTTTTCATATCTTTTTTGGGGGGCTGGGGTAGGGGTCATTCATTAACAAAATCCAGCAAACACTCCTCTGCAGATCATGCCATCTACACACAACTGTCTGCTCTTGCTGTTACCAACAAGATCTGTCACTTCACCAAGACTTTTATGACCAGAAAGGCCATGGAGCTTAGCTCTAGTTTTTTTTTTTTTTCATAGCCTACGAGAAACCCAAACAGGTTATATACAACCCAGACTCCTGGGACCTATTTACCCAACAGAACTGATCCAGTTCTGACCTTCTCCTCCAGTAGGGGTTGAAATTTGTGAGGTACAACTTAGGGTGCAAGTGTGTGTGTGTGGGGGTCTTCATGAACATGTGGTGAAATTACTTCAAAGGCTGCTCAAATTTAAGGCAGGTTTAAATGATTGCTCTCTAATGTTGCTGGTGCTTTCTCTGGCATTAGACTCAGGACTGTGTACAATGCCAGTACAGACTATGGGCCTGCTGTCCTTCCTTCGTATGCAGTCTCATATGGAAAACTTCTCTATGAGGAAAATACCCAAGTTTGCCCCTGCTCTGCAAAGGCTTGGTTTGATGTCAGTATGAGAAATATATTGTGTAGTTTGAACGGCAGCTGAACGCATGTGTTCATCCCCCTGCAGATTTCCAATCTAATAAAGGTGCAAAAAAAATGCAATAAGCATTTTAGTGAGGCAGCTTTCAAATGCCAATTCAAAGGGCCTTTTTAATATTAAGCTAGGATTAATGAAGAAGTAATTTGAATCAGAAAACCTTCTGTAGCATTGAGATGATATCCCTAGAACCATCCCATATATACTGGGAGAGCAAGAAAAATCAGAGCCTGGGGGAAAGAAAATTAATTAAATACATGAGAAAAATCCAACTCCAGGCAAATCATAACTATCACAGAGAAATGAAAATTCAAACATCCTCTGCCACCCCCTTTCTATCACATTAATCTGATTTAAATTCTAATTTAGCTTTGCATGTAAGCATGTGCTTGAGATGAAGCTGCTGTTTGTCATTCCATACTCAGCACAATGTTGGTTAGTCCCTGAGAAATCAGACATGAGAAGTTTAGCTTGTGTCTAATTGTTTGCCTGATTGAGGTAAACTTCCATATGACTGAACTGGTGCTTTAGATCTGGAGCCTTGGAAGGTTCTTCAGGAAAAACTGTAACCACAAGGGCTCTTCCCTCACCAGCTGCTGAATACAGCAAACCTGATAGGGCTGAACCACATGGGCAAGGGACAAAATTCTTCAACCTTAATCCTTGCAAAAGATTCTGCTCGATACAGCTGAGTAGGAAATACAGCTTGAGTTCTGAGTGGCATCACGCCTCTCTCTAGGTCATATCCTTGTCATGGTTTTTGTTAAGAGATGCTTTTCTTTCTCCCTCCTGCTTTCTCTAGAAAATAAACTTGAATCAAATGTGCCAGTGGCAAAGCATAGCTGCATTTTAGTGGTGACTGACAAATGATGCTAGTAGAATGTGCAAGTCTGCAAAGTTTTCTGCTATCCTTGAGGATAAAAGAAGCTATGTAAATGTAACTGCACACTGAAATCACTGAAGTTGGCTCATGGGGTCATCAGATCTGGGACAGGATTATATCTGCTTTCCTACTTTTTATAATGCATGCACACATGGAAATGCTGCAGCACCATGATATAAAAAGGAAAATACCAGTTCAATCCACGAGTTTATGCTGATGGTGATGGGGTCGATGGATTCCACGTAGTGCCACCAGTGCCTTGGAACAAGCAGGACCTGGAATCAGAGACAATGCGTTAGGGTGCTAGCAGAAGGCTGAGAAGGAAGCTCAGGTGACTTACTCAAATTAGCATGGGATGAAGAGGCAGAATGAGGCAAAGACTAGAAGTAGGAGGTGGGAGATGATCTTTGTTTCTTCTAAACAGCCTTTCATCAAGGCTTGGATGTCCCTTTGCTACTCCCACTGTATCAAATACTATTATGTAAGAAGTGGACATGATCCAGAACTACCTCTCATCCAAAATCTTCTCACATATGCAGGACAGTAACCTTTTAACTGCTCCAGATAAGCAAGGTCCAGCTGTACAAAGGGACTGGAGCTGGTGTTGATGTAGAGCAGGGCTTTAGGGAAAGTCTCAGCCAAGCAAGCAGTCTTTAGCTGACACTGCATGCAATTGAACATGCTTCCCAGTTCCTTTAGAAGGACTGCCAGCTGGCTTCCCCCAGAAGTAGGTATCCTAATACTAATCTAGGTGATTAACAACACGTAGCTTCAATTCTGGTAAATAATTACCTGTATTAAACTTGTCGCTTTTAGTAGATAGGCTTTTAAAAGAAGATGTCCCAGAAATCATGACAATCTAGTTTAGATCAGAGCTTTACAACTATATCAGGATGATAGCTGTGACATAAAATTGATTCTAACCCATGGCTTTTATGGTACAAAGACATTAATGTTGTTTTGATGATATAGTACAAGCTTTTCAGATTACTGAACATTAGATTAACATAGAGCCATCAAGAAAAGCATAAAAGATGGTTTTTGACAGGGAATGAAAATGGTCAGAGATGGATAAAAATACACACTTCAGAATGGGGAAAGTGAAGCAATGATCTGTATCTGAATCACAGCCAATTTTTTTTCTTGTTGCACGCAAATTACTGAAAAGATATCCTGCTAGCTAGGTAGCCTTGTGATTCATTACATCAAAACATCGCTAATGAGAAAATGTCTGTGAAGGAAACAATGACTGCAGCCCTGGTCCTGCAAATGCTTATAGCCCAGTTTTGGGCTACAGGCAGAAATGCTCTCCACAGCTTTTCAATTTAAGGGGAGAAAAAGTATAGTCTATCTAAAGGTCAAAAGCATTTGGAAATTGTATTTTAATCCAGTACAGCATAGAAAACAGAAAGAAGGAACTGAGAGAAAGGGGACAAACAACTGTGCCACTGATGGCACAGTCCAAGCCTCCTGTTGAACAAATGAAATGCATTGCTCAATTAGACATTTGGTTGCAAACACCAAAAGCAATTAGCTATGTTTGAATCTACTACCAATGGCTCACACTGCTTCGTGTGATATCTAGTGATCTGGAACGCTTTCTTGGCTTTGAGATGTCCCCTCTACCAAGGCAGGATTTAGCTACAGAGCCGAACACCAAGCAGTCACGCTACCAAACAAGACACTAAAACGTCGGGACTGAAAGGGAGAATAGTAGAAAATACAGAGTCTTGCAGGTGCACATAGGCAGATGCAGACACAAACATTGCACATCCATTAGTATGGAGCTCAGGATTCACAAATGTCAGTGTGTTGCAGATAAGATTGTGGGGGGATGGTATTTAACAAATATCACTGATCAGTTCTTACATCCAAAAGTGTATTTAAACCCTACACAGACTGAAGCAAAAATGTGGTTCTGTTCAGAGCAAGTTTCAGAGCGGTGCTTTCATCATGCATAAACTTTCAATCAAGAGTATAGCTGCATTAGCTGCAATGGGACAGTGTTAGCAAGTGTTTGCTCACATTTTGTCAACAGAATCATACAAAAAAGATTCTGCTTCTTAATAGGGGATCTTGCACTACACCCATCTCAGTGCCATCCAAATGACAGGGTATAATGCCAAAGCCTGGAAAATATTGTGCTATGTTAGAAGGTAGCATAGTGTCTAGAATAAATACCTGTTTCCCACAACTGGCTCCTTACTGTAAGACTCTCCTGGGAAGAGCGTTTGTAAAATGCTGAAGAAGTGGAAGAAGATGTGATAAAATGGGGCATGGTGCAGAGACTATGCAGCAAGGGAATAAAAGCAGGAGACAAAATAAGGGAAGTGTATAAATCTTTCGGTAAGAGGGCCTATGTGGAAGAACCAAGATGGAAATCAAGAGTGGAAGCTGCTAGCTTAGCATGTCTTACGTGCAATGTGGAGACAGAATTGCTTTGGAAAGATCAGGTATGGCTAGGAGGAAAGTACAAGCCCCCCAGATAGTCCAGTCTTTTCAGACCGATGAGGAGGAAGTACCTCTGAGAAATTAATTAGACTTCACTTGCCAGCAAGCTAAGGGTAACTGTGAAGTTGTGCATTTCTGCAGCTGGCACTATTTGCTGATATGATTTTTATAGAGGAACTACAGAGCTGTGACTGTAAGAGGCAAAACAGATACCATAAAGCTACTTGCTCTCCCTCTTTTATTTTTTTAGTAAGCTTATGCTTGTTAAGATAAGGATTTATGGCAGCAAGAAAGTTGAAATTATCAAAATGCAAAAGGGCTAAAATTTTAAGCAAGATGGAGAAATGGAAAAAAGGGATTAAAACCAAAAAACAAAGCTGGCAAGGGAGCAGCTGAACTAGCAAAGACAAAACAATAAGCCAGCAGAGAGAAGTAGAGTGGGATTCTTCTAGCTTTGCAAACTAGGTGGAAAAAACAACCATCCATTCCACAACAAAACCAAGCAGACTTCCCTATTTATGAATATAGGGCACAATTTAACTTCATTTGAAACCACACTGAGATAAGAAATGTGAAAATAAAACGCAGTGGGGGGGAAAAAATGCAGCAAACATTCCACGGGGAAAATGCAAGGTGCAAAAGCAGGTCAGAATTGTTCCAAGCTATGAGATAATTTGGTGTTAGCCTGTTTTCTACAGAGTGTATCTAGCTTTGTGGGATGGGAAGATACCAATCTAAACAGCAACCAATCAGGTAATGCTAATATTTAGCCTAGTGATAGACAAATGTAGCAGATGAAGTCAAAGTAGGACAGAAATCTCAAAAGATAAAAATGAAATTCTAGACCCTAAGAGGAAGGGGGGAAAAAAAATGAAGAGAATAGTTGGGAGAGTAAGTGGAGCAATGCTGAAGACTTGTACAGCACAGAGAACAGAACAGGTTTAAATTCTCAGTGGACGTGATTAACTTGATACAGTGCAAAGGTAGGGCAAAGGTGGAATTGCTTCGAAAAAGAGCGTACCCTGCAGTGAAATATTATACTTAGAAATTTCTGCTCATTAAAAAAGATATTTGTGTAAATGCCCAAGAAAAAGGAGCACCGAAGAATGCATGTGTGATGGGTGGAAAAAGAGAAAGGAAACAAACTCCAGAGCCACTTGCAAATGTGGCAGTGGAACATAAACACCACAAAACGCATAACCAGCCCTGCTCTCCTCTCTCTGCAAACCCCACGCTGAGGTTTAGCAGCAGCAGCAGTGAGGATGACTCTTCAGAAGTGCTGCCACCCTGTGCCCCGTCCCAGCCTGTGCTAGGTTCTTACCCTGCCTCCTCCTCTCCTGCTGCTCTGGTGTCTTTCCACCTGCTGAAACAGAGACCAGGGCTGTTGGCGGCAGAAATGCAGGTTCTGCCCTGGGGAGAAGCATGGTGTGCAGATGGGGAATGGGGCTGTGACCATACCGTGTCTATAAGGAGCTGGGTGAGGGACTGGGAGAAGCTTAGGGAACCACTGGGAGAGCAGAGTCTGGAACTGGCAGCTGTGGTAACTGTAGTTGTGGATACAGACTGGGACTGAGACATTTCTGTAGCCTTTCAGAAGGCAGGCAAGCCAATGCAAGGTCAGCAAGGTTCTGAGCAGAAGTTCACAGTGACAGGTAATGGCAAAACAATATATTTTTCTCTGATGTTTAAGTGTGGATAAATGTGTCCTTCTCAACCTCAAAGTGCCTCTGAGACTAGCTTAGCTAGGCCTTTCCTCATACCTTTGGTGTCTAGAGCTGATGGCAGCTTATCTTTTTTACTGTTTTCTAGTTATATGGACTAAGAACAATTAGGTTAGTGGGCATAAAGGAAGCAAGAAGTTGCTGAGAAGGCGGAAAAGGTGAGAATGATCATTGACTTTGTCAGGCATCTCAGTTTTTCAGTGTTTTCAGGTAGGATTCATCTTGGCTTTTTAATTATCAAGAAGTTAAGTCTCTGTGTGCATAGGCTCCTTTCATAGCCTGTGCAGAAGTACAAGATGGGATGAATGCTCTGGCAGGACCCTAACTGTATAAGGTTGAGGCTGAATCACCTTGTGGAGACGCCAGGTTCTTCTTACTAATGGCAGACAGGACATCTGTTCAGGACAGGGTTTAAGCTGAGGGTAATGGCTCTTACCCTAATTCTCTTAGCACTTTTCCCAGAGAGCTGAGGAAAAGTAAAGGGTGGAGGATAATAGAACAGGCATGTTTTGCTCCATTTGCAGTCTTTTAATTAGTATCTGCATAGCTGTGAAAACAATTAAGGTATTACTAAAAATATTGTAGAATTTATGAGCAAATAAAACAGAAGACAAATGCTTTGGGTGAAAATCTGCTAGTTCAGTGAGTGCAAATCCATCAGCAGTTAACCTCCTGCTCCATGCTTACCATTCAGCCTTGCCACAATTACATAGGGGACCAGCTCTGTATGTATGTTTACGAGGAGCCTCTACATTTGTGTGACACAGTTTGAGCTTGTAAATTCTCAAAAATTTAGTTGCCTAATATTATAACTTGTATTGAGGACATTAATGTGTAACCAGAAGTTGCACTAAAACCTCAGTGGAAATTCATCCCACAGACAATGGTCAAATAGAGAACGTACCCCTTATAAAACCTGAAGTAAGGGCTGGCTACTTAAATTCATAAGAGTGTACCTCTGAGGTACACAGTGAAAGTAGTGAAAAGGCACAAAGGATGCAAATGAAGTGCACATTATGCACTGGTACAATGTTATGCGAAGGAATTCTGCTTTAAAGCCTTAAAGGGCTGTAGAAAAATGGCTTGTAGCAAAAAATGACCAGAAGATGGCATTAGACACATTAAGTTTTTGATATTCAAAGCTGCAATCACCTTACATGCAGTTGCTCTCCTGAATACCTAAGAACACCTTTGTCTTTATTTTTCATCCCTGCATTGTTACAATATCTAATCCAAAATGTTCTGCATACCCTCTGGGAAGGAGATGCTATAAACTACTACAAAATAAAGCTGGCTGCAAATTCGGAAGCAGTTGTATGCGTTCTGTGTGAAAGCGGCTGCTAAGCTTGTATCAAGATTGTTATTATTTAGGGATCCTCTTGCTCCTTAACAAAGGAGTTCTAAGTCATTCCTCCCTCTCTGTCAAACAGCAGCAGTCTCCAGCCAGATGCCCCAAAAGCTTCTGCATGAGATCACAGCATCACCCAAAAAGCACTGATAAAAGGGGTGAAGGCAATACCTCACTGTTCCATCACTACCTATGTTACTTTATCCCCCAAAATCCAAGCAGCATCTCCTTCATGGAAATGCAGGGGACGTGTATTACTGAGCTGGCTCAAGATCTTTATTCCTAGCAAGATTAATTTGTAATTGCTTTAAGCCTAATTAAAATTAAGATCATATTAAAGGTTCACTACCACACTTGATCATTCCAAAGGAGATTATAAATTGAAATAGCATTGGGGATCATGGATAATGCAATGCTGAATGGACGTGGCATTTTTACCAACAGTAAAAACATGTTCTTGGTGCTTTATATTATTGAATGCTGTTTCCTTAGAAAGTGCAGGTGGCAAAACTAATCTTTTACCTCAGGAGCATGACTAGGAGTAAACGTAGTGCATCCAACGCAACTTGATCACAGACTCCCTTCCATTTGTGACTGTACCAGCAGAAGAACACACTGATCCCAGTTGACAGACATCTTGCTAGAAGCTACTATCCTGTTCCGGTCTGACACCTCCCCAGCTCACAGGAGCATTCCTCACTATGCATCACCAAAATTAGCTGGATTAACAAAAATCTGTTCTTTAAACAGTTGAGGACAGCTGGGTTTGCCAGCCATGGGTGAGGGAACACAAAGTCACTGGGCTGGTGGATCAGAAGAGGTGACGACATCTGGCAGGAGGATGGTGAAAAGATGCTAGAAGCAGCAACTCTATCACCTTACACAGCCAGAGCAATGCACACTGCAAAATGCCTGACATTTTGAGATGCAGAGGAGTGCTTTACAAGGACATGTACTGCTAAACAAATGAAAAGGGTAATTCACTCTAAATACAGTCCATGTTGATTGAATAAAAGAGGACACTACAACAAGAGACTAGGAATTAAGAGTACTGAGTCCTATTCTCATACTGCTGCACTACTGTGACTATAAGCCAGGCACTTGTAACTGTATTTTCTCAGTAAAATGGGGTTAGTAATATCCTCGCATCCTTGTAAAGCACTATGAAACCTCTACGTGGTACGTGCTTTAAAGGCAAATATCATCATTATACTGCTCTGCTACTAAAGCAACAAGTTAGGCCAGTGTTCCCTGGTGAAAGTTACTCTTCACTATCAACATCTGAGTTCATTTGCTAGCTCTACATGCTCATTAATCAAATACACTTTTACACAACATACTGTTTTCAGAGTAGACAGGTTAGAGTACTGCTGAAGACAGTTTTAAAACAACTTGGAAGTGATTGCAAGAACTGGTATTGGGTAGTCTATTGAACTAACTCTCCGAATGTTTGTGTGTTTTGCACAAAAAATCTAGTAAAATAGCTGTAAGTGAAGAAACTTTCTGTGCTGAGAGATCTACCTTATTAAACCCGAGTGCAGAACGTTGGGGAAGAGAAATACCACAGTCAATTTGTTAAAACTTCCTAGCCTTTAGTTAGCCAGTTAAATAAATGACTAGCATCTTTCAAGTAACACAAAGCTCATATAGGAATGGTACCTGTCCTGGACTGAGTGTAACCACGTGGGCTGTTGTATTCTTAAACTCAGGAAAGCGTTTCAGATCAGGCTTGGCAACATTGACTTTGCTGAATACACTGGATTCCTCATAAGGGATCCTGGTGGGATAAAGGAAACTGGTGTCACCAGGTGGGAAGAGGTGCCATTTCTTCCTGAAAATAGAAAGAAGATAAAAATGTATTCAGTGCATGTCAGTTACAGCAAAGAACTAAAGGCAGTAGCAAGGTTTTCAATAAAACATAGATCTGCCTTGCTGTGTGAATCTCCTACGCAGTGAGAACATAGGCACTGCTTGCTTACAGGCTGTCTACTAAAAGTGTTTTTAAAATATTCCACTTTTTAATTTTTCAGCTGAGAAGATTTACAGTTTCTCACCAATTATTTTTAAAAGGCAGATAAAATGATTTTTTTTTTAAAAAAAAAAAAGCTCTCCCATCTGGTTCCTCCTTCCTCCCTTCTACAAAGCAACGTGTGGCATTTACAGATGCTCAGAGAAAACCAGGGAAAATAATTTCATTAGAGACAGCATACGTTCATTCACTGAACGAATAGCTGCTGTGCCCACGTTTGTTTTAAAAGGAGTGTTTTTGTTTACAACAGCAACAGTAAAGGCGTATGGATGTGTTCTTTTTTCCTATCACCTTATTTGGTAGTTATGTTGGCTCCAAACCCCTCATTCTTAGTAAAAGTCAGCTAGTGTCTCTATTTCACTTACACAGACCAGATCACAGACAGAGAAAAGAACAGGCCAGAACTGGTGGTGCCAGTTTTATGGGTACTATAAATTAAATGTCTTAGCAGGTACATATGTTATTTAGAAATAGAAAATTTATAGGGCAGCACTTCAGGTAATGGAAATAACCAGAAAGGAATATACCGAGGGAAAATTTCTTACATTTAAGAAGTGCCAGACAATCAGTACAACAGTAACCCCTGCACTAAGCAATTGAAAAGTAAAGGCAGTAACTTTGCAGCACATTTGGTCAATTTGTGCTCTCCTTTATTTCTGACTCTTGCTAGATCTTTTCTTTTTGTCCCTTTTTGTGGTACTTGCTTTTTGCATAGTGCTTTTGGTTGTCAGTTCTAAGTCACTGATCTGAAAATGGGAGAAAGGCAGCCAAATGGCACAGGAACAGAAGAGACAGGAATAGCAGGGTAGCCAGAACAGCAGAGATAGGCACAGATGGAAGTGCCATAGGTTGCTGACACTTCTTGGTAATTACCAAAGCTACTGCTGGGTGCAAACACAAAAAATAGTTCACCTGGAACCTGAGCCCTACTGGAATTAGACTTTGCCCTCCAAGCTAGACCCTCCAAAGGCATCAAATAACTAGGTTGGGAGGCTGACGGGTTAATCCTGCAGGCTCATGACAAAGCAATATCATGAAGCAACAAATTAAGAAGCCCAAGGGATGCAAGGAGGAAATTCAAGATAGCAACAAAGGGCTAAGGAGTGGTCCCTGGCTTTCCTGCAAAGGCAAATCTATTTAAGGTTAGCATAAGCTTATTTTCTGTTAGAAAGCCTGTCTTGTTTGTGAGTCTCAAAAGGGAATCTTTCTGCTCTGAAGAAGCACAGGATGCACAAGCTTGTATAGGTTTGTGAGTCTATTTATAGGCTTTGCTCTGAAGAGGAAAACAACTTTGTCTTTTCAGGCCATGCAAAGGCTTTAGAATTCTTCTTTCCCCGAGAGGAACAAAGATTTTGTTCTACCAGAGCAGGAGGGAGTGTCTTGGGAAGGCAGGCAAAATTGCAACGTGATGCTGGAAATCTGGCTGGAGTTCAACCCCTAAAGGTAGGGATCAAAAAGGAATGGCAGGTACCGGGTCTAGACTACGATACTTAATTAGCACACCCAGTATTTAGGTGGATCCTTAGGAGATATTTAGGCATGAATATCTCATGGGTTTTCATTGAGATTTCCAGCTCCTAAATACATTTAAGAGTCTGGACTTCAATGCCTCATGCTTGCTGATGAGATCCAGTCCATGGGACTGGTTGCAGCAAGAAGTGCAGCTCTGAGGGGGGCTTCCAGGGTGCCTGCTGCACATTCACCCAAGGATGTGAAGGCTGTTTACAAAGGCTGAATGAAAACCAGCCTGAGAGCAAAACAGAATTACCCTTCTTACAGATAAGACGATGACACATTAACTTGCCTCAGGCCTTAAAGCCAGTCAACCTGTGCCAACGCCCAGAAAAGAAGCCTGCCTGCCTCCCCATCCTGCACCTTAATCGCAAGATGATCATGATTTAACTGTTTTATAAAATGTGTCAGAGTAATTAATCACATTAAAATTCTACTGGCAAGTTACTCCTTCCACACCGTGTACTATCAAACCTAAAAAATGCATGCAACTTGTTTTGTTGCTCTAGCGTTACTCTAGTAATCACAGCTTGAAGAAAAAAAAAAAAAGAGGCCAATATGCAAGGAAAGCAGGAAAAAAAAACACACCATGGAATAAAAAAGACAGTGGTAAGCTGGAAAAGAAATAGCAACAAAGCCACATGTCCCCCAAATGAGTTTGGAGCCTTAAACGTTCCTTTTAACTTTGCTCACAGCTGGCTGCTCCCATCCTGATCGTCCCCCTTTAAATTAATTGTAGCAGGCTATTAGAAGCTCTAGCACAGAGAATGGCATAAAGTCTAAAGTAGTTTACTTCCATTTTGTTTCCAGGCTTTTTATTTTTAACTCTTTATCTCCTAATTCTGACTTCCTGAGTTCATAACTACTAGGTAGATTAAAATGTTTAATATTGGACCATATAACACACACACCAGGAATAATGTCCATCTAACTGAAGAAAATAAAATTACATCTTACTTTCATGCTCCAGTCAAACTCCAACCCCCTAAATTCTGCCTATAAACCAGTTCTGATGCTCTTCAATCACTCAGCTCAGAAAATTAAAATTTTCAGGATCTATAATTAATACTCGAGTACAAAACTAACTTTATAGCACAATACAACTTTCCTCTATATTTGCTGTATGTGTACGTATTTGTTACCTTCCTTGTACTTGCAACACTAAATTGCAGCCGTAGGAGTCCAAATGGCAGGGAGTGTTTGCTCCTTCAGAACCAATCCACAGTGTGCTCTCTTTTCCACTTCTTCCAGGAAAACCAAAGTCAGACCACCTTATATCCTACAGCAATAAAAATGTTGTTTATGTAAGCTGTAACACTGATTCAAATCTTCAAATCCAATGCTCAGTTCTCTGAGTCTCCTGTGTTCTGCCTCCCCCTCTCAGTTCCTCTGCCTACTTCAGTTTCTACTCCTCGGTAGGGGTTCGTGCATGCACAACCTTTGCACCTTCCTCCAAAATTCTTCTCTCTAGGAGCACTTCTGCTGACTTTCTTCTTTTTCTCACTACACAGCCTCCCAGATCTGTCTCCATTTCTCATCCCAGCCTCTTGTGTTGCAAGCTACCTGTTTGTTCTATAGGACTGCCCAACTACTTTGTGGCCACACATGGCTTCTTTTCCTGCTTTTCAAACCTTTTTTTTTTTTTTTGGCCATTCTCTACTCTTAACCATCCACCCAAAGTCAGAATTTATGTTTGAAAAATTCTGATATGTTGCATTTAAAAAAAAAATAAAGGAAGGAAAAATTCCCATCCCCTTTTCAATCCAATTTGATAAACCACATGGCACACTTGCTCTCTCTCTACTCCTGTCTCAGCTTTCTTCATGTATTCTGGAAACACAGACTTTACCCCATCTCTGACCAAGTGGTATGCTGTTTTTTTTTGTTGTTGTTTGTTTGTTTTTGTTTTTTTTTTTAGTTATCATTTAATAGACACATTCTTCTCCTGCCTTTGTAACTGTGGAGGCAGTGAATGTAAAACAATTCAAATACATGGGGAGAAAAGACAGAACAGGTATGCATCTATTGTGAATATGATCCCAGAGCTTCCCAGTACATTGATCCCTCACCAGGTTTTGCAGGGTGACTGTGTATAGCTTGGATAAAGCTTTCCCTTCTTTCTCTCACCCTGCAACCTGCAGGGCCTGATTGCTGGAAAACATCTGAGGTATGCCAGCCAGAGACACTGGTGCCTTTTGGCTGGAGCCCCAGACTGAGCTTGAGGAAACAGAGATTCAGTTCCTGGCTTCCTGATGGTCTCAAGTAAATCACTTCATCTCTGAGCTTTATTTTTTCCATCTTGAAAAGGAAGGTTATGAATGATATTTGCTCTGCTTAGTAAAGCACTTTTAAGGTTCATTCACCTCACCTGCCTTTAGGAATCTAATCTAAGTTTGGTTCCTGCTCTTGTCAAAGCACTCTCAGCCACCCCTTGGAGAAGTCTCTCTTTTTCCACCACCTATAAACAGAAAATAGGAATCTAGCCTCCTAATTATATTACTAGCTGCTTGGAGAGAGGTGGACGACTATCACTTTTTAAGGTCTATGAATGAGGAAAACTACAGCTAGATATTATTATAAGGGTAACTTCACCGTGACTCTGTATTAGAGTCTCATTTTATGACTCAAAATGAGTGTCAGCATTCCCAAAAATTAGGTGTTGCTAAAGATTTTAAATTTCAGAGGTATTGATTTTACAGATATCATTTGGAAAAAAAAAAGCATGTCTAATATAAACATTTGTCAAAAGCAGCAAAAAAATCAAAAAGAAAGAGTTGCTCCTACAGATCTCAGCAGCCATAAAATTTAAAATCCAATACAACCATTTCAGTGATAAAGTTAAGCGTAATACCATCTCTACACTTTAATCTCACACCTAAATAGTTTTTGTATTTTGTTACAATTTAAGTGGAAAGAAAGCACACATAATCAATATTAGATTTAAAAGAACTTTTTGAAAATGCTTCAACTGTAGTAAATAGTTGAAATGATTATGGGTAAGATGGTTTTTAACCAATGAACTGAAAAGGAACTGGTAGGATTTCTGAAATCTTGTCACAGTGGGCTCCTTTCCTACAATAAAAAGCCACAGCAAGAAGAAATGCTCTAAAAGGTGTTCCAACCATAACAGATGGCACATTACTTGTGAATTATATTTATTTCATTTGCTGCTTATAATGAAGTTAATTTGTACCCGTATGTCACTTTAAAAGGTCTCATTTCTATTTAAACTTCACGCATATATCTTGCTTCTGATTTATATCTCAAATTCTGTAATGAAATATCAACTGAACAAAAAATGTAAGATGCTAGATACTGCTCATAGATTAGAATAATGGAATCATTACCTTAGCCCACACAACTGTAAATGATAAACAGTGCAATCTAAATTTCAAACAACTTCTAAATGGCCCTATTAATCACTATAAATAACAGTGCAGTTGGCCTTCTTTTCCCCTTCAAGTCACCTTACGTAAATCTAAATAAAATCTAAAATGAAAAAAGGGGTTATCATCAAATTCACACAAGAGTGGAAGAGAATTTCTACGAAGAATTCTTTTGGCTGGTATAAATTGTGTAGCAGTGTTTCAAAATCCTTGAATCTGGAACTGACTGATGCATTTCACTCCCATGCCTGTAAAATCAGCAGATGACATACACCATATTTGCTTGCATAACACCATCGATTTTTTCCTTCCCAGATTCTGCTTAAAAAAAAATCCGTGGCATAACCATTACGTGTGTCTATTCTAAAATTACAGTACAATCTGTTGCTTGTTACAGGTCAGGTGATGAGGTTGTGGTGTGATACCTGCACAGAAATGCAATTCCTGGAGCCTCAATTTTGTACTTGAATGGGGGCAAGGGGAAGAAGGAGGTAGGAAAATGGTTCTTTCCTTCGAGTGTGCTTTTATTGACCGAATGAAGCAGCAGGCTATTCAGGTCTTCTGAGCTGCTATTATCCTCGCGGTCTTGTGCCACAAAACAGAGGAAAATGCTGTCTGTTGAGGCAGAAAGAGGAGACCAAAGAAGGACCACAGACAGATGAAATCAATCAACTTTGGGGAACCCCAAAACATGCCTGGAGCTCCAAAATGAGTTTAGAGAACAATACCCAGTGTGTTCAGTGTGCTCCAGGAGGGAGGGGAAAAGGAAAGGCAAAGTGGTCCCTGTGCTCAAACCTTGCTATCCAACTGCAGAATGAAGGAAAAGGAGACCAGTCTGAAAAAAGACAGTTCTGAAAAATACTGATTTCGCTGGTATAAAAGAATAAAAAATATATAAGGAGCATGGGAAACACTTTCTGAGGAAATAATTAATTTGAAGGGGCTTATCAGTTTGGGCTCCCTGTCATTCCAGTGATACAGTATTTGCAGAGAATTGATTTCATCTTCACGTTTGAACGTGTAGAAATGAAAAAGGCTTCATTTACTATTCTTTCTTCATCTCTTTTGATAAAATACAACTTTGCATAGCTATCCTTAATTTTGCTCTCTTACAATTTGCATGGAGTAGTAGCTGGAATGTAGATGAATCAATATATCCACAGGAAAAGTGAAAGAAAATACTCCAGCTAGGTGTCCTAAGGAAACTACCCCAGATTATGTACTTCCACGAACAGGTTATTTCATTTTTTTTACTGCCTATATGGACAATCAAGATATAACAATCCTGCTGACTCAGAATTCACAACATGCCAGTCCCGCCTGTCATCTCATCACCCTATTCCTTCCTCACTTCCATGCATTCAGCAGAGGTGCAGGGAAGATGTTCAGCAGCAGTGGTCGCACATGTGGCTATGGCTCCCCGAGCTTGCTCTCAAAGTCCTCCTCCCTCCAGTCACAGAATGATGCAGGGCTAAATGGGGAGTGCTGCCAACCTGGCAGTTGCTTTTGTTAAATGTGGCATTGTTTTTCGGCATATAAGGAGACCCAGAAATTTGGCTGGCTGCCACATGGCACCAGCCTGAAAACCAATAGCTTTCATTTCAAAATTAAAACAAAAAAATGGGCGAAGGGGATAGCAGAAGCTACACTAGGTAATTTGCAATGATTAAGCTAGTAAGAGATAATATGAATGCTTTACCTGGAAAATTTCTGCCTTGTCTTCGAATATCCTGGCAATGTACTTGTAGTCAGCATAAGCCCAATACTTGGAGTACTCGAAACAACTGAATGGTCCAGAGAGACAAGAAGGTTGTCCACTGCTCCAAGCCAAAAACTCTTCAAGTGTAGCTTTCACATAGCTACACCTGGTTTCAAACTGGGGAACTAGAGCAACAAAAGAAAAGCCAAATACTACATGAGCACTGAGTACATAAACAGTAAAAATAGTAATTAATTTCTCCCTGTGTAAATGCAACATGAAATACAAAGTGGGACTAGGTGGACTGACTCCAGTCAGTGAAATGGTTCTCATCACTAACTCATGATTAGTGTCTGAGATCATTGCTTTTTCATTAAGGTTTAAGTGAAAGGCTGTTACCATGAATTTGCTGTGAGGTAAAAGCATACCAACTGTTACTGCTGCTCATGTGCAAGGCACCGTTAAATATGCTAACTCACTAATACACCCAAGTCCCTTAAGCAACTTAAGACTGTCTTTTGCACAGTCTCTCTTCTTAAATGTGAGCTGCAAATGCATACATGAGTATTTGTGTAACCTTTATTTTGTCTCCATGGATTTCTGTAGATGGACATATTCATCCTTCCCACTTAAAGCATGACTAAATCAGAGCAGCAATGCAAAGGAAGCAAAGTATGGAGCCACACACATCAATGATCCATTTAAAATACATATGTCCCTATATTTCATTTGGGACTGAAGAGAGCATATTGAGGTGCTTCTTGCCAGACCAAAAAAAAAAAAGAAAAGTTTACCAGCAGTATTTTGCTTCCATTGTGCTTTGGTCATGCTGACTGATACAACCTTTCAGCTCAAGGTCAGGTCACTTGGCAGGCCCACAAGATAGCCCCCACCACAGTAGGCTTTCCTTTCAGTTATCAGAGATCTTCATTTCCTACAGCTGCTAATTGCGTCAGCTTCAAAGAGGCTTATCCAACTTAAAAAAAAAATAATAAAATTACTGTACTATAGTCACTACTGAGGAAAAAATTACTGCAGCCTGCATGAATGACAATGATGGAGCTGCAATTTAACCTTGTGTAACTTGCACAGAGCTGTTCAAAAATGGGATCCTTTCACTGTTGCGCAGCAGCTCTTCGTTCTTTACCACTCTCCTTTTCTTATCACAGCCATTCCCATACAGTCTCATACATTTGTTCTTATTCCCCCTGGGTGGGAAAACCGCTTTTGCAAACCTTTATCACCATCATTTTGTCATTCCCTGTTGTAGTATCCTAGGTAGCACTTTTCCTTCCCCTCACTATCAAATTCATTAACTAAAAAATGCCAGATAAGCCCCAATGTTCAGTAATATGTTACCTGGGTCTCTGCACTGTAAGGGCTCCGTAACCTAAGAACTGCATGCAAGACATATAAATCACCTGCAATAACCAAAAAAACCCTATATCTGATTCCCTCTCTGTGTTGCAGTTCAATGCTCTCTCCTGATACCCAGTCATTAATGCAATGCACATCATTTTACTAAAAGACGGTCTGATGGAAAAATTAGATAAAAGATACAAGCACTATTGAAGTTAGCTCAATATCTACATTATTTTGATGAGAAAAAAGAGTGCTCGAGACACTGTCTATTTTCCTAGATAACTCAGGAGGCAAGTATTTTAAAGGCAAGAAATATGTTCTTTCTAGCTCACAAAGTATTACACTGAGCTTTATTTCAAAAAATCCAGCTATGAATGGCAAGAATGTCTTCAAGGATACAGTCTCTTCAGGGCAATATTCTTGGTTTAATTTATAGCTAGTTCAGTGCCAAGATGTGTGTGCTTAGGGAAAAATAGATAGTAATAAAAAAAACAACAGTATTTGGGCAATCTAGACAGATTGTTTATATGGATTTGTAGACTGCAACTAAGGTGAAAATGGTAGCAAAGGGCAGCTGAAAGCAAAAACATCATTAACCAGTTTGCTAATACTTAATGACTAAAAGCTGAAGATGTTTTGTAATTAATAAATTGTAGTTTAAGCCACAGAAGTCTAAAACAAGCGACCAATGCTGTCTCATGGCATGACATCTGGAGGCATGACAGTCTTCTCGCCCACCTAATGCCACAGATTGAAAATGGAAGGAGGGAGGGAGGGAGTGCTTTTTGCACAACAGCAGCTCCTCCTTAGTTAAGGTCTAGTCCTGTCAGATGTCAAGTTCTTTTCTGCTCAGGGGGAGTATTTGCAATGTATACTAAGGAAAATAAAAAGGGCTAACAGCCTTAGAAGATATCCTAAAATGCAAGTACAAATGGAAGTGAAATGTCTCCTCCATTTCTTCAAATGTAAAAGAAAACTAAATATCCATTCAGAACTGCTGGGGAACTAAAATTATCTAAATAATCCAAGCAAGGAGTAACAATTTAACATTATAACAAAGCACAGGTACCCTCATAAACCTAAAAATTGACCATCCGCATACAACTCCAGTACTAATCCAGCTCTCAGCTTTATGTGACATTTATTCAGCCTGCAGTGTTTGTACTATGCTCTCAGCTTTCTATTCAGCAGTGGGGTCTATAGTCACCCTTGCAGTCCCCTCTACATTAAATCTCAGAGGCTTGAATTCTTCCACTGTCTTTACTGGTAAAATCTTTTGGGCAGATGTCCAAGTTGCAGCCCTCTTCTAGTGTATGTGACGGGATCAGCTCCACTACAGCATCTCTGAGAACAAATTCCTCCCAAGATCTCATGACACACAGCTGATCAGCATGACAACCTCTCGCCCTCTCCAGATTCTTCACAGTAAACTCTTTGTTTATTCATTTTAATATACAACCGGATAAATGATCAAAAGGAGAAGTCTGTATAAAAAAGTCTTTTTTGAGTCAGCTTTCTTCTTCCTTTGTACATGCTGGTATGCTCCAGGTGGCTGTCAGATAGATAGGTTATACTGCTGCATTTTCTCTGCCAGAAACTCAACTTCAGTAGCTGCTTCCCGCCCTTTAACCCACCTCAGAAAAATAAATCTTCTAGCGTGGGTGGAAGTAGATAGGTACAGATTTCCTGATTAATTGCACCTTCATTGCTCTTATAATGAATGTTGGTACTCTCTGGAGGCATCTTATCTCTGTCAATTTTTAATCCTCTGATTGCATTTTTTCCTCCAACAGACACATATTGTTTAACTTGTGTAATAAGACAAAATACTACCAAACACATACACTTAGGCATGTACAAATAATTCACCCAAGCAATACTGCTAGCTCCCGTGTGTCCCATGTTTCATCTGCCAAACATACTTTCCAGATCTGAATGCTAGTTTGCAAACTAGCAAGAAAAGCAAATACAAAATCCAAGAAACTCCCACTGAGTTGTCCCATCAGCAGTTCTCACTTTTTTATATTAAGGAATCCTCTGTTTGGGAATCTCCCCACAAGCTGCAGATGTGGTACCAAAGATGACAAGTTGTCATAGCAAGAGGTTTCAAATGGTTTAAGATTTTCCAGGTGAACCCAGTGGCTTAAATAATCTCAGAAACTCTGAAGCAGTCATTTCAGAGTGACATGAAAATACACCGACAAGAGGAGTTTCCTTCCTGCATGTTTCCAACTCAGTGCCAGACTAGTTTAGTCTTAAGGCAATTAATCTATTGTTAACATTGGACGAGTATTCAAAGATGCCAATACAATTTTAGTTGTATTCTCCTGTTGCTTTCTCTAAGCACACTGCTGCTTCCATTTCATCGGGGAAAGTTAGCATAAGCAATGATAAGAAAGAGAGGCCCTCACTGAAAAACTGTGAAGCACGCAAGAGTGAGACCAACCATTTTCCAAATGACAGTGGCACATGAAATGTATTACATTATTTCAGGCTCTGGGATGGCTGGGCTAATGGCTTCACTAATATATCCTTACAATGCAAATCTTTTATAGCAACACAAGTCTCATTCAGTTACAATATAACCCCTGACAGCTCTAACCATCTTCCTGAAGACACTTCTAGCTCACATTAGCATATAATGGAGGTTCCTGGAGACAAACTGATTGCTGCCTGGAGATTGATGTCTTTAGGAAAAAGTAAAATACAGATAGATGCAACTTCAAGATGCAAATTCCAGTTTAAGCCCACTCCATATCCTTAGTGAATACAAGTTATTGTTAAGAGGTAAGTCTTATCTACTTAACTGGCAGCATCAATCCATCACTTATCCATAAAACACTCCATGAGTCCCGTCTGAAGTTTCCCAGTTGGAATACCCATTTGGCTCTCAAAAATGCCTCCTAATTTAATGGAGGCTATCCTTTTACCTGTGCTGGCGAGCCCTGCATATTAGAACTGAGGTACATTAACAAGGTGTCAAGGAAAACGTCATATATATGCAACCTTCTTCCCTGTGGGCAATAGGGTGCCTTTCATGTGTTGTGCAAAAACTAGCTGATGCTACACTGAAGTATAGTGACTCTGCTGTGGAGACTTGTACCAACATATTAATTCTACGAGACAGTTATCACATCTGTAGGAAGCAGGCATGTAACACCTGCTTTACCAGGGATGACAAAAGGATCATTAATCCAAGCTGGTAATATGCTTTGAAATCCTAAAATGCCAAGCATTCCCCCTCTAACACTTCCTTCTGTTTCATCACTTCTCTTGCAACAAATTGAACATGAAATAATATTGTCATGATGCTGTGAAAGAAAGCAAATTTCACACAGTGTTGTAAGTAATATAACATGATGTAATCCTACCACTTCCACGGGAACTGGCAGAGCCTCTTCTGGAGTCTCTATGCAGACCCTACACTCCAAGAAAGAGGTGGTCCAACTGCTGAAGGTTGGAAGAGTACACAAATAACAGCCAGAAGGGGTCTAGAAGAACTTGACTTACACTAAGCATTTTTTTTTAAAGCTGTAGTTGACTGGTCTAGAGAAAAAGAAGAGATGGAAAGGAGAGAAGATAGTTTAGGCAACAGGGAGAAGCACATGGCAAACTGCATTTTGGTATGTAGTTGGGAGGACAAAGGATATGCAGAGCATGTTCAGAAGATATTCATATATATGAATAAACCAATGAATAACCTCTAAAGTCACGAGTAGATTGACAGTTTGATGCACACAGATCTTGTATCTTCCCACTCTGGTCTGAAACTCTTTCTGTCCATAGATACATCTTGGCTAGCATTGTATAGCTACAGGTGGCTGTTGTAGTATTTAAAATCAACTGCAAAACTTGCCTTTTTTCTATCATGTGTTCCTAGATCTCCAAGTCAATCTGGAAGGTTAGAGGTGAAATCATTCAACTGGCCATCAGGTGATTTTTTTAATGGTTTATACTTTACAGCATCTTTCATCACAGGTTCTTAAAGTTTTGTTTTTTATTTAAAAAAAAGAAAAACCCTACCAGAGTCTTATAAAGCCTCTGGGAGGAAGGTGAGAATTATCTCAATTCTACAGGTGAAAAAAGAGGATAGTCTGGTCAATCAATTAATTTTAAACACACTAAGGTTTGTGGATGTAGAAGCTGAGTCTGTCTGAACATTTGAATCACGTAAAAGACAAGGACCAACCGCATACCCTACAAAGCAAGGAAAGGAAACTGAGACTCTTGATTCTTATATGTTAGTTTTACCTGCCAGACTTACTACTACAAATAAGCACTTAAGAAAGGAGAGTCCCACCACTGGCCAAATCTACTGTCCTAAAAATAAAGACTGATGAAAAGTAAGACATTAGAGACTGAGCAATGATAACAGAGAGACAGAGAACTGTGCAACCTAAAAAAGAAAAAGAGCTGTGAAGTATATCACCAGTCCATCTCAGTCTCACCTAAATCCATTGTCTTCGATCCTATTCTAAACTCTATTGTCTTTCCATCCAACACTGCAGAAAGGTATTTCACATTCCAGTGCAGGGCTGGCCAGTCGCCAACCATATTACAGAAGACTGCAGGTTGCTGTAGAGACATCACAATTTCCTTGGCTGTCTCTGGAGTAAACGGTTTGACATCTTCACCTGTGTAAGGAAAAAAAAAAAAAAGAGCAGTGAAGAAATGACTTATGATACATGAAGTGCTATCTATAATCTCCCACAGCAGGGGAAATATTAAGAACTAATACTTCATCTGTTTATAGTTGATTTTTTCATGTACCGCACTTGTAAAAATTTTATGTAACACTTCTACTACAAATACTGGGAGAACATTCCTACACTCAATTACAGTTTAAAACAGTGATTAGCACGTAAAATATAAAAATAAATAAATAAATAGGCATACACTTGGAATTTTAACTTGTAATTGGGCAGTAAAGCACTGTAGCCAAATGCTTTAGAATTAGGCTATCAATAAAAAAAAATATGAATAATGTCCAGAGTTTAGAGACCATACATTTTTCTAGTAACAGTCTTTCTGTAGAGAATTCTTTCCACAAAATGTAGAGTATTGTCAGAGATAGCAAACCAGGTTCCTATGCATTTATTTTAAACCAAGAAATTGCAGCGCAACCAAAAGCAGCAAGTATTTTTAAAGTTTTAATATTTCATTTACAGAATTTGAGAAAATTGTGTCAATCCAAGAACTATGCTAATTCAAGATTTCAATTTAGTCCTTTGCTGCTCAGAGAGTTATATGGCCCACTGAAACTGTCAAGCTGAAATGCAGGCAACTTGAATAAACTCAGCACTTTTAGAACAACTTTTCTTTAGGGACATATTGAGAAGGAAAACCTGTTTAAAAAAAATAAAAAAATCAGTTCCATAGAGCTGAAGCAGTGGACTACAAATGTGGATCATAAAAAAAATCCATTTGTTATTGTAACCTCTACTGAAGTTAACTCCTGCAGAATCTGTATCCATATTATGTCTAACATTTAACATACTGATTAAATACGCCAGGTTCCCCATGACTTGTTTAGAACAAACAAACCTATTCACTCACACTATTTAGGGGTCATAATATGGTCTAGCATCCACAACGGGTTAAACATATACAGGACAAGAAAATTCCCCTTAACACCCGGTGCCCCTGCTCCCCTCAGTGTGTGCAGGTGGGAGGCCGGGTGTGGAGAACCAGCAAGCCTCACAGCCAGCAGCCCACAGGGCTTCTCCAACAGGGGAAGAAGCACTGGGAGCAGGGGTTGCTGAGGAAGGTTCCTTGGGATTGTTTCTACCATAACAAAATGTAGGAATACTGAGGCACGAATGGCAGAACAGCATCCTGCACATGCCTTTCACGCCTGGTGGCAGGCAACTCCAGCTTATAGCTTTAAAAACAAAGGCCTCTGATATTTTATCGCCACAGAACATAAAATTTAAAAAACGGCTTCCAATTCTCCGGGCAGATGAGAGGAGGGAGTTTGGGGTTTGAGTTGTTTTCCACATTTCCTCTCAGCCGCGGAGCAGCGCTTGCCAGGATGGTGTTGCTGCGACAGAGCCGTCTACAACACTCGGCCTTCAGTCTCGCACTCCAGCAACTCACACAGCCAGGAGGACATAAGGAGGCCGCACAGGGACCGTATGCCACACCATATGGCCCTCAGCACCCACGGAAAGAGCCTCGGGGGGTTTCGCAGTGATAGGTGAGCACAGCTGGAGGCAGCTCGTCCAGCGATGGCAGAGCCACCACGAGCAGGCACAACTGCAGGTGCCAGTGAGGCCGCAGGGAGCTGGTGCCAGGCAGGGCCAGAGGACAAAGCTCGGTGTGTTTTTCTTCAGTGATATTGCTCAAAGACTGAACGTGAGGCTCAGTCCAGACCTGAGCACTCCCAGAGGGATTTATACAGCTTCTTCCATCTTCGAACGGTGCAATTGTAAATATTTCACACAGCTGGTGTTCATGATATGGGAGCTGGCTGGCCTTGCATATCTTTTACCTTGTTAAAATGAAATTATTCCTTGTTAGGCTAAGTTTATCACCACATGGCTGTCCTTTCCACTGTTCAATTGCTTTTGTTTTAAGGGCAGTACATTTAATTATTTTAAAGGACCTAAATCCACAGAAACATTTTTGGGAGGATTTTCTAAAGCTAAGTTTTACTGCAAAACTTTGGGTTCAACCTGTAACTTCAGCCAGTAGTTGGGATGTTCTCTATAAAAGTAGAAATTTTACTGGGAGAGACAGGAAGGCTCACTAAAGCCAACTCAACTGTTGATTCTGCGTGGCTTTCTGATGTGATTTCCACATGCATACTGTGCTTTTGAAAGGTGTGGTTTTAACCACAGTGAATATTCAGTGGGGAGCTCACAGCTCAAGCTGTTGGGACAGCTTGCATTAGTGCAAAATAAAAAAACAAAACACAATACAACCTAACTAAATAGCCTCTCCACTACTGAACATTAGCCGGAGGTTTTTGTCATGTCTCCACACTTGATTCAGTTCTGAACCTATTTCCCTGTAAAATTTAGAAACAATGAAAGAGGACAGTCTGTCTCAGACTGATGTTAATCATTCCTATCCTCAAGTGGTATCAAAATCATTGTTAAATGAGTGTTTATCTTTTCCTGATATAGATAAAATAATTGCATACACCACATACACTGCTGATATAATCAGCAGTGGAGTTTGAGACATTTTAGACAATTTAAAGCATTAGACAAATGAACATTACTTTTTTGGAAAAGACAAATGGGAATTCTTGCCAATTTTGTGAAAAGAATCTTTAAGCGTCTTGAATCAGTTTTATGTATTCCTTGGTGAGAACTACAGTCAGTTAAACATAATTCATTCCCCATAATATTTGTCAGGCATATCTAAATGGCTGTGACTGAAAAGGCACACAATAGAAGGTAACTATCATGTACTGCATCAAATAGGTATTTGGTAATTTGGAGATCTCCACTGATGAGTCACACAGATTTCTGAAAGAACTATATACTATATGAATGATAAAAGGTAAAGGAGATATCTGAAGACAGATACCTCTTGGAAGAGGTATTAGCAGAAAAAAAAAAAGCAATCTAAAATAATGTTTTCCTTAGTTATTGTTGTCACAGCTTCACGAAGACCTCACAAGCTGGACTCTTCCTTCTCAGTATTTCCTCATCTGAAATTGATGGTAATTGCTCCTAGGCAAAACCTGAGATTTTATAGCATTTACAAGGGCACAGAGTCTGGACACCAGTGTGTATAAGTAAAATGCGTATAAATAAAATGTGTAGCAAAGAAACAAAAAGTCCTTGGCATATCCCGGGCATTAGAGATCAAACTCCTGAGGGAAATCAGGTAGCAGGAGAGGATAGAAATGCATATTCCTTTTGAAAAGAAAAAAACTCTGTTGGAGTCTTCATTTTCTCCCTTGTACTCTGATCCAAGAGAGAAAACGAATACTGTTAAATTAGTTCTTTCAACCAGGCTCAACAAATGATGTGGCTTCACAGTACAAAAGGAAACAGGAATAATTTGTCTCATGTTTTGACTTCATGCAAGGCATGTATAGAATCCAACCAGGAACTGAAAAACTGACCAAGTTTTAACTCAAATTTTGTAACTGTGACAACCTAAATAATTGGTGAAAAACCTAGGTGTTCTTTAGAAAGGCAACAGTGTGAAATAGAGATCTTCCAATTAAAAAAACAAAGCTCTCCAGTCATCTTTACATGAAGTGTTGCCAAAAACGAAGACTCGGCCAGACTTCAGCACTGAGGGCAGGTAAAAGAATAAGGATGAATTTGCTAAGTACTCTCCAGTAGACCTTGTGCTTCTAAAAGAAAAAAATATTTTTTTGTTTCCGATTAACAATTTTTCAGAGTAACTGAATGGGGCTTGGGAATAAAGAGTTTAGCTCAGCAGGCAGTCTGAAGAAAAGTGACTTGATCAAAGTTGTTCAGAAGTTAAATGTACTGTCATTAAAAAGCTAAATGTATTCTCATTCATTTAAAATAATTTAGCAAATTACAGGAGTTCATTAGCGAGTGGTAGTTGGCTTCTGCCAAAACACCCTGCTGCTTAAATATGAGGTTTAATTGAGAGGTATTAAAATTATTTTCTAAAAGAGGGAGTACAAGGAAATCCCAGTAACATATTAGGAAGAAGCACTGTCAATTTGTTTTTCTTGCAAATCTGTAATACTTTATCAGCCTTATTTCTTTTTTTTAAAGAAGTATAATGTATCAGAAGATAAAAGAAATAATTGGCATCAAATAGGCTAATATAGAGGAGTCAAAGCATTCAAAAAATCAGCTAATTAAATATCCACAGCCGGGAGTGGAGAAGAAGGAACAGGGGACAGTGAAATTTGCTAAACCAAAAAGAAGTGACTTGGTTTGGAGGTCAGACTTAATGATTTCTCAGTACATTAACTCTGTAAATTAAAATAATAATAATAATTAAATAATCTGCATGTGATTACAAGGTTACGCACTATAATCAGCCTACTCTGGGCAAACAGAATTCATCTATTTATATCCAGGTAGTTTTCAGGACACACTGCATGAACACCCAGGTCTGTCCTCCTGACCACTTATTGCTGTTACTATTATTTTTGACTCTGGGTATGGCACCACTGCAGATACAGCATAACCTAGGGGCATCTAAACTAGATTTGCATAGATGTTTTGGCTACTGTAGGAGAGTTAGCTGTTACATGGAGCCTCTCAGGACAGACCTGTTGAACACGCTCCTGCACTGGTAAAACTGGCACCTAAAGCTTCTTCCAGCAGCCTGAAATAATAAGCACACCCTTCCTTACCCTCAGTGTCTGCTACTGTTGATGGTGGAGGAAAAAATGAAAGAATCAGGATGTCCTTCCCAAGAAAATTTTGGGACCAAAAGGCAAGTGGTGTGTGCACACACTTTGCAGTCCTGCGGCAGCATCTCACAGTTAGAGCAAGCCTGAGTGACCCAAGACACAAAGATAAGAGCATGGGCTATGCCCTCAAACTGTCCTTACAATAAAAAAATAAGGAAATAGCTATCAGACTTCTTAGGGGGTGGAGTAAGAGGCAGAACACTGAATCTAACACTGGGAGGGACTTGCACCCCAAGATCATGCATAAATTTATGAAACTCCTTCCAAAAT